TGGAAAATTTTTTTTAATATTTTCTATAATTTGGCCAAATTATAGGAAATATATCCGGATCATTACCGAGACACAAGAATGGCGTAATGGTTTTTATTGAAAACAAGCTGGCATAATATATGTTTTATAACAAACCATCTGCTTAAAAAGAAAACATTATGTCGTTGCGTGATATAATAACAACAATAATGACACTAGACAATTGCGTCTTTTTTTTCCTGATATATATATATATGTATAAAAAGAGCAATATGGCTTTTTGCGGTTTTACAGACGCGAGCTGACTGCGTCGGGCCTACGGCCTAAATTCGACAGTTTCACCAAAAAAGTTCCTTTGCAAAACCAACGCCAACAAACACGATTATATACATTCATATATATATATATATACACAAATATAAACCTATATGCCATTTTCACTCGTCGCGCACAGACGTGACCGCATTATGTGTCAGCGATGACCGTTTCAAGGGGGCCGAGAATGAAACAATTTCACGGGATTCGCGTGCAAACCGAATCGGAACACATGACGCGATGTAGAATCAAAATTGGAAGAAAAATATAATAATCCAAACACACGAGAGACCAAAACCGGAAGGATATTGCGGTGCAAATTGACCGGATCCTGACTCGAAAAAGGATTTTTTTTGTCCCTTTTTTTTTTTTTTTGACGGTGTGAACTGTATTTTTGTGTTCGAGAGGGTCAATTCACGCATTGACTTCCGTCAAATATTATTGACAAGACAGGAAAAAAATCATTGCAAACGGATATTCGAAATTTGGTATATATAACGTTGTTATTTAAATCACAGAAATTTTTTTTTTTTTTTTAACCAAAAAACGGAACTCACGAACATTGGAAATATGTTTCCTTCCTTATGGCGCATATGATTCTTTTTTTTTCTGAAGACATAAAAGATTCGAATAAATTTTAGAAATTTGTTTTTTTGCATCGAAACATTGTTTATATATAAATTTATTAAAAAGGAAAGAAAAACATTTCTCAAGTCGTTAAATTTTATCGACTCAGTCTCAATTAGGTTGCATCTTTCAAATGTTATATCCTTCCGATTTGCTTTTCGTCCCTCCGACATGAAGGATGAAAAAACAAAAATTGAAGGTCGTGACAAAAAAGTTGGATCTCGAAGGAGGTTTAGTACATGTACGTTAAACGTACATGTAAAGGCCAGCGACCCGTGAAACTCTCGTAAATTGTCGATTCATTAGCTACCGGAGAAAAAACTGTTCCTTGCTCGCTTTTTTTCCACCCTTCGGCTTGGAATATTGAATTAAACTGGCCGTATCGTGAGCGAGGCGTTGTGTGTGGCCATCGGTAATTTCAACGCGCATTTTCTGCCGATTATATTGTCGTTTGTAGAAAAAAAAAGAGAAGAAAAAAATTCACACACGAAAAACAAATCCTCCACGAATTATATACATGAGAAATAATTGTCAACTATGATTTTTGTTTTTAGAATGTGAAAATACAATCAGAATCACTCAAAGAATTTACCTCCTGTTTTTGAGAATAATATATCTTTTAGAGATATATTTAGAGAATATTATAACAAATTCTATGTGCAAAAAGCAAATGCAACCTGAACTGAATTTGGAAAAAAAAACTCTAAGTAAGAAAATGTCATTTAAACAGGAAAATGAACAAGAATATAATATACTTGTCGCACTAAACATATATACTTCGAGCTTTCGTATATAACTGAAAGCTAATTTGGGAACAGCGAAACTCTTAGTATAATCATTGCAGGAAGATATTAATTAACAACTGAAAATGATTTTAATTAATGTCGTTATACTTGGAATCGTAGAAGACTCTGTTAGAAATCCTGCTTTAAAAGATAGAGAGAGAGAGAGAGGGGGCGTGCGAATTCAAAGGCTGCTTCAACAATACGATCGAAACATATTGTTTGGTATCCGGGTTATTCTGATTTAAATTTCAGGCTTTTCATTTAAAAGTATGACAGCGATATATATTTCAGAAACAGGAAAATTTATAAACCTGGGGTCACTTCACTCCTATATAATCGCTGTCCATTAAATTTTATTCTTCAAAAATATGTTCAATTCTATTAAATATAAGAATTCAAAAATTGAAAAGTAAAAATTCAAACAAATAAAATTTTTTTTTCAAAATAAATATTGTTAAAAGAAAATTAATATTTTCCTCCTATAAAGAACTATAATAATTCACAAAAATTAAAATTTTTAATTTTTATTCATTTGAAAAAAATATAATTAAAAGCAAATAATGAAGATAAGGAGTTAGAGAATAAAAAATGGTAATAAAAAAACAATTCGTGTTATAGGACTTGCACGACTTATTTGGAACACGAAAGCAAAAAGTTTCCCTAGATCGTTTCTCTTTGCGTTAAGTATAACATGTTCATTTATCAAAAGAATTGCGAAGTATATAAAGCGAAAAATGAAGAAGAGAGAACAAGAGGAATAAAATTAACTTTCAATGTCTCTATTTCTCAAAATTCTCCTTTTTCGACTCCTTTTGCCTTATTCCGAAATGCGTGCGAACACTTTTAAAAGTGAATTCGCATCATGCAACAAAATATATATTCTCACCAACTTCTTTTTTTTTGTTTCCTATATACAAAGTAAATTCTCTTTTCCACGAAAACAACACAAAGATATACCGCAAAATCGTCGGTTATGAACGAAAATTTGCGGAAGTAGGAGGTAAAATTATTAATAGTTGAGTATATTTTTTTCGAAATGAATACAAAGTTGATAATACAATATATACAGAAGATAATTTCTGAAAGAAAAAGATGAATTTGAATCAATTTTGAATTGGGGAGGAATCGTTAAAAAAAAACTGATAAAATAGATTAAAATGAAATTAAATGAAAATATGTTTTTCTTTCAGATTGAATATCCTTATACCCCCAAGTGAACAGTTGTTTTCGAAACGTAATAATGAAAATACGAACCCCCGCACATATCAAAGCAACCCACCCGCACTTCTCGTCAATTGACGGCAGGACATTTTTGGGAATAATATGTATCGGTCTTTCAATGAAACTGTGAATTGTCGAATGAGAGGGCCTATGGGCTTCCAGGGAGCTTTAAAACGAAAAGGTAATGACTTGTGACCGGAGATCATTTCGAGAGGTCATTGTTGACCAACACTGTCACGCATCGAAGGGGAATGACGTTCGAGTTTAGGGGTTCTTGATTTATATGCTAGTTCAGCCTGATTGCTTTTCATACTATATAACCATCGCAGGAGCATTCAGATTCAGATGACACGAGACTTTTAAATAAATAAAATTTTTTCCAATAAAAGATTTTGTCTCACGTACAAAATGACGATTTTTCTAAATCGATCTTACAAACAATAAAACATCATTGTATTTAATTTGTCAATTGATTTGTATGTATAAAATAAAAAAATTTTGTACTATAAATTTAATTAAATATTAAATTCTTTTTTGAAATTAAGCCCTAAAGAATATAATTTACATATAAAGGAACGAAGAATGTATATATATATAATAAACGCGTAAAGTCATACTTTTTACTGAGTTACAGGCACTCGAGTTTATAGCCAGGTGCATCCGTGTTACATTAATTCTCGCTTTATTAAGTTTTATTATGGTACATTTATGTTACACTGTTATATACGTTTAAAACCACCAGCCAAAAGACATGGTAAATATTTCGCCAAAGCAAACTGAAAGCCAGAAGGAGTTTCCGGTACTCGAGATGAATTAAAAATTTACAAGTGAAACTGTTGAGCCAAGTTAATTACTGGGAAATATTTAAACTTTACTTTAACTACGAGTTAACTTCCTGGTGCACGATACGCGATTAACGTATTAACGCTCTCTGGTGAAAAAAAAAAAAAAACGAAAACAATTTAATTACTAAAAAATTATAGTTTTACACCTCTTGTTTTTTTCAAAAAAAATTTAAACGAAAGTAAAATAATATGAGAAAATTGATCTCAGTGATAAAAGAACGTTTTTATTTTACGATTTCTTTTTCGAAAAAAAAGAACAGTCAATTGAGCAAAATTCTCAAGTGCTTGCAACTTTATATTTGAACGTAATGGCTTCAAAGAACCGAATTCTTTAAAGGCGTCGTCGCGACGACATTGCCACCGTTTCCAAGTTTGACAGGTCCCACTTAAAAGTTTTAGTACGTCGATTCGAATAACAAGTAGGTAGATGTTCGAAAACTTTCTAGACGCCTCGATTCTTCTATACAGAGCGTTTTCTACATGTATATATATTACTTCGAGTTGTTCCAACGAGTGCCACGGAGATGGATAGATGTGTATATATATATTGTACAATATCGTCCAATTCTCGACAAAAGGTTACAACTTCATAAAGCTACTTCGCGAGAACACGACTTTTAAAGTTTCTGCCACTTTCATCGTGTTAGAGGAAAAAGAGAAACCTATTAATTTTATATAAGTCACGTATGAAACAGTTTAACTATCCTCTCTGTTGCTGGATTCAATTTTAAGAAAACTTTCTTTAAACTTTATCAAAGTATTAAAACTTTCGTTTTTTTAGTCTCTCTTTTTTTTTAAAGTTTGAAAACAATAAATGGTTCAGAAAAAAATTGATATGATTTTTTATTTGAATTGAAATATAATTTGTTTAATTCGACAAAATTCATGTTTTATTGTTGTAAGATGCAATTTACATTGTCAAAAATAGATTAAATTGTGTGCCTGATAAAGAAAACTTTATTTCTCATGCAAAAGACAAAAAACTGTTTTGAATCTTTTGAATAAAAAATAAACTTTATCAGACAAAATTTAATTTTTTTTCTTTAAATTTTTGATTGAAATTGTAGCTTGAAAATTTATCTCTTTTTGTTTTTTTTTGTATAATAAAATTATACACAAAAGAAATAATTTTCAAAACAATTGTAATTAAGGAAATTGTGTACATTTTAAGTAAAAAATCATAATATTTAGCAAAAAATAGTAAAAATACGTAATCAAATATAAAATCTTACTTGGAAAATTTTTTTCCTACGTAGAGAACAGGTCCACAGCTCCAATGTGTCCAATAGCTCATTTCAATTATCTTGATAAAAGCAGGGTGTACATTTTTTCTCCTTTCCTTTTCTTTTTCCTACAAAAAAATACTTGTGTATATTTTGCATAACATAACATATACAAAGTTATAAAATTTTTTTTAAAAAACTGATCATTGATTAATAAAAGAAATTAATTAAACATTAAAAAATCAAAATTATGTGAAATGTGAATTTATATTTAATATGAAAAAAATAAAGGAATATATAAACGAGAGAATGAAATATTGTATGATTTAAGTATAATGTGTCTAATATTGTCTGATTTAAGCATAGTTTGTCTTTACATGAAATACTTTACCTACTTTTTATACTCGAAAGCGACTGACTTTCAAGCAGTAATTTTTAAAAATTATCTGCGCTGTAAAATATCTGATTAATCATTAATTTTACATAGTATATATTGTCTTTTTTAATTTGCAATTCTAATCAAAATAAAAATTCGATAAAGAAACTTTACATATTATAGTGAATGTAAATTTCGTTTAAATGTATAATTTTTAAAAAGAAGCAAAGATTAAAATTAATAGAGAAAAATAGAAAATATAAATTGAAACACAGAAAAGAGAAAATGGGATTAGACACAAATTAAAAGGAAAATTCATTGACGGACACAAGAGAAGAAGAATATCAGACAAGATGATGAGACATTGACGTTAAGACGAAAGATTTGGTCGAATAAGAGACAGAGAATGGTCATAGATCTTTAGGAATCGCGATTGCTCCGCGATTCGCATATATGCCAATGGGGCTGCTTACATTATGTTAGTGGTGGTCGAGGTGGAGAAGCTGGACACGAGTATAAACAAGAGACGGGCCACCCAGATAGCCTTCTCTCTTTTCAGCCGGAATTCGGCCCAGGGCTCGCTCGCTCAAGAAGTCGCGCTGCGCCCAGGCACAACGTATATGAATCATCTAAAACAATGGAATGCAGACTAAGATGGCGCCTCCGTCTATATCGAAGTCCCTGACAGTCTGTCCATCCATACGCCAGAATATTAATCCTTTCTTTTGTTTTATATAAAAACAGAGGTTCTCATTGATCTTAATGTGTATATATGTATATATAGCTCATACACTAATCAACTCTCAGAAAATGTTCCTAAAAAAAAAGACTATTATTCATACCATGTATGGAAAAAAGATTATTCTAGATTTTATGATGAAACATTTTTTTTAAAAATTTCCATCAAAATTCCATTGAAAAGAAAAACCAAAAAGAAATTTTTTTAAAATGCTCAAACATTCACCTGAATAACAAAAAAATTTATTTTTGTTTCAAATATTTAATATAAATATTTTTTATTAAATTTGATTATTTTAATATTAAATTTTGTATTCATTAAATGTTCCACCTCTGTTCATAATGAATTTGTTTCGATTGTTAAATATTTTTAATGAATATAACAATAAGTTTTTCTTTCTTTTGTTAATATTTAAATAAAAATCATAAACTATTTTATCAATGCTTTTGTTTTTTATTCTCCAAATGAATTAATTTAATTATTAAAAATAATTAAATTATTTGTATGAAAATTAAAATAAAGAAAATTGCATTATTTTGAGGTTATATCTGACAATAAATATTGCAAATAAAATATAAAAACTGTTCCCATAGTAAAAATATATCAATAATCGTGTAAATATGAATTATAAAATGATAATAAATTTAGATTTCTCAAGTCGATCAGAAAAAATATAGAATACAAAAGAAGGTACATAGGAAAAAGCGTAATAAAAATTTACCTTGAATGACCTTGAACCTGCTTGCCATGAACTTTTATTTCCTAACCTTCTTTATAAATTTCAATTAATATATTAAAAAAATAGCATAAAATATCTAGAAAATACTAAAATATATTATTGAAAATAATCATGAATAAAAAGAAATGAAAAATTTCTTACCAAAAACGTGACGTGTTGGGAGTGACGCTATCAGAGAAATCAGTTTTCTTGTCTTCCTGCCAACAATTTTGTACCTGATTCGAATATTTATATATTAGATAAAGCCTCTTGATCAATATTCACTTTTTTATATTAAATAACTGATTTTTTTACTATAAAACAAATAAAATTAATAATTCCTTGAGTACGAACTTTTCGTTGGCAGCAAAAAAATTCAATATGGCGGACCAAAAAATTATTTTATCAACGGATAAATTGATATTTGAAAAAACCGGAAATGAACTTGGTCGACACTAGCGACATCACTGCATGTCAGTCAATCTACTCTAGTCAAATTAACAACAATTTTTATTAATTGAATTATTTGTTATTTAATTACATTAAAATTAAATTATCCTTTAATAAATTCGAATTAAATCAACATTGAATCTGTTTATTTTATATTAATGTTTAATTATTTAATTAATTAGATTTTTATTATTATTTAATTAGGTAGATTTTTATTTTTTCAATTAACCGGAAATTAGCATTTGTCATTGGCGACATCTCTGGGCGTTTTAGGTAAACATTCTTGCAAACGGCCGCACTCTAACCTTATTTTTCCGTGTGATAGCTGTAATGATGTTTCTTCAACCGGCAGTGTCAGTATAATTTAAAAACACTGAAGATATTTGATAATTTCTATAAATTTTGTAATAAAAATCAGCAATTTAAAACAAATTCATGCAAAAATTTCTTTACCAAGAAAAAATATATGGAGATAGACAAATAAATGAAAATATCCAATGTTTACATCGTTTTTATTCAGATATATAAAGTTGATGCTACAAAGAAATTTCGCCTAAAGAGGAAGAATATTATTTATTAGGTAAGATGAATTATTATTTGATTATATTTATTCTATTTATTATAAATTTTCTCATTTTTTTTGTTACACGAAATTATAAACTTAAACATAACCTTGTCGTGCGGACAATATGTTATTAACAATGTTTTTCAACCTTTTTGCATTTATATTTAAATATTTAATACTAGAAAAAAATTTGTTTTTTAATTTGTTTAAGTTTTTAATTGAAATAATTTTGATACAAATTTAAAAAATATAACAAATTTATTTATTGTTGTTTACACCTTATGCAAATTCAATTCCCATTCTGACGATTAAAATTACAAACTTAATTGTAAAATATCTAAATTTTTTTTAGTCCATTTCAATAAATTAAGTTTTCTTTATTACTATAATTGGACAATGTTTGAAAATTAAAATTTCTAATATAGATTCTATTTTTAGAAAGTTATGGCTAATTTTAGAAAGTGTGAGTAAAAAAATTGAAACTGTTAATTATAATTATTATTCTCTAGTAAATAAAATAATTTATATATTTTTAATATCAATAATTCTTTTAAATCTTTTTGTATTTTTTTTTTTATAAAATAGAAAACTATAAATCTTATTCAACATAATGTGCACCTGCCGTTCAAGTTAGAAAGTCTTGGAATCAGGAAATTATCTCATTATCAATTTTTTTGCTTGCTATATATATATACATTTCAAGTGCAATGACACATGTTATTTTGCAATAATTGTTCTTCACTTGTGTGAGAAATTTTCTCATATAGTGCACGTCCTCTAGAAATTTATGATCTAGAATTTTCCCGTTATAGGATATTTATTTAACAAAAAAGGAAATTCAGGATTATTGCTCATATGTTTCAAGATGATTATAGGTTCCAATGGTGACACATTGAAGATAAGTAAGAGATAATGTGGAACATCGAAGAGTATACAAGAGAGTATAAGAACGACAGAGGTCAAACAATTTAGCCTCGTGGCACGTAGCAGAGAGGCCCGAGATACTCATCACGTTCTTCTTGCTTCTTCGTCGTCGCGCTCTAAAAAAAAAAAAAGAATCTCCTGAAACCCATTTGAAAAAGGAATGAAAACTTTTTTTTTCACGTAGTAATTCTACTTGCAGACATATTACCGGTCTGGTAACGTAATATTCATCTCGAGTCCCGAGGTTACCTGGGCCATCAGCGCGACTATGGAGATGAATGAAAACTAGACCCGGTTGTCGTCAAGTGGCAGACGCAAAGAACTGAATGGGGAAACTTGGTGTAATCAGCGATCAAACTCGAGGCACAAACTTACGAGGTAAAATCCAAAACATCACGCAAAGTGAGGGAATCTTTCATGGTCAAGCTGCTGTTGAACTACGTGCAACCAAATAAAGTCAGCTCCATCTCGTCTTCTTCTTCTTCTTTGAGAAAAATTGCGAAATCATTTTGCGCGATCATCATTGTAAATTCTTCTAGAGAATATTATCTGATCTTTGGATCGAATCAATCTTGTTTTAAGTTTTACAATTCTGATTGCCTTTTATTATTTTAAATTTATAAAAATTTTGATTTTTTTCAATAATAATTTGAATTCTTTGTTTTTTCAGATGAATCTGAAAAATATATTTTGAATTGCGTTTTCTATTTTGGCTTCAATAGAAACAATTGACGTTGAGCCTCCGGCAGTTTTTTTTTCTGAACGAAAATCACGTCAGGCTCAATTTTTAGGGTTGACAATTCTACCTTGTGTGGTACTGTTCTGACAATTTCAACGTATGAAAAAAAGTTCGCGCAACCCTTGTTGCAGGAAGTTGCGTGGGTGTTGAGAGGTTCATCAAAGAGAACTGGTTAATGCACTCGAGACACAACCCCTTTTTTTTTTGCAAAAAAACATGGCCGACAAGCGGAATGGCCCGCGTCGCACCGCCTTTGAAACGATAACCTTTCATCAAAACCGATATCAAATTTATTATATTTAGACAAATTTACTCTTTTTTTCGAATTGGAATAATTTTTGTTTGCATCTTATTGCATCTGAAAGGATGATTAAGAGAGATTTCTTTTTACAGAAGACTCTATAATCTGCATGCGGAGGGAAATCAGCATCCAAAGAGGTGTGTTTTAGTGATGTTTGTGTTAGAGTTACCACGAGTTGCTCCGTAGGGTCGTTATGGTCATTCGAGAGGAAGTATTACCAATTAGTCACAAGCGACCCTCTCTCTCTCTCTTTCTGTCTCTCTCTTGTACCTCTTACCGCAAATACACGCGGATCGTAGTCGTCTCACGTACTATGAGCGTTGGTCAGTTACTGCGGTAGGTAGAACAAAATTCGAAACGTACAGACAACGATGAACCCTGGGACGATCTCTTGCAATCAAGCCGCGTAGGCTGGCCAGTTTGTTCTAATCAGTGCTGACCGCAAGAGCTAACTCAATCAGCTAACGAACCCAGTTTCACTGTTAACTGACCAATCCCTGCGTCAACCATCGCAGCTCAAATTTTCTCTCTTTCTCTCTATACTCCAAAATCCTTACTCTGTACATATATAACTGATTTTTGTTTTCACATTGTTTCATCGATTCATTTAGGCAAAAAAAAAAAATCCGCTGATCTAGATGACTTTTTATTATATTCTGAGATTTAATCATGTCCCATCGATCTTTATAATCGAATATATTCGTTCCGTCTGGATAAAGCTTATTTCCAGAAAAAAAAATATTTGAAAATATTCGTTTAGTTTTTATTATGTTATTTTTTGCATTTGTCATTTAGGTGATTTATTTTGTATAATTTATGAAGTTTCAATTTTTTCTAAATTAGTTTATATTTTCAATATTAAAAACTATATTTTATAATAAAAATATTGATCGAAAAAAATTGAATATAATAATTTTCTTTTTAGGTGGAGATATAATTTTCATTCTTCTACTTCAAGGAAATATAGTTTATCAATGTTGAAAATATTTAAAGAATCATCGTTAATTATATAAGAGCTATGAAATATACGTGAAAGCAATAAAATTCCCTTTGGACTGATTGGAATTCTTCTTGAGGATATAGAATGGAACTTTACCGCCTGTAAGAAATATTGATCCTTTTTCAATTTTTTCGCAAATCAATTTTGAAATCAAATTATATTTTAAAATAATTTCGAAATATTTTTAACTTTTAAGAATCAATTTTTTTATCTAGTGTTCCATGAATAGTATCATTAGAACAATGATTTGTTTGAATGACAAATATATATGCGCCTCTTTGAATGTTTTAGTGGTTTACGAGATTCGCGATTCCTTTGAGTGTTAATTCTTCATCATTATTCGCATATGTGATGCAAAAAAAAAAAACTTATTTGACAGAAACGAGGACTAAATCCAAATTTGAGAATGGTCAGGTGAATATAAGTGCGATGGATATGCCCATGAGACGCGCGGTACCTTTCATGTTGGATCATACTTCTATTTGTCCTGCGATGAACTGAGTCCTCGGACCTTGTGGTGCTTAGCGGTGCGACGACACAGAAAAAAGGAGCCGCGCGCTTATATGTATATACGAAACAAACGCATTGTCCTACCGGATCTGCCGCAGGACCGACCGCCGGATGTGCGGCCAACACAAACGCTTTCGAAACTGAGACCTCTTAACCCCACCCCTAGTTATATACCATCCTCTTATAACCACCTTTTACCCTCTTAAACGTTCATGAATAGTCATGATAGAAATTTATCCATAATCTTGCGGATAACTGTATATATATATATATGTAACCGTATGTATCCTTTGGAGCAGAGAAGAGACCACACATGCTGCGAGAATCTTCTTGATGGGAATAAGGGGATGGCTTATTTCTCTGTGGTTTGGGAAAATGTTTTCCTTTTGCCAGTAGAAGAGACAATTATAAAAAAAAAATCATTTTTTTTTTTTTTTAATTGCAGATTCATTTCTATTCTTGTTCTGTCTTTTAGATTCTGGCCAAAACATTTCCTTTGGCGAGCGAAATTATATTCTTAGAAAAATGTCAACAAAATGAAAGTAGTTTTCGGAAAGGTTATAGTCTTGTCTTTGTTAGATAATTGGCAATCGAGTATTCGATTCTCGTAAGATTTTTAACACGACAATTCGTCTGCCACATTGTTTTTTTGAATGTTCTTTTTCATGGAAAGTGTAAGAGGACTTGTGTATATATATATAAAGTCTTTATATATGCGATTTTTTTTTTCAACTGATCGTGCTTTCATTGTCGACTTTTAAATTTGAGAGCACGATTCGTGTAAACTCGTAACGAGCGAGTTTAATAGGGTAACGTTATAGCGTATATGTTTGTTGGTCGGCATTTGATCAAACGCACGTTTCTCCTACGCACTCGGCATCGTGTAGATACCTGGCCGATGGCGCGTGATGAGCATGAAACCTGATTGCATTATGCGTTTCTCTCAAAGCCAAAAGTGGGAGAGAATCGTTTAGTGTTTTAAGTTTTGTCGTTCTTCGATAGTTAGGAATTTTTATTTTTCTCCTAAAGAGATCATTTAAAGAACAAATAAATAGATTGTGATGAGGATTATAATTCGATATATAGAGAATGGAAATTGTTATTGAGATAAGAATAATTCTACAGGTTTTAAATAATTATTTGTCCTCCGATTAAACGTGATTTCATTAATTAACGAAATATTTCACAATCCCTCGATGCTATGGTACTGTAATTGTCTTGCGCATGAGAACAAGAAAATACTCGAGGAGTAAATTGCAAGATGAGGTCGAGAACTAATTCTCGAGGCAATGAATCCGAGAAGTGCGATTGGATCGCTAATGGATTTATTTGCGCGCTAGAGCAATTGAATCTCTTTCGATCTAGGTCGACCCCTCTTGTATTCCAAGGCGATTATCGTTCACATAATTCTCATCGCAGGTGTCTAAAGACACTTATAAAATTCATTAAATGTAAACAGACGATAAAAATCGAGTCTTTAAATTTTTATTTTCTATAAAAAAATGAGTTTAAGACTTTATTTTATTTTCAGGGAACGAGTCGTGTACGTGAGGGACAATGTGAAACGTGATTAGCGTCAATATCAAAATGACTAGATTTTTGGAAAGGGAAGGTGAAGAAAGAACTGTCTCTTGAAGGTGAAATCCGAAGGGAGAAAAACCAATCAGGATAAATCGAACTCTGTTGAAACTCGATGGCGTGACTGCTAAGAGATTACTTCTTACTTTACTTAATACCACTCAGTGGTGGCTTCCTTTGGATTATACAACTATACTTAATCTCCTCGCTATTACGCGACATTTTTTTTTCTTGTTGCGGTTTTGCATTTTCAAGCAGAATCAATTTGCAAGTAAGGACTATTTTTTTGACTTATTAAATTTTTTCTCATTAACAATAATAGGTTTAAAAAATTTTTTAAAAAAATGTTTTTTCGAATATCATTCGATATATAATTATGTATACAAAAATTTATTATAGAGCCAAGATTTCATCGAAATTCGAAAAACATAATTTATTTTTTGATGGAATCTCATTCGAGAAATTCCAACACCCATATCAGAAGTTGAATATCAAAGTTGATATTTCGTGTATATAACACTTGTGGTATTCTATATTAGACACCCTGGATATAAAACGAAGACAGCAGCAGCAAGCCGCGTGGCATATATCATCGTATCTCATCGAGGAATCGGAAACCGTCGGGAGTGACGAGCCAAGACGCTCACACTGCGGTGTGGATGTTGATCGTCGAAATGAAAAAGAAGAGTAAACGCACCATCAGTAAAAGGCAAATCGGGGAAGGAAGCGAACAGTGGGATCAAAATGAAGCGATATGAGAATGTGTGGCGTGTTTATATATATATATATAGGAAAAAGGGCAAAGTGGTTTCATGGGAGTTACTTTTATCTTATCAGATCGAGGGCGGCTTCCAAGTGAATTCAAAGTGCTAGGCTATACCAAAGCAAAGACGTGAGTCTCAAGTGGTAGTTCTAGCTGGCTCATTACCGTAATTAGCCCCCGTAGATCTTGGCCTAACATCTTGGCTTTATACACGTTAAGAAAACGTTTGTCGCGTGCTTCTATAAAAGAGACATGAAAATAATATTTTAGATTCATTTTTAATTACAAAAAATGATTTCTTTGATGTATTTTTCTTGTTTCTAATTCTAATTCTGTATATCTCGTAGTTGCGTAACGAAGTGCCGACGAGATCAGATCTTCATTTATATTGGCAGATGCAAATATAACAACGGTGATGACGTTTAGCGTCCGGTGACCTGTTGACCTCTTACTCGGTGGTCCAATTTGCGGGTGCTTTGTCCAATTACTTGTCATTAGACTCCTACGCCGTCACTCGATTATTATTCCTTTTCCCCGTCTCTGGTATAATCGCAACTTCGAGAGAGAGAGAGAGGCACATGTATCCCTTTGTAATGATATTGTCTCATTCTCGAAACAGTCATATTAAAAAAAAAACAGTTTTTTATCTAATTTAAATTTTTTTATCTTGATATTTTTCTAGTAAAAGTTATTTAAAATTCCATTTTTCTTTGCAATTATTCCAGTCAAAAGAGCATGGTGACACTATCTATTTTTTTCATTTTTAATCTACAATCATTCCAGTGAATTTGAAAATTATAACCTAGGGTATAACGTGTCCAAACCGATAGGTGTCATTTCATAATTCATAATTGTAGGGTAATGTCGCATCTTATCTAAAATCCGACATGCAACTTGAAGCTATATAGAGATCAGCTGCTCCTGCGCTCAAAATGGGCGTGTTAGTAAAAAATTAAACAACAAAAAGTTAGAGCGATCATTTTCGACATTAAAATGACAGCTCTTGTCTATTACTTTTATATAGAAAGAATATTAGAAGAGATTAGGATTATATATAAAAGTCCGAAGACCTCCGTGAAAGTTCATGCAGATTCACGCACGAAATAAGCAATTTTCGCCGGGTGAGAACCTGGTGGTTAGAATTCTTTGAATTTCGAGTAATTTTAACGGCGCAGGCGCCAGGACTCCGACGTTCTGAATGAGTGTATAGGGTTCTCTCTCTCTCTTTCTTTCAACAGCAAGGACTAACAAGGTGGGCCCGCCTCGCGTAATGACGGGTTTCGCGCGGGGCCCCGCACTTATATTGCCTTTTATTTATTTTTAATCTCTTCAACACAGACACACAAACAGGAGGCGAACATCCGGGCCCCAGGGTCTATAACACACCAAAACCCCTCCCGATTCATTAATTTTATTACTTGTGAACGATGAGTAGATCTCTCGCGATTTTGACCGATTTATGAGACACACTCCAATTGTCAAAATGTGTTTCGCAATTAAGACACAACTCGTTTTCAAAAAAAAAAAAAATTGCTGTCAAATTTTTTTTTTAAATTACACAACAAAATCTATTTTTTTGATCAATTTTTCTAAAATAAATTTTATTTGTAGGTATTGAAGCTGCTCAAAATGGGAAAATCAACAGAATTCAAGGAATTGAAATCAGAATTGCTTTTCATATTTGAACGTGAAGGAAATACGGAGATGATTATCGCAGGTACCACCGTTTAACGATCTCAAAAAAAAGGGATATATTCGAAGAGAAACATATATATACAGGATGATCCTCTCTTGAAGATTATGTTTGTTGAAGAGAGAAAGAGTTTTGTGTGTTTTCGTATATATAACGACACTTCCATCTCATCCTCCTCTTGTAGGACGATCGTGGCGCGCCTCGTGGTAACGTATAATCAACACATTTTTATATCCTGCAGCCAAAAACTTCTTTCTCAATGGCCAAGAGTTGCTGGCGCACACGCTTATACCTTGTTTGCGATGTTCGTTTTTTGGGGCTACGCGAAATTACCCGACCACCTTGGGCGCCTGTACGGCCGTCGCCCCATCATCGTCTCGTCCCATAAGAGAGAAGAGTAACCTTCTTCTTTCGCAATTTGCCAATCGAGCCCGGACCCGAGATCATTCATTTGCATTTTACGATTTTTGAAGTGAAATTAACACGATGCCCTGAGAATGGTCACACGGGTCCTGAACTGCGATGACGAACTCTGCCCTATAATATGAGATTCTTTCTCTAGAGGTCAAATTTTTGTTTATTGTCCAAATTTGCCAAAATAAGGAAAATAATAGTTTCACATTTGTTTTCATCTCCAAATATTTTGTCACATAATTCCATAATTTTAGAAAATTGAAATATTTTCTAAATTAAGCAATCGTTTCCATTTTCTATGAAGTCATTGGCAATGATATAATTATAGTTGATTTAGTAATTGTATTATCAGGACGAAATTCGCTTCCGTTTTTGAATATTTTAACAGGCATATATGCCAAAGGCTAGTTCTCTTCACTAAACGTTTTACAATCCAGATCGCGTGGCTCATATACTCAAGATATCTGGCTTGTTAGTCCTCTCGGCAGCTCTCTCGAGAACGTTATTATCTTTTATTTTTTTCTACTCTTTCGTGAACACCATATACACACCAATGAAATCGTTATGAGCCATTCGCGAACAGCTTTTCAACGCGTCCAAGAAAGCCACCGCATGCAAAAAAAAAAATAAATAATCTTCACCAATTCAAATAATTGCTGATTGGCTACTGTAATGGAATGTAAGGCGCCTTTTCTCTTAGTCCATATATACTTGATGATGAACAGAGATAATTGACGGAAATGATAAATGCAGCTTGCACATTCGAATTATTAAACCGAAATGTTTTCTTAATCAATAATGGCATAAATTAATTGTGCACAATTAATTTTAATTACTCGTGCGATTCATTGTCGAATCAATATTTATTATATAAAAGAAAAAAATCTTTTTTTTATTTTTGCTTAAATAATAAAAAAAATATTCTATGTTGTCAAATATGAATCAAATATATTATTTATTTGCCAGAAAAAATCGAGACCGGTTCAACACCTTGATCAATGTTTTATTTTTTAATTATTCCGACTATGTCTTTTGCGGCTTCTTTTATCGATATATTCTTCGAATATTTTTTCTAAACTTGTATTGAAATCAGGTAAAAAAAAAACTAATAACCGCTGACAAAATGACGTATCGTTAATTGGCTTAAATATGCTAATTAATCGGGCATATTTCTTGTTTTTTTTTTTTTTCTTTCTTTATGGTCGATGATCGTATTTTATGTTGTTTTATAGAAAAATTGGGTGGCCAGTATATGGCATGATTAATATCTTTAAAATCTCTGAAGTGTTTGGGTAACGCGTTACTAATCACCGAATCTATTATGAGATCAGTCTACTAAATCAATTTTTAGCGAGACTCTTGAAAGTAATTTATCAAATTTGCTTGTATAGCATTTTCACGGTTCATTTCATGGTTTTGTGGCTACGATCCAAACATATAGAGATTTAAAAAAAAAAAGGATCTATTATATCGAATTTTGCTTTTTTATAATTTTGATTTTGAAATATCATTTTAAAGATAATTTTCATAATTGTATATATATATATATATATATATATATATGGTGTTATTGTTTAAATTGTAAAGCGAGAATAAAATCACTATGGATTATACAGGTGGGGAGAGATCTTATAAGCGTGACGATGTGAGGTCCAACGTTCGTGACCAGACGCTTCGGGATTGCGAGGACGTGGAAGAAAGGGGCGAGCGCGCGAGTGTGCTCGTTACGCGGTAGTTACCTGACCATTGGCGTAATCACCTTTATACTTTAACTGAAAATCTAGATAAATACTTAATCAGGATAGATTACATCACATAAATAGTGCGCTTGATTATTGGGCTTGGGAAATGAGAAACGAAAACTGCTTTATGCAAAAAGATAAATTAGTTTTGTTTTTTTTTATATCGTGTATACGATTTTTATTATTGCTGGATTAAAAATAGTTTTTTTTTAATAGAAAATTAATTAAATTTATTTTTTACAGTTGGACTATTTGCTACGTGACGATCAATGGAATGGCGACACTTGGATTTTTAGAAATGGATCAAATTTGGAATAATAAGAAATAACAATTTTCGAAGGAAGGGGAAATTTCAAAAATTTACATTTTTGAAAATATAAAAAGGTGAGTGATTGAGGAAAGGATTAAAAATTGAAATTCTACGCCAGTGAAAGACCACCAGGGAGCCGCCACGCCCCTAGTGAACCACACTTACTCGAGCACATAAGTCGTCGCGTACATACATGCAGAAATGATTTTAACGCACCAAGAAGGTGGTATAGGCCGCAGCAGGATGTGTATACGCGAGAAGAAGAAGAAGACACACGCGGGCCTCAATGGCGCAATGGCGGTCGAATTATGCGGCAGCATGCGCGCACGTTCTTCGCAAATACTCGTTCATCCTCTTTCTTTCCTCGTTTCCACGACGAGGAGAGAGTGTCGACAGCATAATCGCTGGTTCTGCTCCGGAGAGCTTCGCACGAACTTACTACGCCCACGCGACCACTACACATATACATAAAACTCCTTTAGGCATACTCAACTCAGTATATGCCTCACGAATCCTTCAAAAAATCTTAGTTAATTATCCAAGGATATTTTTTTGTATATCCTGATCCATATTTTGTAAGAAAAAAGAAATTCGAAATTTCTTTCTTTTATTTTCTATAAAAATTTCAAATTTTACTATCAAGTTTGAATTTGGTTTCATTAGATATATATATTTTGCTGTTAAATGATAAAGATTTTATCGTCACTATTTTATTTATCCGCGAGTTAATTGAGAATATATATTTAATGATACAAGAGAGTTAATCAATTTCAAACTTATATCATAGAAATTTTATTTAGAAAAGTTTATTTATTAGTGAAAAAAGTCGATCCATGTAAAATTTGTCGGTTTAAAAGTTTTATTTATATACACACTCTGATAAAATGAATTTACTGGCAGTAAACGACATATAGAAATACGATTATACATTTCTCTATTATAGCTTTATTTCGGCAGTAAACATGAGGTTTAGTATTTACAGATAATCAACTGAATGATTAACTGCTATAATTAAATTTTTTAATTCTTGAATGCAAGTTCTATCAGATATATATAATGAATTTCAAGGCACTTGTTTTCAATCAATAATAATATTTAAAAATAGAGAAATTTATAGAAGACTATAAAAATTATTATTATTAATTTTTGTAAATTTAATAATTGATTGATAAAAAGACATACTAATATATATGATTGTATTTTCAGGGTGAAATCTACAATGAAGAATGAATTGGACATTAACAGTGAAGTATGTGCATCTCGTTGTTTAAAAGTGGATGCTGGTGGCAATGGATATTTTCTTTCGAACCCCGTAATTAGATGGCCTCAAAAAAACCCATCTTCGAGACTGCGGAAATTCGTTATTTATAGTCTTGAAAAGGCGCCACCTACCTCGTAAGAATTTACTTTTATTTTTTTTCTCCACCCTTGTTAAAAATATTATCAAATCTCTATATCTTATGTTCTTCGTGTAAATTTGTTCTAATTTTTAATTCATATATTTTTATTTCATATTTTTTGTCTCAATATTTATCATTTTTAAATCTTTCTATATTTTTTCTCCTCTTTTTATTTTATTTGAATTCTTTTATGAAATTGGTTTGTTTTTTTTTTTTGTGAAAAAGCGTGAAAATATCTACTTTTGCACCCTGACTGTGAGTCCTTAGGTGCGATAGGAATGTACAATATTGCCAGCCGTCTGTCACTTTCGATTCGGTCAGGACAAGAGAATTTATATGTATTTGACGACCCCATGCATTCTTCCAATTTTATTACATATCCCATGGTTACCCTATACACTTATAAATATAACAGACAAAACTACGATTTCTCGAGATTTGTGACCACGCGAATTAATCTTTTCGTATTTATATATATACCGAGTCCTTATGAAACAATTTATTATTTTAATTCCGTTTCTTCAATTTTTCTTTCTTTTTTTAATAGCAAAAAAAAATATAAATTTCATAAACAAAATTAAAAAGTAGAATGTATGATAAATTTTTAAAAAAATATATATATTAATTTATAATTTCTCTTTTTTTCAGAATACGGAAATTATACTTCAATGGAAAAGAAGTTCTGAATCTTAAATTTGACTTAAAATCATTGACTACACCAAAGTTGCGTGTAAGTATAATTTTAATAAGACAAATGATCTGTCATATAAAAAAAAAATAACACACATGCTGCGTATATAGGTTTCTCTGAAAACAGTTGGAACGCGCGGCATTATGTTAATCGAGTAGTCAAAGATTTCTGCTAACCATATGTTATTTACCTGTTGTGTAAATAAGACTCAAGTCAAAAATACTAATAGAAGTCATCATAGAAATGGGATAATTTCTAGCAATAAACAATCCCTAATTATTTTTTAGGGTCTGTTTCTCCTTAACCATATTCGCTCTATATTGACGGATATATAAAAAAAGCAGACTAATCTTTTTCTGGTAGTTCAGTTTATCATCTCTTCATTATTTTTGATATTTTATTATCATCTACTGACATATTTCTCAAAAGAGATTTTTTCCTTGATTTAAAAATAAAATTCTGAAATAATTATTTAATAAATAAAAAATGAAAATTAATTTTATGGGAGCAAAATTTTTTTTGAAAGTCTTTATGAAATTAATGTCTGAAGGTTTTCTATTCGCATTTAACGATTTTTCGGGGACGTAAAATATTTCTCGCGGGTAACACACATACATTTCATTTGAAATACCGGGCATTCCGGAATTTATTGAGCGATCGTTTGTCTGACTAAAGTGCTTTTGCTGTGGAAGATTTCTAACGTTGGCATATAAGTAGAGAGAGAGAGAGAGAGAGAGAGAGAGGAAAAGAGGAAAAAAAAGCAAAAATATATGTCGGGTTGTTGGACAAAAACAAAGCGTGGTGCTACAAGCAATATAAAGATTCAATGCTGCTTCTACTTAATTGTAATGACTGGCTGTCAGACAGACTACGTTGTTGTACTTCTAGCATATGTCGGAGTAATACACACTATATTCATTGAGCTTTATACTTTTTTTTTCATCATCAGTTACTCTCGTGCAGATATGCGCGCGACATTAAGCAATTCTTTTCGAGATCACCGCATTTTTTTATTTTATTTTTTAACCGAGTCATAAACACCGTGCGACCACTATTGAATATAGCTGATTGCATCAAGTATAATTATTTTATCATTTATGTTCAAATCTATATATAATAAATCAGAATTTTTTTTATTTTAAAACGCTCTTGATTTGAAATTTCAAATGCTGAAAGTGAATTTTCGAAATTAAGAGATTTATTTTTAATTAACCAGATATAAAAAAATCAATTGTTCATTCAAACATAAATATATATCTTGATTTTGGAATTAACATCTTGTATATAATTATCTGATGAGTATAAAATTATAAATCAATGCAAACTTTCTATGCATAACATTTGTTCAAACCCATAAAACGGTTTCTTGACAATGTGTTAATTTAGCATTTAACACACTATCAGATATCACAAAACAAGTCGGTGAATTTTAATATAGAAAAATATTGTAATAAGATATCGAGGGGGGTTGTTGTTGTTGTAGAATGCGGTAGGTATAGATCTGCGAGCAATGTGTACACATGACATAAAAGTAACGGTTAATATCATTAGAATATCGCACGGACAAACCGAGTCGAATAAAAAATAAAAAAAAAAAAAGAAAATAAGGAGTGCCGAAGAAGTCGGCGCTTTTGCTACGGCGCCCCATGGCGCGCGACATGCCTCAGGTCTGACCGCCATTTAGTGTGAACCTGTCTGGCTTTGGTCCAGGGAACTGCTTCTTAATTTTCAAAATCAAATATTTCGAGAAGGAATGAAGCAGACATTGACGTTATTCACTGCGCGCCATGGACGACGACGACGACGATGATGTGCAAAATCGCCAATTTCGATCTATACATATATATATATATATTGACCACCATAATATTCCCATATGGCGCCATTGCTATTCGGTTTACGATTCGCCGACTTAGTCACTTCTATTTAATTTCATTTCTACATTCTTCAGTCTTATATATCACGTGTATAATTAATATATAGATAAGATCATCCTACGAGTCTATAGAAAACAATTTACTCAACAGTCTATAATTATTAGTAATATAGCATTGCACCATATTAATCAGGACAAAAACTCGTAGAATATCATCACTGTTTAGGATATATAGTCATTCCTAATCAGATAATGTGATTTTTCGTTTATAAACGTTTAATTATATTTTGTTATAAAGTTTGATGATTCTTGTCTTATAAATTTCTTTTGTATCATGATTTTTAATTATTGTATCAATTTTTTTTCTAATTGTATTGTTCTTATCATTTTTCTCTTTTTTCCCAGGAGCTCCGGAACTGAATAAATTATTCTATCTTTAATGATCAACGTTTTACTCCATCATATGGCGGAAAGAGAATAGCTGCGTTCTAAATTTGAATTAAGGTTTTTATATATATTATTTGCTAAACGTAAAAATTGAAAAATACTTTTTTTGGGAATTTTTTAAATTTAGATTTTAATGAGATTAAAACATATTAATTTAATTTGTCATCGAATTATATATTTTATATTAATATTATTTGTTTGTTTATACAGAGGAAGCAATATGGGTTTATTGAACCGGAGAAGGAAAATTATCATAATGAAATTGTACCTATTGAATCATCATATTTATTATATGAAGTGCAAGTGGAAAATTTGTGGAATAAGAAACGATAGAGGTATGTACGATTCGCTATACGTATATAGCGAATATTATATATTATAGAGATATGTTATGGCCCGCCATAAACGAAATGAGAAAACTGTCCAGCCGCCGTTGAAAAATCTCTACGGAATACAAATGCTTGATTTGACCGCACGCCTTTTGTGTCTGCATAAGAGAGCTGTTTTAAAAGATTATGATAACAAAATAGACGCAACAAAAAATTCGATTCTCCTTTTTCGCTTTGTTGACAATAATAATAATTGTACGAATTTTCATAAATGTCAACACACTATTTGTTTGCATAATTTGTGATTTCAAATAATATTTGTGAACATTATTTCTTGCACCTGGCGATAAGAAAATTATTTGCTATATATTTATTGCGGTACTTATCCTCTATTAAGAGATATTAAATTTATAGTCGTGAATTAAGAAAATGTACAAATTCGATGTAATATATAAGACTTTTGTATAGACTTAATAATATATATAATATTGTAAGTTGAAAGTGCTACTATGCTCACCATTAGTTCAGTGAGCTATGCTGTATTGAGCAACAGCAACAATTTAAGATACACTGAGAGCTGCATATATAGTCTCTATACTCTCGAAAGATCGAAGCGAGATTAAATACCTGCTCTGGCAAACGTTACACGCGCGCATAAATGAGAAATGACATGTAATAGCCATAAAGCAGGGTTAACTGACTTGTGAATCTAATCCGCTTTCACTTCTTAGGGTGGTAGCCATTTGGACTTTTAGTAAAAGTATATATATAATTAATTGTATAAGCAATTTTAATTCTTCGCTTTCCAAATAGAAAAATTCATCTTTATATATATTTCATTTTATATCGATTCGATTTCCACGCTTTACAATTATTATAATATATCTGGACTTTTTCCTATATGGTGCCAATTATTATCATCAGACATATTAGGTTCTAAAACTCGATTTCTCTCTATAATTCTCGCACTTATTGATGAATTCAATTTGCTGTGAACGTTTCTCTTAATTTCATCCTTATTTTTTGCCATCCATATTTTTATGTTCGTTTTCACTTGATTAAGAAAATTTGAAATTTATATTTTTCTTCTTTGCTATATATATAATTAAACCGAAACATAAATTATTGACGTTTAATTAACAATAACGTTATTTTTAATTAATTAGTGTTAATTTTTCTGTTATATTTACTGTAAATTGATATTATTTTCAATTTGAAAAATATCTGCAAACTTTCTTCTGTAATATATATACATAGCCTTGGTTTTTTTCCGAATGATTTTTTTTTAGGGAACGTACTATTTAAATTTATTATGGACCACAAAACTCGTCTCATTGCGTGGGGGAAAGGGTAAAAAAAAAAAGAAAACAGTAGTCGTCAAAGCTGTCGACAATTGGCAAACATATACTTACACTGAATATAAAGGAGACATATTAAAACCAGTTTACAAAGTTTTTATATGCATATCAATGACTTTTAGACATTAGCTTATGGATACAATAAAAAGTTACTGGTCTTGCAAAATTTTCATTTTTTTATGAAATCACATATTTTTAAAAGCAAAAAAATATTTTTTATTTTAAATTATTTAGAATCATAAATTCAAAATTAATTTTATCAAATAATTATAACTGCAAAATTTATATTTAATTATAATTTATAATTATTTATCTCTTTAAAATATATAACTATATGCAAATTTTTGTTACAGATCTGAAAATGATGAATCTTTGGAAACTATTCATTTTTCCTCAAGCAATAACACACGATTCCATTCTGCTATGAAAGAAATTCATTTCCTGATTATGATAAAATTGGAAAAATTATACGAGATGATGCGACTATGAAAAATGTTTGATCAACTGGAAATTTGGTGGCAAATATTTTTTGCTAACTATAGAATTTGGAGGAATTTTCATGGTCTTGAATCATCATTAAGAAAAGGATTTTCTCAGAGAATAATTTGACTTCCTATATAAGTTTACGATAAAACGTGAGAAACAGGCATTTATCTATATATACTCGTGTTCATTGGACCATTCTCCGATTTCTGTCAGACAAGGCGGTGCCTTCACATAGTGTCCCATACGCAAAGCAGGACATCTCGAACAAGAAGCCTACACGAACGGGCGATTCGGAATTAGATGTTATCTTTGATGAGCCGTGTGCTTCGGGGTCCCAAGCGCACATGGAAAGGGCCTCTCTTTCTCTCTCTCTCTCTCTTTCTATGCGAGACTCGCGCCGCCAATCGCCGCGAGATACAGATCTTCTTGGCGCCACCGTCAGGCTCCATAAGGACCTCGTAAGTCCTCCTCTCAGTTCCCAACTAAACCAAATAACCAAAGATATACTTTGAAACCCTTAAATGCGGTTAAAGCGTAACCGATACCCCAACGGGGGGTCCTTTTAATTCTTTTGCAGCCTTAAAAGAAATTTTTTTTTTTCAAAAAACATCCCCTTCAATTTCAAAAATAGATTTTTTTTCCTCTTCAGTATTTACTTCTTCTTCTTCTTCTTCTTCTTCTACATTATTGCATAATTTATACAAACGAAAACGATTCCTCTATTATTTTCTGATTGATTTTTGCCTGATCTGAAGTGATCTTTACTCGTGTATAAATATGATTAGTTTAATCTATATATCTAAAACATAATTAAGTCCTGTTTGTCTATTCATCCATAGCATCGTTTCTATACTAATCATTTTTGATAGACGTTTTGATGATTCTCGATGGCAAAAGTTGATATTATTATAATTTTATGAGAGAATTTTTTCGTTTCTATTTTATTGTATGAAAATAGAATTAAGAAATTTGTTATTTTTTGGAAACTATACAGAATAGAGAGATAATTAGATGATATTATACTAATCCTTTTAAATAAACATACAGTTGGATCATTATCGATCCATCCTATTAAAGCTGGTATATATACATATAAAGGGCTTAAAGAGGGAACCAAGTGAAAAGGGAAAACTTGTTCCAAGAGAGAGAAAGAGAACCCACAAGGGCTTTCTTTGTATAATCTTTGTTCGGATCTGGTCGTAATTGCGGAAAAATTATAGCAATAGGCTTGTAACCTATTAATTTTTTAAACAGATATTATAACAAAAAAATCAAATTTAAATGTGAGTTCGAATTTATTTGGATTTGACAATATTAAAAAAAATTCTATACAATATTCAGATTCGTACTTATATTAGTCACTCCACAATCATACGTGAACAAAAGCTTGAAATTTAATTTAACAATATATATTTTTAGTAAAATCTATCAATTTGGTATTTGTGTGTAAAAGCATAAATTTAAAATATACAATTTGAATCGCAAGAATAAGTTATTTTTGTTTTTACTTATCTCATATATATTTCTCGGAATTTGATGAACAAGAAGCGCAGACACGTGGAGATAGAGTTCTCTTTTGGATGAGCGTCAGTCACAATTTTTGGATTATTTCAGTATAATCTTGGTCAAACATACAATTAATAAGACGAATCTCGGCCGAATCGAACTCAGAGAATCTCGTGTCGTTATTTCCTTCGAATATTGTTTTGAGACAAATTCTCACAAGGCTAGATTTGATATGTAGAAATAAACAGGTGGTCACCAACTTGCGACGCTTCAAACAGAGGTTTAATCCCCGCTTCCAAAGCAACGATAAAAAAACAGGAATATCCACCTTGTTTCCGCCCACACCTGGACTGTACAAATTATACAATAAAATCAATTAGATCCCGCTACACTTTTTCGTTTAATACAATTACAATTTACTTACCCCGCTAACGGGTATACTATGCTCGTCGCAGCGCGACTCTTGCGATTCTAATATTCGCGACACACACAATACCGCTCATATCGCTTTCTTTCATTCGGTAGTAATCGGATTACTACCGATTACGCACGAGATTTACATACACGTAACAATCTATTCGGCGATCCCCGACTAATATCAAAATTCGTTACATTTATCCCCCTATTTCAATATAAGGGTGTCAAACACATATTGGAATATAATCACCCGTGATCGCCACACATCCAAATATTATGAGTTTTCTTTAAGATTAGACAGTCTTCGTCGACATACATTTACAATGACCTTGTGGGCAATTTACCGATGACACATACATATATTATTCTTTTTTTTTTTTTTACATTCTTTTCATAGATCCATCAGTCGAATGATCAATCAGCAACTCATCGCAATACTCAACAAATCCGCGAAATATGATAAGTTTGCGTCATCACATCACCAGGAAATGATCGCTCATCAATCAACTACAAACTCACCTCAGAACGTTCATTATACCTTTTTAATAAAAATCGATTGTACGTTCCCAGGACTAAATTTTCATCCGACACATCAGACAAAACGAAGGCATTATTTTGCAAATCTCGACTAATTCTATATGGACCTTCATATAAATGAAACATCTTTGATGTCAATTTCTTTACTGCACTTGATAAATGTTTTACCCTAACCAGAACAAGATCACCAACTTTTAAGGAAATATTACTTCCACCCTTTTGCTGTTTCACGCGTTTTTGAAACGCCTTTCTCAAATTTTCGTTCGCCATTTCAATTTGAAATTTTCTATCAAGTGAACGTCTTTTTAGTAAGGGAAACATTTCATAAATTTTTTCATGCACGGTTTCACCAAAATGCAGTTCATACGGAATAGCACCTGTGCTATTACTATACGAATAATTTAGACAATCCTCCACGAACGGAACTATCCGACCCCATGACGAATGATTATCGGCACAATAAGCTCGAAACATCCTCCCCAACTCACGCATCGTTCTTTCTACGGGGTTCGATTGAGGATGCCTCACAGACGAAAATATGGCCTTAACATCGTGAGATTCCAATGTCGATTTCCACAGCTCCGATGTGAACTGTGTTCCATTATCGGACAGTATGCGCTTTGGCTTCCCATATTTTTTAAAATATTGCTTTTCTAAGATCTTTAAACAAATCTGAGTATTTGCCCGACGTATAGGAAATAAAGCTACACACTTAGAAAAAATGTCTTGCACGACAAAAATATATTTCATTCCACGTATCGAAGACGGAAGAGGACCAAAAAAATCAACCGAAGCGAGTTCATGAGGTCCCGAGACACTCACAAAATTATAAGTACCCTCCATTCGATAATTTATATATTTTGTCTTCTGACATAGATCGCAAGTACGCACGAAATTCTTTATGTCTTTACGCATATATCGCCAAAAGAAAAATCTCTCGATATATTTCTGCATTTTTTGACCGCCCGCGTGTCCCAATTGTTCATGAATCGATGACAATAGCGTTGTTATAAAAACTCTAGGGATCATTAACTTCCAATCCTGATCATGCACAGATTTACCATAAAGAATTTCATTATCCTTTCGGAAATCCATAGATGAGTCAGATTTTTCTCTCATACGCATTATCATTTCATCACAACCCTGAGACTCCGCAAGATTTACAACTTCTTCCAGTAATTCTTGTTTCATTTCTAAACTCGACAGCAAAAACTTTTGCTTATTAATCTCATCATTATCAGCGCAACATTTTACCAATTCACGTACGAAAAATTCGTTTTCTTTACACGAGGCACCAATCTGATTATCAAAATTTCGGCTAAAAAAATCAGCTATAACATTATCCGTTCCTTTACAATGATATATAGTATAATCATACTCTTGGGCAAATAACACCCACCTCATCAACCGCGCATTATGATACGGAGTGTTCAAAAGAAACGTAAGCGCCTTATGATCGGTTACTATTTCAAAGTGCTCTCCAAGAAGATATCGCCTGAATTTCAATAGTGAATAAATTATGGCCAACAATTCTTTTTCAGTGACAGTGTACCGGACCTCGAATTTAGTTAACACACGACTAATCAACGCAACGATTCGCATTTCACCCTCATCATCTAACTGGTATAAGACACCGCTTATCCCCGCATCGCTTGCGTCTGTCTGTAATCTAAACATTCTATCGGGTATTACGTGATGCAAAACGACCGAGTTCATAAAATTTTTTTTTATTTCACAAAAGGCTTGTTCGTGTCCTTTGGACCAACTCCATTTTGTATTAGGTCTAAGAAGATCCCGAAACGGCGCAATAAAATTTGCATGACTTCGGACAAATCGTCGCGAGAAACCGCACACTCCAAGAAAACCTTGTAACTGCTTCCTATCCCTAGGAGGTGGAAAATCATTAATAGCTTGCAATTTTTCGGGGTCAGCACGCACCCCAGTCTGATCAATAATCACCCCTAAGAACTTTACTGATTCACAGAAAAATCGAGACTTTTTTAAACTTAATGTAAATCCTAATTCAATTAATTTCTTGAACAGTTCATTTAATAAATCAATATGTTCTTCAAAAGATTCTGACGCAATCAGAAAATCGTCAATATATACTTTTATACGCGACAACAATCGATCCCCCAATCCCAGACTTACGGCTCGAATGAAACCTGCACCCGCAGTTTTAAGACCAAATGGTATTCGACAGAACTGATAACATTTGCCATTATGCATGAACGCCGTATACTTTCGCGATTCTTTCGCTAATGGCACCTGCCAATATCCATTTACAAAATCAGTGGTTGAAATATATCTTATTCCTTCGTCATCTTTTAATAAATCATCGATTTTTTCCGGGGATTCGTTATCCGACTCAATTATTGCATTCACGAATCTCGCGTCAAGACACACTCGAACACTACCGTCTTTTTTAGCAACGACCCTCAACGGACTACAAAATTCAACTTCCGCTCTTTCTATTATTTTTAACCGTTCCATTTCGGCAATTCGTTCGTCAACCGGCTTTTGCAATTTAAACGGAATCGGGTATGATTTTTTTACAATTATTTTATCATTAATCGGTCGAATTTTGTGTTCATAAATATGGGTACATCCGGGTTTGTCTGAAAAAACCGCACGATTTTCCATTAATAATTCGCGAACAATCCATTTCTGTTCATCATTCAACGTCTTTATCTCATCTATATAATGCTCGACTTCTTCCTCAAAATTTTTACCTATTTCAATCTCTATATTCTGTACAAAATGATTTTCTATTCCCTGATTTGACACGGACTGTTCGTAACATTGATCCCCCCTTTCGGAATCTAATTCTTGTGAATCTATATACACATTTCCCAAATTACAAACATTTTCTTTATCTAATTGACCCTTGGAATTTTCGTTCGTTTGGTACCATAAATCGTGCTTAATCACCAATAAATTACATAATCGTATCGATTTTTCTACCGGTTTCGAGTGGAAAGATATTTCTTCGCTATTCAAATTAATACCATTAAATTTTATAATTTTACTTTCAAAATCAATAATCATTCTAAAATGGGACTGCCAATCAGCACCAGCAATAATTTGTGACGATAAACTTGGTACAACCAAAAATGGAAAAACTACTTCCTCATTTCCTACACCGATCGTAAGCTGAATTTGTTTTCTTATAGTCGTAGCCTTACTTCCCAGTGCACCATGAATCGATACGTTACTCACTGGTAGTTCGGACAATTTACACTCTCTTTTTAATTCATTGTATAAATTCTCCGAAATACAGGTAACTTCACTTCCCGAATCAATAAGCATTGGATATTTCCCGTTGACAATACGAATCATCATTCGCGGACTGACTACACGAGGCTCTATTTTCAACTCCATATCGTTATTATTTGGTTGCACATCCCAGCAAAGTTCCTCGACAAAATCTGTCTCCTTTGCCTTTTGCAGCGATCGTACATTTTCTCTCGAAACTTCCGAACTATCCTTACTAGAATTATTTTCTTTATTTTCAACATTGTTATCTCGATTATAATTATCTCTTTTTCCCCATTCACGATTTCTAGCACCGCGATTATCCTGAAATCTGCCCCGCGAAGTTTCATACGAATCATTTCTTTTAAATTGCCTATCACCTCGATCACGCCAATTTTCACTTTTTTGTCCCTCTTGATTACACTCATTTTGGGTTTCATTCGGTAAATTATTCGGCTTACTAGAATTCGAGTGATAATTATTTTTTGTTGGATTATAAGAACTATTGTTTTGATTACTATTTTGATTTTGATAATGACCCGAACCCTTATCTTGACTTCCCGCATGTGATAAATCTAAACGCGCGAGTGCCTGAGAGATTTTCATACTATCATCGTAATCGATAGTCGCTAAAATATCTCGAACTCTTTGAGGAAATTGATTCATTATAATAAAATTTATTTCATGTTGCTCCATACGCGGTACAGAGATTCTTGCCATTCTAATTTGTTCGTTATAGTATGTTAAAAGCGATTTGTCCTGTGTCCGAAATCTTTTATTCTCCCACTCTGACTTCGCTTTCATACGCGCCTCGAGTGAAAAAAATTTTTCCATAAACTGGTTTTTAAAATCCTGGAAACTATAAAAAGGAATCGCGACCGTTTCGAACCATATCTTGGCGGAACCCTGCAGTGCATCTTCGACAATCAACAATTTATGACTCTTATCAATATTTTTTCTAATACAATATTTTTCAAATTGTTTAATAAAATCGATTGGATTATTTCGCTCCGGTTCAAAAGTAGGTAAAACTAAATTAATTTGTAGAGCTTGAAATTGTTTTAATATTCCGTTAATTAAATCACTATTCATTTGAGATGATTCACCTTGCGAACGAAAACTTGTACTAGGCATTTCATTGTTTACTTTATTATTATGAATACTCGTATTAAAATCAATCATTTTATTTTGACTGTCAACATTTTGTCCATTATGTGTCGGAACATTGTCCTTATTTACCTCAATAATAAAATCTTTTTGCGTACCCATATCCTTACGTTCACTCACGAATGTGCGAGTTGCGTTCTGAGACGATTTTTTGCTGACCTCCTCAAGGCGTATTATCTCTTTTCGCAGCAATTCATTTTCCTGATGAGTAGATTTTCGCTCTCTCTTCATTCTATCTATCTCGTCTTTAAGATCCGCAATTAGTTGGTGTTGCTGATTCATCATTGCCTGTATTTGACCTTCAGGGTCATCGTCACCTTTCTTAGGTTTCGTCATTGTTGATATCTACAAACACACAAATATAATCAAATACTGCTTTCACGATTTCAATATTTCGAACAAATAAAATATTTCGAATACTATCAAACCAAATTGCCACTTAGTTGAGCGCCAAAAATGTAACCTATTAATTTTTTAAACAGATATTATAACAAAAAAATCAAATTTAAATGTGAGTTCGAATTTATTTGGATTTGACAATATTAAAAAAAATTCTATACAATATTCAGATTCGTACTTATATTAGTCACTCCACAATCATACGTGAACAAAAGCTTGAAATTTAATTTAACAATATATATTTTTAGTAAAATCTATCAATTTGGTATTTGTGTGTAAAAGCATAAATTTAAAATATACAATTTGAATCGCAAGAATAAGTTATTTTTGTTTTTACTTATCTCATATATATTTCTCGGAATTTGATGAACAAGAAGCGCAGACACGTGGAGATAGAGTTCTCTTTTGGATGAGCGTCAGTCACAATTTTTGGATTATTTCAGTATAATCTTGGTCAAACATACAATTAATAAGACGAATCTCGGCCGAATCGAACTCAGAGAATCTCGTGTCGTTATTTCCTTCGAATATTGTTTTGAGACAAATTCTCACAAGGCTAGATTTGATATGTAGAAATAAACAGGTGGTCACCAACTTGCGACGCTTCAAACAGAGGTTTAATCCCCGCTTCCAAAGCAACGATAAAAAAACAGGAATATCCACCTTGTTTCCGCCCACACCTGGACTGTACAAATTATACAATAAAATCAATTAGATCCCGCTACACTTTTTCGTTTAATACAATTACAATTTACTTACCCCGCTAACGGGTATACTATGCTCGTCGCAGCGCGACTCTTGCGATTCTAATATTCGCGACACACACAATACCGCTCATATCGCTTTCTTTCATTCGGTAGTAATCGGATTACTACCGATTACGCACGAGATTTACATACACGTAACAATCTATTCGGCGATCCCCGACTAATATCAAAATTCGTTACAGGCTTACAGAGAACCGCCTAAGGGATTTACTGTGGCTTCAAGTAATCCTTGCCTTCTATAGGTGGTCCAAGGTGCAATAGTCATTTTTACAAATCCTTTTCCGCCCCCCCCCCCAATTGTACTTCAAGTTTTCCTTTTTTTTTCTCAAATCACCATTTTAGAAAGAAATATATCTAAAAATATTTCTTTACTGTAGAAAATAAAATTTTTGACGTTACAATAAGAAATTATTGTTGTATTACACACCCGTTGATTTTTTTTTCCGTTTTACTGGAAAACAATGAAAGAAGACGTCAAATTAGAATATAAAAATTTGCTAATGATGAATGCATCATTCTTCTTTCTCGTTCGCGAAGGACTTACATACTTGGAGGTACTTTTATTAAACTCGGTTTCTTCACAGAATGCATCGTATAGAAATGTAATGTCTGTTGAATGCGAAGTACTTTATACGGCAGTTGCGATGAAACGTAAATTAATGACACGCTTTGAAACGCCGTTAAAATACTATAAGAAAAAATTTATTTGATTCCAATAATCGCGGTTGACTATCATTAAATAATTATTTAAAGCAAATAATATTTATTTAAATTGAATAAACTGGTGCAGAAAAAAACAACGCGTAATTGGCCAACGTAATTTTTTCTTCCGATTTTTCATGGGCCACAATTTTGGAACTAATTTAAAATTTAGAAATATATACATTCCCCTCTCGATCTTTCTTATTTGATAATGAAAAATATGATTCTTAATAGGGCGATAAAATGTTCAGGTCTCTCGGATGCTCCGCCTCGGTTTCCTTTATATTTTCTAATTGAATTATACAAAAAAAAACTCCAAAAGTTGTTTTTATGTTTTTTAAACGTAAATTACATTTTAAAATATTTTGTATACCATATCACGACCGCATAGAAAAATTTATATTTTATTGGAAAAAAAATTACCTGGGATAATTTTTTTTTTAATTACATATTTCGATAATTTATTAGCAATTGAGTTTGTAATTTTAATTATTACCCCTTTTTATGTAGAAGAAACAATTTACGTTTTATTTATTTCTAAAATATTATTTATTTATAAATTTAATTTTTATTTTTTTCTTGCAGATTAATTTGGCACATGAGTGTAATTATATTACACATGAAATTTGCAATTGGATGGAAATACACTTGAAAAATTTGAAGTAAGTTTTTTAAGAAAAAAAAAATACAATAAGAATGAATGGCGCCAGTTGTAAATATTTTCTGTCATCGGTCGGTCTGTCAAGTCCATATATTCCGCACCTAAAATAAAGGTGCATCCCTAAAAAGCATGTTGGACCAATGTGTCACCTGAGCCTAGTAGCAAACACTGATGGTGTCGATAGCGGCACTTTAAGAAAAAAAAATATATCGTTTCAATTTAAATATTCAATTTTGAAAATGAGTTTTTCAAAGACTGCTTCACCTGCTTAAAATTCTAATCTTACATCGAAATGTGCCATTAAAAATTATAGAATAGAAAAAAAACATCCTACTTTTTTTTCTACTAAAAATAGAAAAAAATTACATTTTAAATTAATTTATAAATTTAATTATTTTTCTTATTTTTAAAAAAATAGATAATTCCTTGGGAATCGATTCAAAAATTCAGGTTTATCAATTTCTAAAATTACGATCTTATAGCCTTGAATAAAGATGTTCTGAATATTGAAAAAATTCTCATAAAATCATTAACCCGTTTATAGACACGAAAATTTTGAGTTAGATACAAATATGTTACTAAAAAAAGACATTCCTTTGAATCACATGCTGTGAAAAGACATTAAAATATTAGACATTCCTAATATCAATTTAATAATCTCTACTACTACCGATCATATAACGATCTTGAATGTTCAAAATTCACACCTAAATTAAATTTAACTCTAATAGAATCTTTTTAAAAAGAAACCAATAAACTATGATTTCATCATTAACGATGTTTCCAATTACCTCCAAAAAAGTCTTTCTAACAATATTTCTCGCGTTTGTTTAAAAATATCGAATTTCTATATTATTTACGTTTTCCTTTCTTTTTTTAAATGTATTCTTAATTATATATATATATATGAAGAAAATGAAATAAGTTATGACATTTTTCAGGAGTTGACTTTGGGCGTGGAATATTGCCTCTTTCTGCGAGGAGAATGGATTCAAGTGAGGTGGCAGTTGAAGATAAAAATCTTTTTTCCTTACTCAGGTCCAAAAAGAAAAAAAATCACTCGTACGTCTCCAAAATTTTAGTTTTTGGGTTGGTCATCTCACTTCTTGGCCTTTTTAATTATCTCACAGTGCGCCCACAATAACAAGACAAAGGATCAGTCGATTCACCGACGACTCAGGTAGCTGGCCCGTTATCCTTATATGCAGCTTCCAACCTACTCTCACGACAAGAAGATTAGGGGGTGACATTATGACACGCCATTGACGACCCTGGCGAGAGAACAGCTATTTTCAAAACTAGATCCTCTTTTATGATAACGGTTCATCTCAGCTCGTTTCGAATGCAACACGCATATTGGTAAGAAATTTTTCACCTCGCAACTTTCTTTCATTTTATTTATTTTAATTTTTTCTTTTTCATTAATTAATTTTCTATTCTGTTAAAAATATGCAAAATTTGAATCATCTCAAAAGATTGTTAAAAAAAAGTATTTTTAATTATAAAATATTAATTAATTAATTGAATATTAAGTAATTTTATGAAAATTGATAAAAAAAATTTTTTTTTGTTAAAGAGACGTTTATGTATATTGGAAAGTGGTTTGAAAAACTTGATAAATATCTTAAATCTTTAATTTGCAACACACGCGAATAATACGTATATATATTGATAAAAAAAAATCGAGGTGAATGGCGTTTCGTAAATCTTAAGCGAGTGTAACTCATCTCACTCTATATAGGAAGCCCAGTTCTGTACCGGAGTTGTTTATGTTTTCCTGTGCAGCAGTTTCTGAAATGCAAATCACGAATTCGCATAATGGTACTATCGCGATACTGCATATATAGGACAGGAGATGAGATAGCGTTGGGTTATTATAATCAAAAAGTCCACATTTTTATCTTTAATATTTTTATATCAATGAAACTTTTTTTTTATTACAAACACCTCTCTCACGAAAAAAAAACGTATCGATTATAATTACATTTATTTTAAAACAATCCTAAATTTGCATTTCAAATTTATTGCATTAAATTTTCTATTTTTAAATGAAATTTACTTTTTTTGCAGAATTCAATGAAATAGAGAAAAGGGAAGACATTTAAGATATCCATTTAAGAAGAATAATATTTTAAATGGAAAAATTGGAGGTCAGTGTCGGTCCAGAAAAAAAAATGCATCATCTGAAAAATGTAGAAAAAATATTTCGCAGTTAGGACAACTTTATAAATACAAAGGTAAATTTCTTATATTCAAAACTTAAATTTTAAAATTAAAAATTTTTATATTTTTAGAATTAAGTTTATAAAACAGAGAAGCAAAGGTACAATTCAGTATAATCAAATTGAAAAATGATTAAAAAAATTTTAGGAAAATATTACATAATATAAAACTGAACGAAAAAAAAGAATATATTATGTAAAGCTATATAATATAAGGTAGAGATAGAACATTGCGTTTCTTGCATGAAACTTTGGAGAGAGAGAGAGTCGCGGAACAACGTAATTTGTCCTAAAAAATTACGATCTCAAGTGTGGAAATTTATGGTTGACCATGTCGTCGGAAACCTTAAATTTAACATCCAGTGTGGTTGGCGGCTTCACGGAGGTTGCAGGGAATTCTACGACCGGGTTGAAAAAGAAGGGAAAGAGAAAGAGGCTGGGGAGAGTGGAAAGGAGAAACGGGGGTGGTACGGCATAACACAGAGCGCACAGCGAAGCACATCTGAATAAAATGATAATAAACCGCGTTGTAGAGCTCCTCGTGTTCGTCGAGAGAGACTTCGCGTTTCGAATCCGAAACGAAATAAGCGAATATATAGAAGGCACCGCATGTCGCGCATAAAAAATAAACAGTATTTTTTTCTATTTTTTTTTTTTTTATAATATTAACCAAGTCATTTTGCAAAAAAGAAACCATTTAATTTAATCTATAATTAATTTATTTACTTACTATATAAAGGATTATAGTATTAAAAAAAATTAATATCCTTTGAATTTTTGTTGTGAAAGATCTAGATTTCTTCAGTTTCCCAATGATCTCTTGAGATCCTTCTAAGAAAAAAATCATTCAGTTTCCTGATTTTCTTTCGAAATTCTTCTAAGAAAAAATCCTTCAGTTTCCCGATTTTCTTTCGAAATTCTTCTAAGAAAAAATCCTTCAGTTTCCCGATTTTCTTTCAACATTCTTCTATGGAAAAAATCCTTCATATTACTAGGAAAATTGAAATCACTTTTCCGAAAAGATCCATTCAAATTCTTTACGATTTCTGAAAAAATTTAAGATTATTCAAGGAACTGAGAAAAATGCTTTTAAAATTTTATTTCCATATTTCGCTTATAATTTTTCAACAAAATATATTTTAGAATAATTATAAAACAAAAATTTAGAACTATATTTTAGAATAATTATAAAACAAAAATTTAGAACTACATTTTAATTAATTTTTTAATTTAAATAAAAAATGAAGATTAGAAATTTAATCAGATATAATAAATAATTTCGTAGATTTTTTTTTTAAGACAACTGTTTATTACGAATAATCAATCTACATGCGGTGGTAAACCTTATTTTTTATGTAAATGCTTGTTACATATCTCTACAAAAACGTACAATTATACAAGATACTCTAAATTGCTAACAAAAACAATTTCAGAATTTTTTTTTTCTATCACAGGCAACAACGTTTATATGAATGAAATCAAAATAGGGTATTAAAAATACATCTGTATTTTATTATTTTTTTTCATATATTATTAATTAACTATAAAAAAATATAATTCAGTGTTGGATTTAGAAAAACTTAGTGGTTTCTATTATTGAATATTTTATGATACACACCTTTTTCATATACATGTACGTTATAGACAAATTTTACAGTAAAATATTATCAATTTCCTCAAGTGCCGTGGGATCGTTAATTTTCACAAATTAAATCGATTTTAAAAAATAGAGTAAATAATAATTTTTTTTTTAATAATGAAATAATTATTATAATATAAATATAAATAATAATTTATAATATTTTTTTTGTATTCTTTTTTATTTTTTTTTTTTGTTTTGGAAATAGTTCAGAACTCTTTGGATAGCGTCAAATATAGCGTCTTAATTATCTTAAAGCTTTAATGCTTCAATGCTTTTAAAAGTGGAGATAAAATCACATATTTTTGTCAAATTCAGTTATGGGCGTATATAGAAAAGTAAAAAAAGCTTACTTAATTTCTAGCTTTTTCATCACTACAAAAAACATCGATTCAACTATTTTTTTTTTTTTATCATTTTTCAATAACTAAATTTAATACAAAAAAGTGAATTATTTCACTTTATAAACATTTTAATGTTTCAATTTATATATATAATATATATTTATATTATACATATTCTTTTTATAAAGCAAAACGTTCATATTATCAGTAAACAAATTTTTTTTTTTTAAATTGACTAATTTACTCAACAATTTATTTTTTAAATTTGAGTAATTAAATAAACTACTACATAGCACTTCTGTGAACAATATATTTAAGAATGATTTAGAAATAGCAGCCTTTTTAAAATCCTATAAGAGAGCTGAAAAAATTTGATTTTTATATGATTAGCAATCCATTTTGGATTTGGAAACATTCTCTCTCTTTTTTTAAAATAACTTTAAAAACCCTCTTGAGTTACTTTCGTCAAATAATGAACGTGTGTGTTATTTTTTTTTTTTTGTGAAAATGTGGCGTTAATACTGTTACGCCTTTTAAAAACTTATAATTTAGTAAAATCTAGCTTCTACATTAAATTGTATATACAGATTATAATTTTTTATACATAACATTATTTCAGGTCATTATGATTAAACTCGATGTATGGATTTAAAATGAATTTGGTATTTTAGTGAATTAATATAGGCCTTTTTAACGTTAATTTGCACCTTACTTATATTTTATTGCAATTCGTGTTTCCAAATTAAATAATTCACTGAAAAATACCTTTGCACCTGTGAATCTAGAGTTCTGTTTTATTAAAAAATTTTACTAATTATTTAATTAATTAGTTTCTTGTTTTTTTTATTATTGAGTAATTAATTAACAAATATATTATTAATTAATTATTAATAAGTCTCTTACTGCTTAATTCAAAAGAAACTTATTAATTAGTTTTTGAAGAAGAAAATTGAAGATATTTCAATTTAAATATCTCAACAAGTAATAAAAAAAAGTAAAATAAAATTTTTCCGTTAACAATTTTTGTTTTCCAACTCGAAATTTATATTTTAGAACTCTAGCCATCTAACCATTTTTAAAATATTTACAATAATTTTTACACGATAATGGATCGTTGAAATACTTTACAAGTCTATTCTAAATTCGTTAAGGAAGCACGTAACTTCTTTACTATGTAATAATTATTATCATCAAAACTTTTCAAGTTACACTCAGTCTCGTTGCACGTTTTTTTTTTAGAGAACTTTAACAAGAATTCTCTTTGCGGTAATTAACGATTTATTATTATTTTTTTTTTGTTTTGAAAAATCCAAAATCTGGATGGAATGCTTTCAGTGGAAGCGTACTTAAATAGTACCTGGAATTGTTGCTGGGAATGTAACAATTTCAGTTTTAAAATCCCACTCAGACTTTTTCTTCAAAAATCAATTAACTTTAAACGTTAGATGTCAATTTGAGAAAAATGTTCTTTTGAGATTCAAATAAATGTCGATAATTTATAGACGTTTCATTTATGAATTTAAAAATGTATTAATTTATTATTTAAGAACGTTTGACACATTAGGCAAAATAATTTTTTTAATATTTAATTTTTATACAATATTATAAGTTAATAATTTCGAAAACATTTTAATATTATTAAAAATATTTAAAATTAATATAATTAAGCAAATTAATTTTTTTTAATTTGTTGTTTTTTATGCCTTTGTTTTCATTAAAAAAAAAAATTGTTGCCTTTGTGTCACACGCTTAATAATAAATTTATAAATGAAAATTAACTTACAATGATGAATGTATCATTTATAAATTTGCTTGTAAATTTAACATTTACAAACGAGATTCGATGTAATACTGACCATTTTTAAAGAGCTTCTGATTATTTACAAATTTTCGATAGAAAAAAAATTCTATTCGATAGAGTAGAGCCTTGAAAAGAAAAGAAAATTTTCTAAAACTAGATACAATAATATTAAATGGGGCAAGTCTTAATTTTTGTGGTTTTTTTTTTCTCTCTACAAAGCAGTGCTCTCAATTGGAGAAGTGCACCTACTGTGTGAATGACATTTTTCACTGTGGCATAATTCTGGTATTTCACTTTCATCTCGAAGCTTATCTAAATCGAGCTCTGAGAAAAAATCACTTTTCATTGTACCCACCGCACTATCCAAATCAAAACTATCCTTCCTCTGAACTTCATAAGAATTTGATGGATTTTTCAATCTATTATTATCAACAGCCTTTAATTTACTTTCGAGAATATTTTTCAAATCCATTTCTTCGGAAAAATTATCAATTTTCGATGGAAATTTTTGGCAAGATAATTCTTCATTTTTCTCACCAAATGAATTATCTAATGATTCATCGTCTTTTGAGAAGGCATTTTTTGTTGTTTCTTTTGTTGGTGATATTTTTGTTCTTCTTAAATAACAACCAGTTGTCTTTGAATGAACTGTATCGTCTACGGATACGGAACCTTTACGTGATTCATTTTCTTTTGAATTAGAATTATTACGACGGCAAGTTTTATTTTCCTTCTCAGAAGGTGTTATTGATTTACTAATTTGCCTCAAATATGTACCAACAATATTAGTAGAATTTGGTGTTTTAAATTTAATTTTATCCTGTTGTGATAATAGTGAATTATTAAGTTTGTACTTATTTTCATGTTTTGATTCTGTTCCTGGTTCAATATTACCAACGTATTTAATTTTATCAAGTGTTACTTTTGCATCAAATTCATCATTTTTGTCTTCGTCTTTACATTTTATATTTTGTAAACTTCGTAAATTTTCTTTGGTAATTTCTGAAGAATTTTTCGATTTATTATGTGTTCTCAAATATCGTCCACTAAATCCACTAACATCTGGAGAAACAAGAACAGTTTCTTTTTTTTCAGAGGAATATTTTCTTCCACGATGACGTCCATTATTTTCTTGATTATTTTGCCTTGAATATCGAACAGATTCAATTACCTTCTCTTCTGATGTACCACGTTCTGGGGAAATTTCCCTTTCCAATGTACTGTCATTGCATCCCCCTCGTTTTCTCTCCTGATGAACTTGACCTTCGGTAATTGGTTTCAATTGAGGTGCCAATGTCTCGGGTGTTGTTGATTCACTACTACTTGGACTTGGTCCCATGTAATGTCGAATATCAAATTCAAGATCAGACGGTAGACTTGCACCAACTGATAAATGCATCGCTAAACCTTCAAGCCAAACTTCCATAATTTCAAAGGGCGGTCTTTTATCGGGATTTAAATCACAGCAGAGAAAAGCTATTGTATAAAATGTTTCTGGACAATTGGCGCAAAATTTCTCCTTAAAAACATGTTTATTTAATCCAAAATCCGATGATCTTGGTAAATAATCAGGATCTGCTTGAACTCTACCAATAATTTCACAGACAACAATTCCAAAACTAAATATATCAACTTTCTCATCGTATTTATTACCCTTCATCATTTCTGGTGCCATCCAATAGGGACAACCAACAACTGTGTAACGTTTTTTACGTTCCTTTTTCGAGCATCTTACCTCGGAATGTCTGTGCATTATTCTCGCGAGTCCAAAATCAGCGACAACAACTGTTTTATCCTCGCGAACGAGACAATTATGAGAATTTAAATCACGATGAATAATATTCATGGAATGTAAATATGCCATGCCAGCTGCAATGTCTTTTGCAAATGAAATTCTTTGCTCCCATGGTAGATGCTTTCCATCATGAAGTTTCTCGCGTAGAGTACCTCCTGCAATGAATTCGGTGACGAGATGAAGTTTTTTGTCTTTGTAAAGAACACCGATAAAACGTAGAACATTATTGTGATGTAATGATCGAAGAACTGCGACCTAGAACATAAATTGTTGATAAAATTTCTCCCATAACATATATATTTTTCTTAAAATTAATTCTTACCTCTTTTAAAAAATTTTTTTGCGCTTCCTCGTCGACCCGATAGAGCTCTTTGAGCACCATAACTTCATTTGTATCACGATGAGTGACCTTATAGACTTGTCCAAAAAATCCTTTCCCCAAAAGTTCGCCCTTGATCAAATCGCTGGCTCGAAAAATTCTTTGATTATTCGGTTCAACACGAAACGATCTCGTACGACTTAAATCGCATGTGGGATTTGGCGACGTTCTACAAACATATTAATATTAAGTATTAATTTTTATTTTAAAATATTCTAAATTATTTTTCAAATTCAATTCTTACACATCCAATAATCTTGACATTGAACTGCTTCTTTCTTTATGTGCTGGATCCTTTGTTCTTCGTAATTGTCGACTTCTTGTTCCACTAATGTAACCTTCATCTCTTCTTTTAAAAATTCTCTCTTTACTGTCGGGACTTGTTTTTGGACTTGATGTTGACATTACTGTGGACGGAATATTTGAGAAAATAGGCCTACGTGAAACTGCATCTGGATCATGTTCTATTGTTAACTGTTAATAAATAATAAATATAATTAATTATTTTTTTAAAACTCATAATTAAATTACTCATTTGCAAAAAAAGAAAAAAAATACCTGTAAAACTGAGTCTGAATATCGAATTAAATTTTCGATACTTTCAATTGGTTGATCTTTAACAGGTGTGCCATTGACTTCCAAAATTCGATCTCCAATGTGTAAAGACATAAGATCGTTAGACATATTAAGCCTGAAAATTAATTTTCATTTTAATAAAATGATTAAAATTTTTTTTAATAAATTGTGCAACAGTTGCGATATTAATCATCAAAATCTTATACTTGTGAAAAGTTACAAAATATTTAATATCTACATAAAATATATGTAATTTTTTTGTTAAATTTTCTTTTTATTTACATTTTTTTAAATATTGAAAATAAAATAATTTTTTTCACAAGAAATTAACATCGCAAACTCTTCTATTTGAAGGACAATTAAACATGACATGCAATTTTTAAAGTGCAGGTGCAATTTAATAAAAAAATCCACTGAAATCTCGTTTCTGAAAATTGAATTTAGTTATAGTTTCTGATAAAAAAAAAAACAAATTCACTGAAATAAAAATCGTGCAACCCGTTTAATTAACATTTTTCTGCTTCATTTCACTGCAAACTTTGTAAATAATAATTGTTATTTTGCTTTTTCATAAAGGGAATTTATGTGCAAATTACCAAAATTCGATTCATTCAACAATAATTGACATGTGGTTGGATCAAATTTGTATAATTATTTTTTAATAAAATTAAAAACTAAAATAATGTTAATTTTAGTGAAAATGTTATTTCTAGATTTTAAAAATTAAATTATCACAATCACGATTTCATGCAAGTGATTAAAAAAAATAGTGTATTAATTATTATTATTTAACCCAACGCTATTAAAATAAAAGGGATATTAGTCTAAATGAATTTCTAACTAGACACAAGACTAAAGAAGCACATTATTTACTGTTATAAAGTACCTATGATTAGAGAAGTGGCAGCAAAGTCTAAAGAAAACCTCCATCACAGAGGCCACCAGCTTACAGATCTTTCCACGAACATTTTTCAATAACCTGTATTTTTAGTGCAGAGTTATTAAAGGCTCAGCATAATTAATAACCCTTAATTATATGACCACGAAATTTACTTAAAAAATAAATTATTGTCTTGAATTTTAAAATTTCAAAATTATACTTTTTTAAATAAAATTATTTTTATTTATTATAATTAACATTCTTTTAATCTATTCAACTTTAAATTATTATCTATCTGTTAAAATTATTAGTTAAGCATTACATAATAATTCCTTTTTTCAATTATTCTTCTTTAATCTGCACTTGAGGACTTGTAAATTATTTTATAAATCAAATATAATTTATTTAATTTATTGAACTATTTCTCTATTCGTTCAATTGAATTTATACTTACTCGGAAATACGAAGTAAACCACCACCACAGCTACGAGGACTTGGTGTCGTGTCCAATGTCAATCTAATACCTCTTTGTTTTTCAGTGTCACCGGTGTTTGGAGGGATTTCAACAAGTCGAATACTGTGAGGTTTCCTTGAGAAAGGCTGATTGGCAGTTCTATTCTTCAATGGTTGCATTTGTCGTTTATAACAAATGCCGCAATAAAGTTTTGATCTTTCAACGAGGGCATAACTCTCACCATCACCAATGAATGCACCACATGAAGTACAGGCAAAACATTCTGGATGAAATTTGTGATCACCTGCCAACATGACGGGTCCGGTAATGATTTGACCACAAACTTGACAAGCTTCGCCATACGCTGCCCAATAATCATCTTTACAAAAAAGTAAGCCATCTTTTTCAAAGTACCACGATGATAATCCAATATCGCACGCTGAGCACCTGGTGAGTTTTTAAAAAATTTATATATTTATTTATGTCGCAAAATTTCAGAAAAATATCAGAAAATTGTTCTTTTACCGAAAGCAATCAATATGCCATTCTTGATTAAGAGCTTGAACAAATTCATCGTCGTCAATTGCATTCAAACAACCAGCGCAAGTTAGAATTCCTCCATTTCCACCTCCAGGGTCTAGAAAAAATAATTTATTTTAATTTTTTTTTAATATATTAATAATTAATTAATGTTTTCCGATTTTAAATTCTTAAAAAATATTTTGTAATTATTTAATGAGAAAAGTCGTATAAAATGTGACATAAAAATGACTTAGAATCAATTAAAAGTATTATTGACAATATATGTCATATTACGCAGTCACAAAGAAACCTTTTAAAAATGATAAAAATCCGTGTAATATTTAAAGAAAAAAAAACAATATATCAGTCATGTAACAGAAAAAAGTAAAAGGAAACAAACAGAATTGGATGGATAGGTAGAAACAACATCTTAGAAGGACAGGACGCCCACATGTTTAGTAATGTCAAGTAAAAAAAAAAAGCAAGTTTCTTATGTATACTTTCAAGACACCATGACATTTTGTTTCTAGAGAAAATTTTCTCTTTTTAATAAACTTAATAACGGTTATTGAATTCTTAAATGATTTTCAACTACAATGAGAGCTTTATTTTCAATTATTAAAGAATTTAAATAATAGAAAATAACCTACCATTTATTGAAACTTCATCCATCACAGCATCTATGTGCACAAAATTTTTTTCACTTTCACGATGGCTTAAACAACACAATCAAACGGGAAAATAGCACATTTCTTATAAAAATCAAAGTGCCAAAATTGTTTTTTTATTATTGAAACAATAAAGCGTCCACATTTCTTGTTGTTAATTGTTATTCGTTTTCTTTCGCTTGGAATGATGTCACCATCATCGATGTCAAATGTTTCCTTATTTACTTGGTTGTGTTCGGAGCAACCCCAGACGCCAAGTGATACCAATCTTAGGCTAGCTAGCTGTCAAAAAAGAAATCTTTATTTCTTACAAAAAATATACTTTTGACAATAATATTCCACTTTTTACTCGTGGAAATAATCGATTTAGTAAAATTTAAGTATATTTTATTACTACTTTTCTTTATATAAAACAAGTTTTATTATGTGATTCAAAATTAAATGTTGGCAGCACTTATGTCCCAAAGGTATACAATCATCAGGGCTGTAATTAGAAAATATTTTCTAATACGTAATACGAAGTATTGAGTAAAAAAAATTTGTATTTCTATTTATTTATGGAAATTTTGATTTATTTAATTAAATATGACAATTATTTGTTTATGCAAATTTCTTACAAATGAAAAATATTATTAACTTGATCTCTTTTTGTTGTTTTATACGTGAGAAAAATATTTTTTCAATTAGAAAATAGTGCCAAGTTTTATTGTACATCCCTGAAGCAATGTTTTTTACACACAAGTGTTTTCTCAACAATTGTTAATTATTAATTATGTTGAGAAATAAATAAATCTAGCTGTTTATATATCCTGTAATAAAGCATTCTAATTTAAATGATACAAAAAAGATAATAGTGAAATAACGTGGAAGTGATAGTGATATGATAAATGTTTTGGAACTCTAACCTCAAAAGAAGAAAAATATTGACGTTCTCTGGTATTATTTTCTTTAAAAATGGTAATAATTTGTGCAATACCAAGTTGTAGTAACACACAAAGAAAAAGCAAGCATACTTTTTTTAAACTTCCAAAAGATAAATTTTATTGTAATGCTTGGTTAAAATTATGCGATAAAGCAAATAAATCTCTCGAGAATGGTAAGTTGCACTTTTAATTAATTTTAAAAAGTGATATATTTATGATAAACATTTGTAAATATTATTTTAAGAATAATTTTAAATTTATTATTTTATTGTTTAATTTTCCCTATTGTATTTTTCAATTTTCCATCTTTTAGAGGCGTAAGTTAAAACTTTTCTTTTTGTTGCAGTACGAGTATGTTCTGCACATTTTCGACCAGAATGTTTTAAGCCAAGAAGTGCATCTCTTGAATACATTGACCGAATATTAAATCGAACACCAAGAAATGTATTAAAACTCAATCCGACCGCAATACCAACTGAAAATATATCTGCAAGTGAATCAATTATTGGTGAAATAGAAGAAGAAGAAGGAGGAGGAGCTGTCGAAGATTATTTATCAGAAACGAAAAATATTTTTTCAAATGACGATGGTTCATCGGAAGAAATAAATATTGCCCCTGATTATGTAAAAGGAGATGATAATTCGAATACATTTGATTGTGAGTTATCGTATCAATTTATAAATAATGTTCCCGAGAAAGAAATGTCACTAGAAATATCAAATATAAATGAAAATCATCAGAATGAAACATTACCACAATTAAATGATAATATTACTGACCAGATAATGATAGAGGATGTATCATTAGAAAGAAATAGAAATGTTATTGATCAGATTTTTTCTACATTGCCCGATATTGATTTTATAACAGAAGAAGAACGTGAAAATTACTTGAAATATGTCTATCAAATAAAGGAGGAGATTAATAAAAAAATGCTAGAATTACAAGTTGATATTGAAAAAAAACGAATAGAAAATGAAAAGCATTTAAAAGAAATAGAAATACTACAAGCAAAAAGAAGAAAAGAATATAATCATTTTCTTATACAATTTCTACAAGTCAAGAAAAATAAAATGTTTTGGAAAAAAAAGTGTTTAGAGTATAAAATAAGACTCTATAAAGCTAAAAATAAGGAATGAACTTTCTTTTCTATCCTTTAATCTCAATTTTATGGATAATGACACTTATTTTACGTAAGGTTGTATGAAAATAAGGATAAACATTGAATAAATTATTTTTTATTAATAAATTTATTTTGTTGACATGTTCTTTGAAAAATTTAAATAATTTATATCGAAAAATATTTTCTTTTTAAACAATTATAACTATTATTTAACATTTTAAGTTTGTTTTTCTTCAAATTTAGCTCTTAAATATTTGAGCCCTGCTGCTATATTATTTGGATCAATAGTATTTTTTGTTTTTAAATTAGTAACATAATTGGATGTCGATTCTTTTGGTGAAGGAGGTAAGGGAATTGTTGACAGTGGAGGATTAGATGGTAAAGGTATTAATGTTGGTGAATCTACAAATGGCATTGGTCCAATTATCTCGGAATCATCACTTTCTTCATCTTGATTTTCACTGATCAATTGCACAGGTGGAAGAGATATTTTATGTTCTTTTACTGTAGAATTTTTCTCACAAATATTTCTATCATTTTTGGTAATGAGGAATCCTGCTTTTTTGAAATTATCATAATTTGGTGCGAATTCATTTTGCCTGTCCTTCCTTCTCTTTTTAATCCATTCTTCTTGGGACATTTCTCTCCATTGAGGTCGTTTTCCTAACAATTCACCGAAAGCTTTCACCTTGTCTTCAATAATCGCTAAACTACCTTCATCTTCTTTATTTTCGACAATTTTTTTATCAGCTTCTTCTTTATTTTCCTCGATGGCTTTTGAATTATCAGATTCGGGATTTTTGGCAATTTCATCTTCATCTTCTGACAATTCTGGTGGTAATCCTGCACGAATTCGTTGTCGAATTCTTGCCACTTTCAAACGATTTTTTTCCATTTTTTGTCTCATCTCCTTTAAATTTTGCATTTCCTGTTGCTTTTGTTCGGTTTCTTTACGTAATTTCTCAAGATTCTCCTGTTGTTTGGCTCTTTCATCTTCGTCAATGGAGAAATTATAATAACCAACGCCATGAGTACGAGCTTCATCAAAAAGAACATCTTGGTAATAAATATTATCTTTATTTGTAAGTCTATTTGTTTGTTCTTCCCATTTTTTTCTCATTAATTCTATTTCCGGTTCTCTTTGAGGCGATTCTGGTTGTTTTATTTCTTTCTCTGGGGATTTTTCAACAATAGGTTCCTTTGAAATTTTTTGTCTAAGAAGATTGTCCTTGTCTTGCATTTTTGGTAAATCTTCACGTAAACATTTTCTCGTTCGTCCAAAGCAATCTTGATATTCAACAAAATTATCATCTGAATCATAGTTTTCTTCTGTGAATTCATCTTCTTCTTTTAATTTATCTTCATTTTCTTTTTTGATTTCTTCTTCATTGTCAGAGGTGTCTGAGTCGGATTTATTGGAAAAATCGACAAGAAATAAATCATTTTTGTTTTTAGGAGAATTTTTCAATTTTTCATATAATCTCGATTTTGCCTCCAACATAAGTTTAGACTTTTTAAGTAAATTTATATCTTCTATTTCAATTACTTTAGGAGAAGTTTGTTTTTCTTTTGTTATTTTTGTCTCTTTTACCTTTGGTTTATAATGTTTTGTAACATTTTGCGTTGGATTTTTATTTTTTAATTCTTGTGCTTCCAATCGTTTTCGTAAAAGTTCTGCTTTTAAACCAACAATAGATGAATAATCTGCAGTTATTTTACTTGGACCGTTCATTATTTATTTTTTATTTTTCACAAAAAAGGAGAGAAATTTTTTTTTAAAAATATTTGACAGCTTTTTGACATTTTAACTTTGAGGTTATGTTTATATTATTGTCCAGTATAAAGTCTACTTCATATGTCAAACTTTTTGCATTTGAGAAAAATGAATTTATTTATAAATTTATAATAAATTATTAGATTATTACATTTAATAGTTAATTATTTTAAAGTTGTGTTTAAAACTTTAAAATTGTGTTTTTAAAATATATTAGTTTTATTTTATTGACAGTAGAGGGCATCACTTGTGAGAAAAAAATTTGTATGATTTTCCCATCTATGTTCTCTGTTCATTGTCGTTCTTTGCGAAAAGGTTAGCCGTTTGCATATTGTTGAAAAACGTGGCTTTTAAATAACTGTCATTGCAATAAAGCAAAAGAATTAATTGTTTTTATAAAAAGTCGAAATATATTTATTGAACAATGGCTTCAAGAGGCCAATCCCGGAGAATACCCGAATCGGAACCACGAATAGATTATGTGCAATGCCATGGTTTGGTGCTTATGAAAATGGTGAAGCATTGTCATGAGGAATCATTGAGCAACATGGATGTTTCTCAGGGCGCTCTTTTGGGTCTTGTAGTTCAAAATCGTCTTGAAATCACTAATTGCTTCCCTTTTCCAAAGAGCGAAGATCTTATGGATGAAGAGGAATACCAACTTAGCATGATGCGCAGACTAAGAAGGTTAATCATTATTTTACTTATTTGTTTTTGTTTTTAATCGATTCGAACTTTCCTGTAATTAGAAATAGTTTTAAAGTAAATAATATTGAAACATTAAATTAATTTAATACATATTTCCTTTTTTTTTATAAATGTTTAACAAAAATATTCATTTTTAGAGTGAACGTCGATCACTTTCACGTTGGATGGTACCAAAGTGCTGATGTAGGTAATTTTCTAAACATGTCCCTATTGGAATCACAATATCATTATCAAACATCAATCGAGGAATCTGTGGTTGTAATTTACGATACTGCAAAATCTGCCCGTGGTTTTCTAACTTTGAAAGCTTATCGTCTCACTCCACAAGCAATTCAAATGTACAAAGAAGGAGAATTCACACCAGAAGCATTGCGTACACTTAAAATAGGCTATGAGTCTCTTTTCATTGAACTTCCAATTGTTGTAAAGAACAGCAATTTAACTAATGTTATGATGTCAGAATTGGAGGAAATGATTCCCGAGGAACAGGGTACAAAACATTTGGATCTTGGAACTGCAACGGTTCTTGAAAATCAATTACGTTGCCTAATGGATCGTGTCGATGAACTTAATCAGGAGGCAATTAAATTCAATAGATATCAAAGTTTGGTGATTCGTCAACAACAGGATAAAAATCGTCTTTTATTAAAGAGAGCTCAAGAAAATGCTGCTCGTGCTGCTAAGGATGAACCACCACTTCCTGATGACGATATTAATAAATTAATTAGACCACTACCAGTGCCAGCACGATTAAATCCAATGATTGTTGCGGGACAAATTAATACCTATACTCAACATATTTCGCAATTCTGCGCACAAAGTTTAGCTAAACTTTATATTACACAGAGTCTTCAATCTGCTAAGGAATCAAAATCAACGAATTGAATGTCTTGAATTTTACTGGACGACACTTTTTTTGTATTAAAAAAAAAAAATAAATAATAATAATAATAAGAAGAAAAATCCGAACTGAAACGCAAACTCGTTTTAATAAAAAAAAATTGTTTTGAATAATAAATCTTGGTCTGATGGAAATATGGAAGTAATGACTTAAACCTTCATTGATATTTTGGAAGATTTGATTTAAAAATTTTTAATTAATGAATTTTATATCATTTTTCGTTTTTTATTCCTTTTTTTATATAAAATTTATTTATTTATGTAAATTTGAGTAAAAATTAATTTTTAATATTTGAATTTTGCGCGCCTTGATATGGTTGGTAAACTTGGTTTTCAGATTTATTAGGTTGGCAAAATTGATGTTATTTTGTTTCCGCGCGATTTGTGTTTGTGTATGTCCCTATCTTTGTTATTGTTTGTGTTTCAATTTAAAAATTAATTGTCTTTGTAATAAAGATTATTTAAAAAAAAAATAAATGGATTACTCAGATAAACATAAGGCTTTTTTACAAGTCTTTTTGCAAAATGGGATTGTTTCTGCTGATGATGCTCTTGCAATAGCAGTGAAAATATTTGGTAAACATAACCTATAGAAATATAAAACATAATTATAGACATTTCATTTTATTTATGTTTTAATTTGATAATTTTCAGACAATAATACCAGCGTGGCTTCTCATGCTCTAATTATTAATATGCAATTGCAAGTTGTAAATATGGCATTAAAATCAGTAAAATGTGAACATACCGGCGTAGAATTCTGGGTTCTTGTTAGCACTATTCTCGATGATTCAACCAAGTAAATTATTAATATAATATATAAATTAGAAGTATTAAATTTTTATTTACATTGTTTAACAATTTTTTTTTTTGCAGATTTCAACTTGAATATACTCATGCTCAGTTGGAATTATTGAGAAAAATTTATGCTGAAATAATTACTTCTACTAATAAATGTATTTCTGGAACAGATTGTTTAAATCTTTGTTCAAATTTGGAAAATCGATTAAGCAAACATGACGGTGAAATATTTTTGAATGAAATGGTTGCAAAACAATGGCTTTATTGTTCGGTAAAATTTTATTTTATATAAAATAAATTTTTGAAAATTTTTTGAAATTTTTTACAATGATTTTTTTTTATAGAATGGAATATTTTATATGGGAGCAAGAAGCATTGGTGAACAATTGATTTATTTTAAATCCACATATGACGATGCTATGTTAAATTGTGTGCTATGCAAACAAGTGATATTTTATGTAAGTAAAGAAACATAAGTAAATATAATTTTAATAAATTATTTTTAATTTCTATTATTATTTAAATAGGGACATACATGTCAGGAATGTAATAATGTGATTCACAATCACTGTCTTCATAATTACGCAAAAATTCAAAAGCCATTAAAGTGTCCTCATTGCTCGAAACCTATGCCTGATGTAGAAATTCTTGACGGTACGATTTAAAAAATTAAAATAATAGCATAAGATACTTTTTTTTTGTCTACTGTTAAAAGTTAACTGTTATTTTAATTTTAGATACACAAGATGTTACTAATGATGATAGTATGGATGTGAGTCAAAATGTAAGTCAAGCGAAAAGAAAACGTGGCAGACGTCACTGATGAATAGGTAATCTTCAGTTTAAAAAAATGAATATAAATGAAAATTATATTCTCTAAATCATCAGTATTTTAAATAAGGTGTGAATTAATCACTTAGATTTATCGAGATGCATATGTTTAATGTTACAAAAGATGAATATGTTTTATAGCTAGAACGATATTAAAGAATCATTTAAATTTTATACATTCACTTAATTATCTACAACAAAAATTCATAAATTTAACTTTTTATTTTTACTATCTTGTAATTTTTTTAAAATTTACAATTTTTGTTTATTTTTCTTGTTAGGTATTTATTTTGTTTATCTTTGTTAACTGTTATTTTATTTTTATTAATTTTTTTTTTAAAGAAAATTAAAATGAAAATAGTTTTCAGTATGGTAAAATTTCACCATTCCAATACACCAGGCATGTATTTATTAATAAGACTTTCATAATAAGGCCATAACTTTTCAATGTCAGGTAAATTTTCATTCTTTGTATACAAATCGTATTTGCTGGAAGAGAAAACATATTTTTTTTAATTCTTCATCTCTTTTTGTTTTTTCTTCAGAAATTATAATTTAATAATAATCTTACTTGAATTCTAAAATCCATTTAAGTTTTTTCAAATCAGAATCTGTGCAGAAGTGCATATAATCACCTCCTGCGTGCCATGGATAAAATGAATGATAACGAATCATGGCTAAACCTTCATCGGGAAGTTTACATTTATTGTGTTTCATTACTTGGTACAAATATTCATCGTGTCCCCATGACATCAATAACTTGTCAAGTCCACATTTTGGCTTATAAATTCCGTATTTTGTGCTTAAAAAAAAAATTAGAAAAAATCACAAAAAGGTAAAAGAGTTTACAAAATTTAAAAACTCACTTATAGCGACTGTCCTTTCCATCTGGATTATCGTCAAAACTTTTTTCTCTATAAACAATCGAATTACCCCAAGCACATCCAACTGGAAAAGTATCACCTACCACAGCCCATTGTGGTTCTCCATAAAAAGCCATTACCTATTTGATTTTTCAAAAAACAATTTTAATTTTTTATTTATATTGTTTTAGGAAACATTGATATTACTTTTAATAAACAGAAATTTATACCTTGCCAACATCATGGATCAATCCTGTAAGATGAAACCAATCTAAATCTGGATGTGCTTCTCTAATACCTTCTGCAGTTTGAAAGGCATGAACAATATTCGGTAAGTCAACATCAGGATCACTTTCATCAACTAGATCATTTAATTTAATAAGAGCATCTTTCATGGTCATTTTGAATTTGGTAAATTTAAGCCATTCTGCCATTCGAGCTGTAAATAATTTTTTTATGTGCAAAATTTTTATTTTTTTATTTTTTTACTTAGTCACTTACAACGAACAAAATCAACAGTTTGATGTGTATGCATATGTAAATATGTTATTCGAACACGTTCTTTAATTGGATCATCAGCATCTTCATCGTAATTTCTGAATTGACTTTTTAATTTTCCAGCGTAAATTGGCTCAGGGCGAAGTTGTTCCGAAGGATCCAGAAGCGAAGGAGCTTGTGAATGAGGCTGAGAAAAAATATATTTTCTTTTCAATCAACTGAAATTTCTACTTGTGACATGAATAATGGGGTAATGTACAAAATTAAATTACTTTTAAATATTTAAAAACTGTATCATTTAAATTTTTTAATAATTTTATTTATGTACATTTTTAAATAATCCAGTTTGCCATATTTAGTAGAGCGTGACTCAAGGTTTGATATTTTTCTTTTTATTGAAACAAAGTAGAAAAATTATCAAAATTTAATTTAGTAAAACTGGGATTTAGTATTAAATGCAAAAAATTCGTATTTGACAAAAAAAATTATTTTCCACTAATTCTGTAAAAATAATTCTTTTAAAATTTTAAGTCAACAAAATTTAAAATATTCAAATGAATAAATATTTTTTTGTTTATAAATAAATAAAAAAACAAATTTATAATTGTGCAATTTTGATCATTTCTTTAAATTCATTTTTGCGATAAATTAAATCTGATATTGATGGAAATATAATTGGAATAATTTTTTTCGCGAAGCAATTATTTGATTCAAATTAACATTTTCGTACTTACAATTACTTTGGCAGCCATTCTTATCAAATTGTAACGTTTTCGAAAGACTGCCAAGAGACGACTAAATAAATGGCATTATGAGTTGATCTTATAAATCTTTGATAAAGTTACCCCTTGACCCTAACTGGGACACACTGCTCTCAGATATGTAAGATTTCGTTGTCATGGATTTATAATATCTTATTATACTGCAATTAATTATTTAATTACTCCATTAAAATTATTGATAAAAAAAAGGAAAATCATTTCCGGCCTCCTGGAAATTAAATTGAACATAAAGTCTCATTTTTTCGAGAATTAAATAAAAACATTTTACATTTGGTTCAAAGTTTTAAAATAAATATAATAAATTCTAAAAATTGTTTTGAAAAATAATTTTTGTTTTCGTGCTTAATCTGTAAAAATATGGATTATTACTAAATACGCAATAAATAACAAATAGAAAACTTTCTCAATTTTCTTTCAATGAATTACGATAATCTCTAATAATTTTACATATCAGAAATATTTCTACAAATTTTTAAATTCAAAACTATATCAGATTATTGAATAATTTTATTGTTTTTAATTGAGTTTATTTTATTATTTTTAAAAAACACATTTTCTATGGAAAATAGGAGAAATTAATTTACAAAAAAATATAATAATGTTTCAATGTGATAACCTTTGTTTTGTTGCATAACAAAATATTTGCAAATGATACAAAGACTCCATACAAGTAAAATAATTACTTTTTTAGAAATAAAAACAATAATTAAAAGATGGGATTTAATATTATAATAATGACGCAGTGCTTTAGAAGTTTTAAGGATCAAAATTTTATGATTATAAATGAGTATATTAAGAAAATGATAACAATTTTATTAATCTTGACCGCGAAAATAAAGCTTTTATTTTATGTTAATTTTAAATGGACGCTAATATAAACAGTTCTTTCATAAAAATAAATTTTTTTCCGCTAAAAGTGATAAATTTTTATCAATAGATTAAAAACGTATTTGAGAGATTAAATAATTAGAAGATTGATAAAAAAAATTGCAATCGAATAATTGATGAATTACAAATTTATCAAGAAAAAAAAACGGAATGCTAAATATTTATATAAAGATTAATGAATTTATAGGTATTAGAAACTAATAATAATAATAATTCATTTTAAAATTTTTTTATTGCAAATAGTCTTATTTATAATGTACACTATTTTCAAGAATAAATAATTTCGATAGTTTTGTTTTAAGAAATTAAGAGCATCAATATTTTTTCCAAATGGAAAAAAATTTTCTTTTTTTTTTTTAAACAAATTACAAGAAACTAATGTAGTTTTTTTAAAATTCGTTTTTGAATTTGACGGAATTGTTATAAAGCAACTAATTCTTTGTAATTTACATTTATGTATAAATTTTATGTACAATGTTTGTTTTGTATTAAAAAAATACTTATCTACTTTTCAGATAAGTAACTTTAAGGTGAGCTGGATAACGAATTACTGGAACTACTTCCTTTTCGTTGATGTTTTGAGCTTTGGTGATGTCTATGGGGACTTCTCGATCGACTTCGATGCCTCGACAATTTTTTACTTTTTTTTGATTTGTGGGACCATGATCTACTTGGACTATCGTAACTAGAGAAGAAAAAAAAATCAAGAAATTAAAATATAACAAAAATAAAATATTCAGGTAAGAAATTTTTTTTTATAAATCTATTTTAAATTACTCAAAAATTACCTTTTATGCGAGACCTTTTTCTTCTTGTGCTTCTTGTGAATTCTGTGTCTGTCGCGATCGGAATAACTTCGACTTCGACTACTACTCCGACTCCTGGAGCGATGCCTCGATCTTTTGCTGTTCATTTCCGCGCCTTTTATTCGATGAATCAACGGAGTGATTCCAGGACTTGATTGTTCTGTTTCAACATCACGAATTGGAGATGGAACCGCTTGAACTTCATCTAAATCTACATCTCGTTTATTTGCAATCACAATTTTTTCAGTATTTTTTACATTTATCGGCGTTTGCAATTGACTTAAAAACATTGCTGCCTTCTTTTTTCGTTCCAATTGTAATTGTTTTTCCTTCATTGAATTTGCTGCCATTCTTTCTCTTGCTGCCGCTGCCAATTTATCTTTTAATCTCTCCTCGACTAATTTATTTCTCAAATCTTTTTGACAATCTTCTAAAATATCATCAGTGAGATCGACAAAATCTTTTTCATCGATTCGTGATTTTTTCTCAATATTGCTTGTTTCTTTTTCATTTTTTACCAAACATGTATCGTCTCCTGTTTCGTGAGGAGAATTAGATTTTGAATTGACATCTTTTTTATTCTCATCAATGTCATCGTCACTCTCTTCTAATGGTAGGGCATTACGTTTTTCAATCACTGTTGTTTCACCTTCTTTTGGTTTCTTAATGGAAAATGAAACAGTTGTAATATTTTTATTCGCTGAATCTTCTTTAAATCTTGTGTCACCTTTCTTTTTGGCTTCAATCATTTTAACACGTTTTTGCACTTCCTCCATTCTTTGTTGTTTCTTTTGTAATTCTTCCAATTTCTTTTGTTTTTCCTCTTTTAATTCTTGTTTTTGTAAAAGTTCCTCTTCAGTTAAAACACGAGGATTGACAGCGCCTTCGTATATTGTCAATTTGTGTGCATAATATCCATGATATTGATGTGATAATTCTAGAAAATTAAAACGTGGATCGCCTTTATTTTTGACAATTGCCTCAAAATCGCGACCATTTTTTGCTACATAACTCGCCATTTTGTCGATGATTATTTGTATTTCAGCTGGTGGGACAATAAACGATGGTCGACTCAAAGGTTTTGGTGGTGTTGGTCCATAAGGAACGAGAGATGGTGGTTCTTTTAGTGGGGTTTGTTGGAGATTTGTTGTATCGCTTGACGATGGAATTGGTGGAACGGAGATTTGCGATGGATTATTTGTGTGTCCATTGGCACTGTAAATTACTGGACCATGTGAATACTGTTGTGGAGCTACTGGATACGGGGAATAACCCTGTGAAAAATATGGATTCTGTAACACAGATGAAAAGCAAAAAGATATTAACGAAAATTTTTTTAAAAAAATATAATTTTTTACTAATGAAAATTTATTAAGAATAAAAACAATAAAGACAAGAATTAAAACAAATTTCTTTTTTTTTTCATTACCTGTGGAGGCATTCCTTGATAATATCCAGAAATAGGTAATGGTGGAACTGGAACTTCCGGCTGTGGTGGAACTTTTGATGGCGGTGGCTTTCCAGTGATTCGATTTACCAGCATTGAATAAGCACAATCGGCAGAAGGTTTGTATGCAATGCTCGGTATACTTGGTGCCTAAAAATAGAATTTTTTTCGTTAATTAAAAATATTTTACGTAAAGTGAAAATAAAAATGTAATAAATAGGACTTACGGCTTCAACTTTAGCGAAAGAAGGCGCGAGGCTGGGATGAAGATAAGGTTCGTCGTCATCCTCGTCATCGTCATCATCATCATTTTGCTGTTCTGCTTCTTCTAATTTGGGGAAAAAAAAGGAAAACCTCTCTATTAAACCTGATATACGTGAGTTTAAATATTGCTACTTTAAAAATAATGCTCAATTCTCGTTTTTTTTTCTTTTTGTTCGTAACATAATACTTACGGCAATTAAAAAATAAGTGGGATCAAAGTAGATGGTGTTTATATCCAGCTTATTACTGTGTCATTGAGGGCAATCTCGATCATATATATTAAATATAATTTTGGTCAAAGTTCTTCTGCCACTTAAGCGCGGACTTGTTGAAATCGAGAAAGTTATATAAAAAATTAACCTGATAAAGTAAAGAATGAAATGCGTACCCGATTCTTCCTTTTCGGGCTGTTTTTCTGGATTATATTGCTCGGACTTGATAGCCTCGAGGACGAGTTTGTAATACGGATTTAGTGCTCCATCCACTGAGAGAAATGCGAATTGTGGATTATTTGCCTGTTTTGCCTTTATTAAAACTTCCATTTGTCCTCCTTGATGACTTATAAAAAGTGCTGTTTTTGTTATTATTGCGTTCAATTTCTGTGTATCCGGCTACGATAAAAAAAAATTACAATTTTTACAAATTTCAATTTTAATTATGATAAATAATATAAATTTAAAGAAAATTTCATACCACAGTCATATCAGGTGGTATGTTGAGTTCCGGTGGAACTATAAAAGCTTGATCATCTTCTTGAGAGCCTTCAGATGGTTTTGGACTTTGGGAATCCTCACATGTTCCTTTTTGATTCTCATCATTTTCGTTGTAGTTGTAGGCAACTTGTCCATACGTATTTTCCGAATCCAAAGCCTGTTGTAGTCTTTTCATTTCCTCTTCTAGAAACGTAAAATTTAAACTTAATAAAAATGTTTCATTTTCAATTAGAAAGAAATTATATTTTGACTTACCATGATAAAGATTTTCATCAGTATCACTTTTGTATAAGGAACGGTACCGCTCCTCATCGCAGAGTTGTTCAATTTTATATTCATCCTCGGTGAGAAAAGTTCGTTGATCAAAGCCACCGGGTGGTGGTTCATAGACCCTTAGGTCGCCCAGAGCCCCGCGTCCATCGTATCTATAGACATATAACACTTCAATTAGAGATTGAAAATGATAAACAATTGAATAATTTTTAAAGCGCACTCGGCATCTGAAAATAAAGTAGAATCAACGAGTGAATCCCATCAGGATGATTCCTGTGAAATATACGAAAAATAAATTTAGTCTACAACATAAAGATTTTTTTTTTTTTTGTAAATTTAATTTGAATAGAAAGTATGGCAACTGATGGCAAATTTTTTTTTTTTGTCATTGAAAAATATCTTTCTGAAAAGATTCGAATAAAAATCTCTTTTTAAAGGCTTATTGAAATATTAAATACTGTATTAAAAATATAAAACTAACAAATTGTGTGATGCTAGACCCCTAAAAATTCCTTTAATATTATTCATAAGAAAAATTATATTTATATATATTTTTAATGTGATTAGAAAACAATTCAGAAATCAATATATGTGAAGCATTATATCTCAGGATCCAAAAGCTGAAAATAATTAAAAAGTTAATAATTTAGTTATTAATAATAATATATTTAAAAAGAAAATTTTCATTTTTTAAGAGACTTAGTGCTAAAAAATTTGAAGTGAAGTGTTAAAAATAATTGAATTCATTCGAATTTTCTTATAGTTAAATGTAATTATGTTTGTCCAAGTGTTTAGATAAGATAATTGTAAACTTACTTACTGGTGCTTATCAAAAAACATAAAAATTCAAGAATTTTAGATAAAATATAATTTTCCAGAAAAAAGAAATTAGTTCTGATATAATGAAAAAGAGAGCCATATTATTAACCTGGAATGAAAAATATTAAAGCAATTTTACTTGGCAAAGCACACACAAATTTTAGTTTATCATTTAATTGTTTATTTTTTTACTTTATAAAGTTTAACTTGTGACAATTTTTGAAAATTCTACTAAAAAACCGTCCAGTAAAAATTCAAATAATATCTTTGAAAGTATAACATTTTTTTAAAACACTGGATTTTCAAACGTACATTTTTTCTCTGACTTCTGAACTTCTTTATACATAAAAAAAAAATTATTTTCATTATTGTAAATAATTCAATAAAATTTAATACAATTTATAACTTTCAATTATCTTATATTTACTTAATCACACTTTTTTCAGTAATTAATTTATATATTCAATTTTATCAAACTTTTTGTGATTGAAATTAATTTAATATTTTGTTTACTTTTAATATTTATGTAAATTAAATTGTGTAATTATCATTCGAGTTTATAAAGAAGAGAAATAATGATGAGAAAGAAAATCGATTCGAGAAGTATAGAAATCAAAGAGAAATTCAACAACTAATTAGAATTATTAAATTGAAATTGAATTAATTAAAAAGATGAAAAATATTCGATGACAACATTGAACAGCGTATTTAAGAATCCAATTAGCGTGTACCTGTCAGGAATTCAGGATGGATTCTAGAAATACATACCGTGCTGAGCGGTCAATTTATTTTATGACCGTCAGCTGCCACTTGTCTCTCTACGCTGTCTCACCTTGCTGCAAAAGCGCCGATGATCATCTCCATGGACCAGGACACTTGAGCACCTTGAATACACTCATGCAGAGCGCATTAGCGCTTCCACACTGAGCCTCACAGCCAAAACACCTGCGGAAACCTTAAACAGTCTCCAGATTGCTTATCCGTACGTTAAAAAAATTTATGTCACACCTGTCAAAGTTTGTCATGTTCGTCAACAGTTTATGAGTATTGTTCTTCGCACAATGTTGCGCGTACATTTTCTTTTTTTTTAGACAAAAATATACGTATTCTAGGTATAATGGTTTTTAGGTTATGGGAACGGACCTGTCTATCTTCAAAGTGTTATCGCCCATCCAGGGTATCAAATGCTTCCCTTGATCAATCATTTTCGCCTTCTCGTCATCACGAAATAATTTGCAGCTGTACCCAAACACCAACAGCTCCTGTGGTTCCTCTTCCACTGTTTTTTTACGCAAGATGCCAGAATCAACCATCCAACGTTGATTCTTGGACGCCATTTTTGTGTTGTTTGCAATTTGACCTTCTATGTACATTGACGAGCATCATTAAAACCGGAAATACGCCTCTTCGCGCCGGAAGTAGTTTACACCAATCATAAAAAGCGTTATAAAATATTTTTCTGCTATTAAATCGTCCTCTACTATGATTCGTTAATGTGATAATCCACTAACGAATCGCATAACAAGTAGAGCTTAACATTATTTACTGGAACCAATCACAGACAAGCGACAACAATATACTGCAATCTAATTGGTGGACTGTGAAAACTTTCCAAAATCGTGTATACTTGTCCGCCAACTGCCGTTTGCCTGACACGGCTTCTATTCGACGTCGATAAATATTCGAGGTTCGAGCGCCAACGTGCAGTCGCGTGGGAAGATAACAAGCTCGTGATCCGGCAGCTTTGCGTAAAATACCGGTTAAACGCGACTAAAAATCTACAACAGGTAATTTACAATTCCAATTATTTAATATTCTCACTCTAACAAAAATTGTAAAAATTCCTTTTAATCTGTATATTCCCCCCCAAAAAATATATTTTTTTTTTCACCCGGCGCATTTTACACACGCCAAGTCGACACACACGTTCACTTAAAACGCGGGTGCTTTCAGAAATGCCTCCCAGAAAGACCAAGTTGAAGGAGGAAGTGGCGACTGAGGCTGCAGTTGAAAATACCGACGCATCTCCTCCAAAAAGGAAGAGAGAAAAGAAAGTTCTCACAGAAAAGGTTGAAGATGTTAGGGAACCTCGTTTTCCAAGGGCGGCGAAAAATAAGAAACCCGAAGTCACACCAGAGGAGCCGGTAAAAACGAAAGCGTCAGCTAAAAAAAATGAAGCAGCTCCAAAGAAAACATCGGCTAAATCCAAAAAAGCCAAGGATGCTGACGAAGATGAGCCAATGGATGAGGAAGAGGGTGACGCCGTAGATGAACCTGAAGTTCCAAAGAAAAAGGCTCGTGGAAAGGCCGCGGCGAAAAAGGCGGACGCTGATGAACAGCCAGGTAATGCTTCCTCAATTTATTCATTATTTTCGTCTCATTTCCTAAAACAAAATGTCGCTTCTTAATGGTTCGTGCTTTTTTTTTCTTATTTTTCAATTTTAAAAAATCTACGATTATTATTTTATCAGTAAAATTTGTTGAAAAATCATGAGGTGACGGTTACTCATTCAACTTTTGTTCCCCTCTAACCCCCCCCCCTCATTTCCCCTTTTTCTTCTGTTCATACATATTTAATCATTTTTATCGTTTATGTTTTTCGTCTAACCTCCCCTCCCTATTAACTTTGTTGCGTTTAAACCTGTTTGACCCCCCACATCCCCTCTCTTCCATTAAAGAACCTTCCAGTTCCCAGTGTGTTTATTCCCCATCCCCCATCGTCAGATTGCACTCGTTTTTACACTTGTGGCCATACTTGTTTGTCTTTTAACCGGTGCATGACGTTTTACAGGGTTGCCTTTATCAAATAGGTGGACTTGACATTTTTTTTTTTTTGTTCCCTGCTATTCGAGAATTTTTTTTTATTTCTCTTTCGTTTGTACGTGTTTACCTTTTTTTTATCATTTTTTTTTTCCCAAAACAAATATTTTTCTCACAAATATTGATTATTTTGTAAGTAAATTTTTTTTTTTATTTAAATTAATATATGTAAATTAATGAATTTTGAAAAAGTTATTTTTTTAAAAAATTTTTTGGGTGTGGCTATTTTTAAATATGATTTTAAATAAAAAGTTTAATCAATGTTGAGGGGTAGGGGGGCGATAAAATTTAGTCTCTATTTAATGTAAACACACATGTGACGTTGTTGAATTATAAAAATGCGCATATAATTCTGCTGGTCGTTGCAAAGAAGGTCTGGATAAATCTTACGTTTGTTGATTGCGCAGACGTCGTAATAGAGCTTTTTAATCTTGAAGCTCAATTATCTCTAGTTTGATAGTTTCAATTGTAATATGATAATGTAGAATTTTCTGTAGAATGTAGAAGTATCCCTGCATGAAATATTACATAGTTATATGTTTTCCGCTTTCTTATTCATTTGTTTAATGCTTTTTTTTTTGTTTTTATTTATTGTGCGTATAACAAATTTTTCCACACAAAATTTTAAACCCAAAAAAAATTGTATTACAAGTTCCATCGACTTTACTTTAAAATGAAAAAAAAATTTTATAATAAAAAACAGTTGAATTTTAAATTGTAATTTTTTGAAAAGGTATTTTTATATTTCAAATTTCAAAATTATGATTTTATATATTTTACATTTCATTTCGTTTTCTAAGGAATGAAAAATTTTCAATTGAATTCGAAATCATGTACAAGAATTTTGTCATGTTTATAGAAGCAACAACTAAAACGAGTAGTGTAAAAACGAAAAAAAAAGCAACCGCCGATAAACCAAGCAAAGAGGAGGAAGTCAGTGAGTCTAAGAAAAAAAAGAAAACCAAAGCAACTGGTAATTTAAAATATTTTTTTTTTTTTCAAATGCCCAAAAATTAACCCTTTATAGATTTTGAAAAAGTTGGAGCTTGTGAATCGTCCCTTTACACAACACAATTTTTTTTTCAATTATAATTTTCGAATATCTTATTTTGCATTTTTTTAAAATGCTATTTAGATGTAATATTATAAAATTGCATGAATTTATAATTTACGAAAACTTTCTCTAATTAAATTATTTTCAGCTAAAAAAAATGTAGATTTTTTTTTAATTGCATGCTAATTGAATATTAAAAACACTTAAAGCACGATGTAAGTTGCAACTTTAAGGGGAAAGCAAATATTGCGCTTTACTTTCTCTACAAATCTAGTTTTAGAAACTTTCACCGAGACCAGTTTCATTCAATAGAATTGCAAAGAAAAATGCTAACATTATAAAGGGTTAAGGTCTAAATAAAAAAAAACATGCAAAAAAAATGTATACATGTGTATCTAAAAGTATGTATTGTTTTTTAAAGCTCCTGCTAAAAAAGGAAGAGGCAAAAAAGCTGCCAAGGAAACTGAGGATGAAGCAGAGGAGGAAAATGCCGAGACAAGTGAAAAGGAGGATGAAGAAGAGTCTGCTGAAGTAGAGGAAAATGGAAATGCACAAGAAGTTGTTGAAAACGGTGGCAGCGAAACAAGCGAAGATAAAGAAACAAAAAAGAAAACAAAGAGCAAATCTGCCGCCAAAAAGGGAAGTGAACCCGCTGCTAAGAGTAGCACTGAAACTGCAGATGATCAAGAAGGTGTTGAATCTGAATAGTAATGTTTTTATTTTTAAAATCTTGATTTTTTAAAAATTAAAGAACTGCGACCTTTTTTTACGTTTCTAAATAAACTATTCACCATTTAAATAACACGCGGGGACACAGAACTTTGTTTAGCTCTATAAACAACTTTTTTCATGAAGATTTTCTTAAAAGAAAAAACAAAAAAAGGAAAAAAAAAAAAAAAAAGAAAAATATTTAAATTATAATTGTTCCAAAACCCTTGTGGATATTTACTATTTACATCTATAAGGAATGTAATGTGTATAGTTTCATTGCTCTGTGTGATTTTTGAAATACAATACTTTGTGTATTATTTTATATTCCTAACTATAAAAGTAGTTATAGATGTAGACATCTTTATATCCTAAAATCCGAAACATCGGATCTATCAATAATACGACCTTAATTTTTCACATTTGTCGCGTGTCAATTTTCATCAAAGGACTAAATAAAAAACAATTTTTGTGACGCGAGCACTTTAAAAGTAATTCCAAGCTCATGTAATAAGTTTTCAAAACCGAAAGTGCCGAAACTATGTCAAAAGAAAAAAAAAAATGGTACTTATCGTATTTTAATTAGTCCTTAAGATTTTACAGAAAAATGTTGATAAAATGCCCATTCCTAAAATATTGTTAATCTGGTTGTATTCATTTCATATGACATAATTCCCATCAGATTTGTAAAAATTACAAGACATAGAAAAATCAAATATTAAGTTTTCTTTTATTTAATTTTTCTAGTAGAAAGTAATATAAATTTTTTTCAAACCTTTTTTTTGTTATATTTTAAACTATAGAAGAACTAGATAAATCGATAATAAGCAAAAATGTTTTGTTTTTTGTTATTTTTATAGTGTTCGTGTAGAATTAAACTAGTTTAAAAACTAGTTTATAGAAAAAGATATTTAATGACTTTAAAGGTCTGATAGAACCTAAGTGTGGAAGATTAAAAACTTTTTCTTAAATTTTAAAACACTTGCATTATTTTGTAGCAAAATATAAAATTCACAATGAACAATACAATTGTAACCATCGTTTTTAAAATATAGTTTTAATAAAATTATACTAACCAGAATCTAATTAAAAGAATAATTTTTAATCCTCAATTAACGAACTTTTATTTCTAAAATTTTCTAATCGAAAAAACAATTTTGCTTAATTTTTAGACTTTCGAAGCATAAATTTTCAATAAATAAATAACTTTGTTAAAATTTTAATTTTTTACTTTAAATGCTGTAGTTTTAATTTTTTGTAAAAAAAAAAAAAATTAAAATATTTTTTAAATCAACTTGATATTGCCGCGCATTTTTATAATCCAACACAGAAATAAAAAACAAACGGTTTTTTCTGTAGAAATTGTAATTAATTCTCTTCTATTATAAAGCAAATATGTTTTATTTTCTTTTCTTTTTTTAAAACATATTTTAATGAAAATATAAATATTAACGGAAAAATAAAGCTTTTTTAAATTGAATTCAATTTCCCGCCTAATGCAAAGTTATTTGATTGGTGGAAGTTTAGTTTGAAAGTTCTGAACACAGATAGCGCATAGATCGAAAGCCATGGGGGACGAAGCAAAGTGGGGATCATCGCCATTTTCTATTTTTGCATAGCTACGAGCTAATGTTACATGTGTACATTTTGTGTGATAAATTAAACGATTCTATTTGTAATTAACGTTTTATTGTGGAGCTCAACGGAATAATGTCATGAATTTGTGGAAAACGTATCGGGCACATTCTATAATCGAGTTCACCTTGTTTGCCGTCCGCGTTGCCGCGAGTAAACTCAGTTTGACTTGCACGTAAACATTTTTCATCAACTTTCCTCCAAAAGTGAGAGTGGAGTGAAAAAGAAGTCGGATGTTCTAACCAAACTGCGTCTAATTGATATCGAATTATTATTCCGCTCGCGATTTCGGGTTCAAGGGATTTACGATAAAAAAAACGAATCTGTGATATTAAGCAGTAATAAGGTATATAGATAGATTCTAGGTGATAACTTCATACAAATCAAGATATACGTGTGTCGTAGTTGTATCTTAAAAATAAGTAGGTATAGATCTTTAAAAGGATCTAAAAACGAAAAAGGAATTCGAATATAGATAACTTTTAAATAATCGTCCAAAGAACAAGCATCTTCGAGAACAAGATGTCTGTTGAATCTGTGTCAAGTGACAGGCCGGACCCAAAAGACGAAGGTATGTTGAGATTGATATACATATACGCTTATACTATTTTTGCTCACTGTTCACTCTTCTTTTTTTTCTCTACACTAATCATGAAATTATCTTTTACCTATTTCATTTATTTTCAATTGTGTTTAGTTGATTTTTTATTGTTTTCTTGCTAGGGAGTTCCTGGGAAAATGAAAGGGTCTTAGATACATTTATTATTAACTTTCTATTTGTTTATCAGTTTTACAAATTTGTGTTTTTTTAATTCGATCTGTTTTTAATTAACGATAAGATCGAGTTAATTCCTTTATTGAACAAATTTGACAGATTTTTAATTTTATTGTCTAGATTTAAGTGTTTATGCCCTTACAATAACCATAGTTTGATTGAATTGTTTGTTTATTTAGAATAATTAGTAATTCATTTATTTATTTAATAGACAAATGCAAATAAATGATACATAATTGTTTATACTCCAAGTTTTCATTCGAAGCGTTGGAAAGCGTTTTTGTGCATACATATTGGTTATTTTTTCTAGGGACATATTTCTACTGATCATTAAGGGCTCATTTTCAATTTTTCTACATCGATTTTTGAATATTTACTTTTTCTTTCAGTAAATACTAATTTCTCTTATAGGTTAAGGTTACTATTAAAGTAATGATGTTTCTTAAATTAAATATTACTCTTAATCTATTTCAAAAAATTCTTAATATTTTATTTTTTTAAATTATATTATATATAAATTCTACTTTTAAAAATGGCTTTTTAAAGTAAGAGACAATTGAAGAAAAGTAGATTGTATTGTAAGGTAATGTATATGTTTGTATAAAATTTGCCTAACAATTTTTGCAAAACATTCTTTATATTTAGAATTCTTTTGTCCTCATTCATGTAAAAACATTTCGTTACATATAAATAAAATTTCATTAAATAAAATTATACTTAAAGGGTACATTTATCGATGGCTTTAAAAGTTGATCAGTTCTCAATTTTGGATGAAATTATTATTCTCAATATTATTTTTAAAAAAATAATTTAAAAGGTCAATGAAGGTCACTAATAATATATTCAATAAATTTATAACTAAAAACAAATGTTTAAAAAATATTCTTAATCTAACCGGTTTAACGAAAAAGAAATAATATAATTTTTCAATTATAAATCATTAATTAGGATTATATAACAATGAAAGGAATTTAAAATAAAAATTCTGAATAAAGTTGAATAGATTAAATGTAAATTAAAAAAAACTATTATATATGCATTAATTTATATATAATAAAATTTTTTTAATGTTCAATATATTGTATTTAAAAAAATAACCTTTGACAATATGTAATTGGAAAAATAAAATTAATTTTTATTATTAATTAAATATTTTAAATACTTTTTTAGATTATATTTTTAAATTTAATTTAATTTCAAAAGTTCGTTATGATCTGAATTAATTCGAAATATATACATTTGACTAATCGTTTTCAAGTGTCAACAAATCTGACCAATACGAAAATTAATTTCATATCACGTGAAAGGACAAGTTTAATTTTCTGTGGTGTATAGTTTTCTGTTTATATATTTGATGTTGCGACGAATCAGTTTATTCCGGAGCCTTGTATCGTACAGAACGTCTTATAATTTACTTGTAACAAAAAAAAAAAAAAGAAAAAAAAAGTTTTTGTGTATATCGCGATAAATTTTTTTTTCCCAAAGTGTTTTGAATTTTATCATTTTTCAAATTATTTAAATATAATTAATAATTATTGACTGTGAAATTAAATCGCTGGCCGATTTTTATGTTAAAAATTAAAGAGGTTCCGTAAAATTTATCAAGATTATTCGAGTATTTTTCGTGTTATCGTCCTTCAAAAGTATAAATACATTAATATTTACGTTCGTTCATCTGAAAAAAAAATTAAAATCCATTTTTTTTACGTGAAACAAATTTTTTTTGTACTTTGAAAGAGTCAAAATTTTGGTATTAAAAAAAAATGACCAAGTTTAACTCGTCGAATATGGCCAGGGTTGGTCCTCATCGTTATCGACGACCTCGTCGACGTCCTCTTGTTGGTCCTACCGGTTCACCGTATCTCGATTATACTCTTCTTGTAGATACAAAAACCGCTCCATGGTTTCGAAGAAACAAACAAACGAATGTTGTTAAAAATACCCCATTTAGTAAGTTTTAAACAATCTTTTTTTTTTAATTTTGTTTTTCTTTCTTTTTTAAAAAAAAAAGACAACAGTTTTATTTTAAATATTTTACAAAATCGATTAAATTATTTTATTTTTATTAAAAATAAATAAATAAAAACCAATAACACCCAAATTGACTAATTATTTGTCAAGTTTTTAATATTTAATTTAATTGAACAAAATTTTTAATTTACAGTTGCTTCTAAATCGTATATATAATTTTTTTTGTTTATATATCAATGAATACAAGTTTTGATGTATGTACCTAAAGAGTATATGTGTATGAAAGATAAATATTATCAAAGGTTATTTTCAAAAGGAAAACTTTGTTTGGCCTTGAAAATTTTTCGAATTTTTCCACCTTTGTAAGCTAGGAATTAAAATTTAAGAAATTAGAATATTCATAATGCCTTTTAGTAATTTTATTTTGTTTTAATATTACGAAATTTTAATAGATTTGAATTTATTTTTTAAAATTTGAGAGAATAGAAGAAAAAGAAGGGAACAAAAATTATTTATTTTGTATTTGAAAAATATTTTTCTTTTTTGTTTCAGGAGATGAAGCAATTATATCAATGTCGGTCGCCGGTGAGGTGACTGATTCCTCGATTTTGGAAGTTGGTCGTTCAAGACCTCAATTCCAATACACTCGGGTTTGTTTGATTCTTTAACATAATAAATTAATTTCTAGGATTTTAATTTTATTAATTATTTATATTGAAATAGAAATTTTCAATCGATATTTTACTTTTCATTGTAAAATGTACATGTAAATATGATGCACATTTTTTTTAGGAGGAACTCATGAACATAAAGGAGACAGCTTTGGCTAAACGAAAACCTGATTGCCTAGATCCGGCATACAATAAGTATGTTTAATTATTTTATGGTTATATCTTTAAAAAAATAGGACAGAATTTAATTATTTTTTTATTTTATTTTTGTTTAATTTTTACAGCAAGCATGGTGTGTGGGATCCTGAGCGTTGGCATTTGGATAGAAAGCGAAGTGAAACACCACCTGATGATGAGCCGGCGAGTCGTATTGATTCTGTTGCTGAAAATCATGCCAAACGACGAAGTGGAGATCCTCGCGAGAGAATTCGCAAAGAGCAGGACGGCATTGTTTTGAGTCCGCAACGACGAAGTTTCAACTCCGGATGTTTTGTCAACGTAACGCAACCCCCACCGCGACGACCAGAAAGCCCGATTGGCAAATCTGAGGTAGGGAGAAGAGAGAATATTAAATGTTACTTCTTATCGTCTACAGATACTTGAGTAGATTGTATATTTATAGATTATCAAACTTGTATACGATTAAAAGAGAGTTACTAAAAATTTCTTTTTTCGTATTTTTAATTTAGGAATTTATGACAATGATTTTTTTTATTTATTTAATTGAAATCGTTGTAATTAATGAAAAAGTGAAATTAAAGATTTTTTTTTTTGTTCATTTTAGGTTTCACATCGTGAGCCAGTTCGACGAATTGGCAGTGGTCGCATATTAAATCGCGACATGTGGGACTTTAGATCGGATAATGACAAACTTGATTCAGATCGTTCGGAATATAATTTCCGACCTGGCGGTGGAAATTCTCTTCGCGATCGAGACAGTCGAGACTCGGGAAGAGATAGAGACATGATGCGAGATCGAGACATTATTCGTGATCGAGATGACAGAAATGATCGTTTCGAGCGACGTTCATTTGGTAGAGATTTTGGTGATCGTGATCGAGATCGCGACCGCGGAATGGAGAGAAATGAGCGCAATCAGCAAAATGATCGTGGTCGCGATCGAAGATATGGAAATGATCGTCGAAGAAGCTTCAATGATAGTCGCGATAATGAAGAGCCTGAGTGGTTTAGCTCGGGTCCAACTTCACAACACGATACCATTGAATTACGTGGCTTCGAAGATATACCTGAGGAGAAGATGAACAATAATAATACTAGCGCGAAAGGAAAGAAACAATCTCCCGCTCAGAAGAAGCGTGCAAAGAAAGCAGCTGAAAAAGAAGAGAAAAAAGAGGAGAATCATTCAGCTGGTCCAAAGGGTCGTAGTACACCAAATTCAATGGAACCACAAACAAATGTTGTTGCCGCGCCACATTCTCCAATTCTCGAGCAAAATGAACAAGAGCCGCCCATTGTCACGAAAGAGAAGCAAGACGATAGTAAATCCACGACAACAACTGAACAAAATTCTGAGGAGACGGAAAAATCAAATAACACATCCAGTCAGAATCAAAGTCAAGAGACAAAACAGTCTGATTTCAATCTTGATGAGTTTTTGAAATCAGACACATTTCCAGGAGTTTCTGGACTCCTTACCAATGGAGTTGGCTCCAATGGTGGAACAGGTTCACGATTCAGTCAATGGTTCAAGAGAGAAAGTCCCATTCAACAGGTGGACAGTCGTAGACAATCTATCCAAGATGAATTGCTCAACAATCTATTGAATGATATTTCTGAACCTAAAATCAAGATACCCGCTGTATCCGAGTCAAATGCTTATTTTGCGCCAATTTCTCCTGCCAATACAACTAATAATGCTGCAACTGGAACGAAACTTCTTGAAATGTTACAACGCGGTAATAAAAATCAACAGAATGGTCAAGGTGACGCTCAGGCAAATCCAGTTGTTCAAATGATGAAAAATTCCACAATCAAAGATGTCGAACAAAGTGGTAAAGTTTTTCATAGTTTGGAAGAATTGGAAGCAAGAATGCGTGGTGGACTTCCAAATGAACAACCAAGAGTGAATAAAAACGAGGAAGATCTCTCTGCTTTTAAAAAATTGCTCGCTCAAGTCACAGGTGGTCAGGCTGTTCCTGCTGCGAATGGACCAATTCCACAGAAACAACAACAACAACAACAGCAGCAACCAATCACGCTAATGCAATTATTGAATACACAATTGAAGACTCAACAAAATGAACAAATTCGACCTCCAACTTATAATCATGTTGGACCTCTTGGGCCAATTCAACATCCTCATCAAAGTCAATTACAGCATGAGAATCTGATGAAAGTTTTGCAAGTTCAACAGGTAAAATATTTTTGCCAGGCAATTTTTTTCATGTGATTTAAATTTTTTTTATTTTTAGCAACAAAAGCAGAGACAGGAGCAACAGCAAATGTTCTCAATGATGATGGGAAATCAGCGTATGATGGGCGTGAGTCCAATTCCACCAGATGTCCAAATGATGATCAATTGTGCACCCACTACTCGTGAACTTCTTCAGAGACCAGAAGCTCGGGCTATCATTCATGGACTTCAACATGGCGATATTACAAAACAACATATTATTGAACAGTTGCAGGTATTTAATTACTGTTCAATTTTGTAAATAATAATTTAATTTTGTTCCAGTTTTAAATATCGTTTTTTTCTCAGAATCCTGTAATGCAACACAGACATCGAGAGGTTCTTGTGAATATACTGAAGGTTTATGGAGGAACTACTCCCCGCACAGTGAGTCCACATCCTAATGTGCCCACTCCACAGGATCATATGCTCCAGCAAATGTTGTATCAGCAACAACAGCAACAACAACAACAACAGCAGCAACAGCAACAACAACAAAGAATTCCTTCGCCAATGAACAATGGTAATTATTATTTTCTAGTCTTTTGATAGAATTTTTTGCATGTTTAAAGTTTGATTAACATTTTTTTTTTTTGTTAGTGATGCAACATCGAGTTCCATCGCCCCGTGAACTAGCAATGCACACGCAAACAATAATACAAAATGCCTTGATCAAAAAGAAGCTTGAGGAACAACGTGAAAATTTTCGCAAACGACAGGAGCAACAACAGCATCATCAGCATCAGCAGCATAAACATCAAAATCATCCAAATGCTCCTAGTCCAGTGAATTCACCGGCAAAACAGACATTAAGTCCAACGCCACTTGCATTCACGCCAACTTCGGTATTACGTAAAATGACTGCCGAAAAGGAACCCGAGGGTGCGAATCAATCATTTCAACAAGTAGAAATTATTATTGCTTCTGCTTCCGCTAATCAAGCTTTGCCTAAATTTAATTCTTCTGTAGTTAATCCAACACAAAATTACACTACACACAAACATCAATCACCCAAGGAGAAAAAGTGGAATGGTTATGTTAACAAAGGTCAAGGTAAAAATAATAATAATAATCACAGAAACGTTGGTTCCGCTAATAATAATAATAATAACAATAATAAAATAAGTCCCAAGAAAAAAGTACCGAATTCAAAAAATACTGATGATAATGATGAAAATAATAATAATGAATCGCAAAAAGTAACAATAAATTGTCCTGAGGGTACAAATTGTGAATCGGTTTCTAATACTAAAATTTTGGATTTTGATCCAAAAGTTTCGAATATTAATTCAGATCAAATTTCTAATGACGATTCCAAAAAAGATACAATCACTGATCCATGTGATAAAATTGTGAATTGTAATAAAATAATGTTGGATTCTGATCCAAGCATTTCAACTTCGGTTTCAAAAGTTTCAAATTTTGATTCAAATATTCAAGATAAAGAATCCGATTCAATTTCAGAAAAATCAATTATCGTTTCAAATAAAATTGATTCTGATCCAATTCCCTCAGTTTCTTCAATTCACATTGAAAACGATAAATCCAAGATTTGTGAGGGAGAAGATTCAAATTTAGAAAAATGCTCTTCACTTGATTCTCTGGATTAAAAATATTTGTCGTTTATAAAGTTCCTTAAAAAAAACACACGTCAAACGTTTAGATTTAGTACTTATATGCATGTCATATAATAATCTTGAAAAAGGAACTAAAAAAAGAACTCGAAATTAACGAGTAATTTATTAAAAAAATGGGCAGAAAAGTATATTTTATTTATTTTTTTTTTTTTTTAATAGAGAAAATACGCGATTTAGTTTTTTCATTTAACTTTCCTTTTTGATGTTCCTTTGAAATGAACTACTTTTTCTTAAATTGATTAATTAAAATAATTAATGCTTAAAGAGAATTAGTGGCAGGTTCTACTTTTTCTTATGGAAAAAGGGAATAGGGAAAAGGGAAAATTGTCAGTTTGATGCCTCACACACAATAATTACACTAACATAACACAACAAATCTTATGTCGAAACACTCTTTTATAATAAAAAAAAACACTTCATCTATAAATTTGAAATGCTATGCAATATTTTTTTTTTTAATATTTTCGCTTTTTAAAAATACTGCATGTTTTCAGAAACTGTTTAATAGTCACTGGTTATTATTTGAAACATTATAAAAAGAATGAATTTAATTAATTTTAATTACTCGAATTTTTATATTTACATTAGATTTCCGAAATTTCAATTTTGGATCCTATTTTCCTTATACTTTTTTCCATAAGTCCTAATTTATATTTTTCTTACTATTATAATTTTTATTTTTCCTAATTACCTTCTAATAAATAATTTATGGTAATTAAGTAAAATAAAAATTGCTATAAATGAATAAAATAAGAAAAATAAAAATTATCAGTTATGAAAATTCGGAAACAGAAAACTTGCATTTAAATTAAAAAATAATAGAAACAAATAAATTAATAATGCAAGTTTAAAATTGACTATTAAACAGTTTCATCAATATTTTTCTTTCAGCTTTGCTTTGTTTATGCATTTTAAGTAATTTTTTAGTGAGTGTTCAATTTTCTGCTGAACATTTTATGCTTTTGTTTTTAATAAGAATTATAAAAAAAAATTGCTTTCTTTTTCATAGCTTTTAAAATATAATTTAAATGTGCATGTTAGAAATTTTAATTCCATTCTTTATTGGATTCATTATTAATTTTTAAATATTTGATTTTTTTTCTATTTATCAGAAAAATGCTTTCAATGTGGAAGATATTTCAAAAAAAAAAAAAATTTCTCGTGTGTTTTATAAGTTTTTTTTTTTTGTGGCATACTGACATATTTAAGGTAAGACTTTTTTTTAATATTTTTTTTATTTGGTAAGTAAATTTTTTTATTTTTTAAATATTTTTTTCTTGTAAAAAATTGTTTAAAAAAAAACGTGAAATTTATTGGAAGAAGCATTTTGCTTATACAAAATAATTTGGTTGTTGGATTGAGATATAAGCATGTTTTTCTTCTTTTTGAAAATCGTGTAGTGAATGATTTTTGCTGCTTTGCATACGCTGTACAGTAGAAATTGAAAAAATTTTCAATTATTTATCAACGAAAACAAAAAAAAATGTACAGGTAACAACGATCCAACAAAAATGGTTCCTCCCAATTCAGCAGTACGACGTGACGATCTTTCAGTTATTGCTGATTTTGCTCATCAAGTTGCTCTCGCTGCTGGAGAAACTCGCGTACCACCAACTCGATCACAACAACCAATTCACCCCAATTGGCAGAATCCTGCTGTCAAACAGCATCCTGGTATGTTTTCATTAAACAGTGATAAGAATTTCTCCCGCAGTTAAAATTAAATATTCTATTTAATTAATTTACAACAAAAAAAAATATTGTAAATTTTTTTCCCAAATAATTGCTTTGCAGTGTTTTATATTTTATTTTAAACTTCTTCCTTAATTTTTGATTACATTTGTCACCAGGATTCTGTCATGTGCTTCTTTTTTTTTGTTTCCTTGTTTATTTTCCAAATTATTGAATGAAATGGAATTTTTTTTTTCTTTTCAGAGGAAACTGTTTATTTGATCAAAATTGGTTTAATTTTCTTTAATTCGAGTGATAATTTTAGTAATTAATAAAATATGTGATTAAAAATAATAATTGTTGAATTATTACAGGACGACCAATTGTAAAAGGAATGAATGAATATCCGTATAGTGCAATGTTGGAAATGCAACAACAGCAACAGCAGCAAAAACAACAACAACAACAGCAGCAACAACAACAACAAAGAGCAGTTTCTGGGATGTTCGCTAATCCCCATCGTTCAAAGCACACAATGACAGCTCCAGCTTCTCATCAAAATGTTTCTCAATTTAATGTTGCACCCAATTCCGTTATGGGACAGAGAACCAATCAAATGACTAGTCAAATGAAGCAAGTTCATCTTGCGAATTTACAACAGCAACAACAACAACAACAGCAGCAGCAGCAACAGCGATCTGTTAATCCACAAATTCAGCTTGCCTTGAACCAAAATTATAATTCGTCTCGTAATGGTAAGAATATTCTTTTAAGTCCCCCTAAATTGGCATTTATCATTTTTTTTAATATTAATTTTACTTATCCTTTTTTCTATTTTCTAGTAACTGATAATTTTTTAGATTGAAAATATTTAAAAGATTCAAAAGATAAAAATAATGACTACTAAAAACTTTAAACAAGAATAACAAATATTGATGATTGGCTTCTCTAATTGTATATAATTTACAACACTTTAAACTGATTCCAGGTTATCCGACTGTCCTTAAACATTATATCAGTAATGGAGCTTTGAAATTGGAATAATAGAACCTCTCCTATCCATCGTCCAAAATCAAAAGTCCATATCGCTAAATTAAGTAATCCCGCTAATTATTTTCTTTTTAAATAGAGAAAAAATTCGTAAATAATCGAAAACTGATCCTTTCGATTCCTTTTTTTCATTATATTTTCCTATTATTCTTATGAGAAAAGTATTAAATTTTTGTATTTATTTTTGCGATGTTTCATTTTTTTTTTAGACGGACGAGTAATACGACCACAACAATTAAATATTGGTGTTGGACGACAAACATCACCGGGACTTGGATTTATGAGTGGAACTGGAGGTGAACTTTCTCCAACGTCAAATCAATTGGCTCGATGGTTTAGCCCGGAACTTCTCGCTCAAGCACGTGCCGGTAAATTGCCAGAGTTGGGTCAAACTAATTCTATTCTATCGGTAGAAGAACTCGAGAGATTACAACATGCATCGACGACAGTTCACAACTAAATCGACGTGAGACTTTTTATCCTGTTCCTAATATATACATCTATTTATATATTAGGATTATTACGAGTGGAAAAAAAATCTCCTATTTGGATCTCAAAGATACTTTTCAAAAAGTATTACAAGCGATTTATAACAAAATTGAAGACAGTTTTTTTTTTCTTTTAATGAATTTAATTTATTATTATTATTATTATTATTCAAGTTCCTGTCGATTCGAGAAAAAATCTATGTTGCTCAAATGAAAAAAAAATCGAAATAGACATTTTCTCGAAAATTGACTTTTTTTGTTTTGAGTTATTGAAACCATTTAAATATTCTTCTACATCAAAAATCGTTTGTAATTTTTCATTTTGAATTGTCTCAATTTGATTTCATTGTGATTGTCATATATTAATATATGAACAAGTTATTTTAAAGACTAAATTCTCATTTTGAGACGGAAACATTTAAAAGAAAGAGAGACTTTTAAAGAAAAGAAAAACGAATTCTCAATGATCGGAAATATTTAATGTTAGGCAAAGAATTTCCAATCAAGACTGTGCAAAACTGTTTCTGCAATCCCATTAATGAACGCGTTCTCTCGAATTCATTTTTTCTTTTTTTAAAAAAAAACGTAAAAAAGAAACTGTTTGTCCGTTCTACAACTATTCTCAATGCAAAAATGAGAACATCTCTAAATCGCTTCACACGGCTGTCAAATTATTTATTTATTACTTTTTTTTTTAAGGGGCAATGAAGGGAAATTAAAATGACGTGCGTGAAAACTTTGATCTTCGAGACTGATGTATTATTGTAAGATTTGATAAAACTTAATCACCGTCTCCCCCAAAAAAAAAAAATCATGAATACTTTCTTTTTTTTTTTGTCTAGTATTATACTTTAATTAGTTAATTAACAAATGAAATGAAAAAAATACCTAAAAAAAAATTTTAATGTAAGAAAATTTAATTGAAAAATTAAGTTTAAAAAATGTAAAAAAAAAAGTTAATTTAAATAGTATTTTCAAACTATGGGAGTTGTAATATATCGAATTATAATTAGAGATAATTAAACGCGGTCTTTTTTTTGCGTTTGGTGCTTTGCTCGTAAAAAACAAAAACTCCCATAAAGACTGTTTGATCGCGCTATTTTCGGTGCGAAATTTAATATTAAGAGATCTCTTTTTAAAAAACATTAATAATAAACATTATTATTTAGAAGAAAATCCTGGCTCTTAAAGTGTATGTCTGTTATTCTCAACGTATATTAAATATATAAATAAATAATATATTATCTTATTGATAACGAGAATACAGTGTGCTACCAAGAAGATTAATACTTCATTATATTAGATTCAAAGTATCTTTGAAAAAAAAAAAAAAATTAAAGAAAAGAAAAGTTGGGACATAAAAAATCATCATGAAAAATGAATTTACATTCCACAAATAAAAGCTGTCAATTTTTTTATACTCGCAAGATTTTGACAATTTGAAAATAATTCTCATTTACGATGATTTTTGATATTAATTGAATCAAATTTGATTCTCAATAATGCGAAATTTAAATGGCAAAATTTTCTGTTTGTAGCAAACAATACTTTTTTGAATCTCAATTAATTGTGGCTGTAATTAGATTTTTTTTAATAAAAAAAAAAGTTTTGTAAATATTAAGGCAATTTTAATTTTTAGTGAGAGATTGATACGACGTACAATTATTTTTTTTTTCAAGTTATAAAAATTTATATGGGTGGAGGTTTTTTTTTTTTTTTTGAAATTTTCTCGAAGCAAGGAAATCACGTGTACGTCTATATTTATTCGATAAAACTTGATTGTTTAGAATAAACATAATTAGAAGAAATAATTGTACTAAGAAGGAAAGATGAGAAAATGATTTTTAATCGATTCTTGAGAATTCTACACTCGTTCGATATCGTAAAAAAACCGAAGAAAATATCCGATTGTTTCTCAAAGAAAAAAAAAAGATTTTAGGTCAAAAGAAAAATTTTTTATAAAAAACAAAATGCACTGATTTTATTAATTTTGTTTAAAAAAAAAATTTGATAAGTTTTGCGAATGTAAAAGAAATAAGGTTTCGAATTTAGTTTCGTTATAAATTTGCGTTTATGACTTAAGAATAATTTTTAAAAAAATTTCCAAATAATTTTATGTTCTTTATAGTATCATTTTAAAATTTTTACTTGTGCTTTGTTGTATATCTTTTGTCTTTTTCTCAACCTGTGAAGCGAAATTCGCAGCTACAACTCATTAAAGGACATGTATATTGACAAAGTACTCGCAAATAAAAAAAAGAAAAAAAAATACATATAATATTAATAGTAAAACGAAACTGTTAGTCTTAAAGACTTTTAGCGAAGCATCTTTTAAATCAAGTTGCATTTAAAAATAAGTGTCAGTTTCGTATAAGACATAGTGATTGTAGAACGACGTTCAAAGGACAAACGGCTGTATAAAGAAAAAAGAAAAAAAAAAAAAAAAAAAAAAAAAACGCAAGTACCTACTCATTTTTTTTTTTGTCGGCTTAAGAATATAATTGGGAACCTTTTTGTGTCCTATTTAACTCGAGAGAATTGCTATAGTCATTAATTAGGCGACTATAGAAATGCGCCTCTTTCGTTTTTGCTAATCAGAGGCGATTCTATAATCTTACAAACTTTTGTAAATAATTCGAAACCCTCAAAAAGAAAAAACAAAAAAAAAAAAAACTTTATTAGTCATGTAAGTACCGAAATCCAATGTTTTGTAAATAAAGTTATTAAACATATGTGTCAGTGATCTTATAAATTAAGTTAAAAGTGAAAACAAAGGCTGTCTATATTTATTATCTTTTTATTTTTAAATTAGTTTAAAACATTTTTTTTTTCACTAGATATTTAGGTGTTGATTTAAGATAAATAAAATATAAAATTTGTTTGTGTGTATATAAAATATTTCAAATTTTTTTCTAATCTGCCTTTTATATAAAAAACAATTTTTCCACATATATTTAAAAAAAAGATAAGTTTATTATCTATTATTTTATGTAAAATAACTTATATGAATTTTTAATTTTAAAACATTATTATATCTTTTTAACTGTTATTTTTTAAAATTCTTACTATAATCAATTATAATTACTATCAAATTAATTTCAATATTTTATTTTTGTAAAAAATTATTTTGATGAAAATTTTTTACAGATTTCAAAAGTTGCCGCCAAATTGCTATTGGTCGATACAATGCACTTTGAAGACCAATCATATTAATGGAAAAAGTGACCAATAAGAATGCATGAAAAAACGCGGGCAGTTAGTGAGAAAAAATGTTTTACAAAGTATGCACGAGTGTTAATGTTTAGTGAAAAAAATGTGATTTAATTGTGATAATTATTTGTGTCATTCGGTAATTTTACTCTTTTCGACATGTGTGATAATCCGGAAGAACAAATTTCACCTTTGGCGGAGTACTACTGTAGTAAATTGACGTTCTGATGGAGTGACTTAATTTCTTGGGAAAAACCGTTAATTCTTCACATCAATACAACAGGTATTTATATTAATAATTTATTTTTAATTTTAGTTTACATGTCGTTATAGAAATTAGTCAAATTAGTCAAATTCGGGAAAAGTTTATTGGACAAATTGAAGATAAAGCGGAAACAGTCGTTTAATAGTGACCTAACCTCAAATATATAGGAAGTGACGTACAGAGTAACTTTCGTGAGCATGTTCCAGTCTCTTCTTTGATAGTATTAGTTTCAACGATTACGTCTACAAGCTGCTGCTGGTTGAGTTAACAAAAAAAAAAAGGCAAATGAGTAGCTTATTCAGTTTGTATCCATCGCAGCTACACACAACTACAATTTAATTCGTAGTGGCGATAAAGTATTCTACAATTTCATCTCTAAAATCTTACCAAAATTCTGTTACACGGTTGAACAATAGAAATTTTACAGGCAATTGATATTGTACCAGCCAAACCCTCAATTTTTGTCAATAAAAGCCAATATTTGGAAAAATGAGATAAATGAATGAAAGTAAAATTCTTCTTGATCGCTCAAAAGTAATGAAATTGTTTCTTTATAGACACGCCATATTGTATTGTTTTAACACCCCTTATAAATTTTCACGTTTCTTAGCAACGAGAAAATGAGGACTTTCTTCAGGCAGACATTTAACGTGGTAGAAATTCTGTTACAATAATTTTCAACAATATTATTTCTTTCAGTCCTTGGAAAATTTATTTTCTTAAAAATTTTCATAAATAGAAAATATCAAATTAACCTAAATAGCAATTATGTAATAACGGTGTTAGTGGTTCAAAGTAGTCTTAGAAAAAATTGAAGGCCAATGCTTTGCAGTAAATTTATTCAAATATATTATAATACTTCTGTTTTTATTATAATACTTCTGTAAAATTTCAATTTAGATATCGAGTCATATTTTCCTTAATTACACAGAAGGTGCAAATGCACACATGTGCAATTTTATCATAAATTAATTAATTTGTTATTTTGGTCATTAAAATTCTAAATGTGTTTAATTTACATAACTAATTTTCTATTTATTTCTTACACAATTATATAGTACAATATAAAAAAAAAATTTGAAGTTTACCCAAATTAATTATTTACATTCGAAGCATAAGAAAATTTAAAGAACCGTCGAAATCGATGCATTGCACATAATGTTGAAATCGAGGCGAATATACGGGAATGAGATAAGTGACAGAGGATAAATAATTTAAGATTTTTTTTTCTATTACATTCGTGGATTTAATAATACTCTATATACATAAAAGAAAGGATTTATTTAGCAAGATAAATATTCTGAAATTAGTTAATCAACTTAAAAAATAAGAAACAATAGTAGTATAATTCTGTGTGAAAAAAAAATTACACACGTTTCATAGTTCCTTTCATACTGCAATTTATTCTCTCTCTGACAGTCAGATAATCAATTAATCCGTTGCTAGCGAAAATATAATAAATTCATTTTGAAATATAAAAAAAATCCAATAAATTATAATCGATTTCGTTATATTGATTCTTTTCCAATAAAATGAAGTTCTATATTGCTATTACTGTATATTATATATACGGCCCTGATATATTGTGACGTTTTCATAAGAAATAATTTAATTAATTAGACAATATTTAAAACAAAAAAATAACAAACAAATTATTGTGTTTTATAAATAATGATTAATATAAAGAAAAATGTGCTTTTTAAATAATAAAGAAATAAATTTTTAGAAATTCCACCAATCAGAATTGATTAAATTATATTTAATTGAAATAATCGTTTTAAATAATCAATTTTTTTAAACCAATTAATATTTTGAAATTTTCTATTTAATTGATTACTTTAATTATAATTTATAAATTCACTTGAATTTTGAAAAAGGAAAATATAACTGACAAGAAACTAACCTTAACCTACTTAAAACATTTTTAGTCTATCATTTATAAAACATCTATATTAAAATTATTTTCCTGAGATTTCCTTAGATGAAAATTACATTTTTGTATCTAAATACGAAAAAAAAGAATAACAATTAACTCTATATGATTCTTAACAAATTATCAGAAAACTTAAAAATATGCATTGGAGTTAATTTTGTCCATTTCTCGTTAAAAATTTTACGTAGTAGTAGTGTAGAGCAATATGGCGGTTGTGTAGCTTCCTGTTGCGCGATGGACGAGTCGGTTATGTTCACTTCCGGATGGAGGGTGACGACCGACTAGCGCAGTTACCACGCCGCAGTGAAATAGTATACCCAAGTTGAAGAGCAGCAAATTCGTTTGTCTACTGAACAATTAATATAATATTCATCTACTTTTGAAAGCCCTTTGTTATTACTTTTTTTTTTTATACGTATTTACTGGAAATGTTTTTTTTTTAAGTAGGATTTAGAAATATTCGTTGATTTGTAATATATATACTTTTAAAATTTGAGTAGTGAAACAATGCCCCTTGTTGGCAATCATTTACTCCGTAGCAGTTTGGACGCCATCATTACATTTGGTGTTAACAAAAAAGAATGCAAGTAAAATTGCAAATATTCTCCTGATAAAATAATCTTCGGGTTATTTAAAAAGTGGAGCTGTGATTAGGTTTAAGTTATTCCTCATTCATGTTGCGGTACGTAAGGCCTGTCTTTGGTTTATGCAATTTTTGGTTTTGGGTATTTTGTCGGTATACGCGTTTCTTTATTCTTTTTTTTTGACTCCGAGCCTCTAGAAATTGTGAGCTTAGAAATATATTCTAGTGTGAATTTTAAAAGAATAATAGAATCTTATATAAGAGTTGAGACAACAAGATGGCGAGTGTGCTCAATCGATTAAACTCTTTTTCCTATTGGCTGACAGTGAGTAATGCGCGCGCAGTTTCCGGTTGGCTTCCATCTTGATAAAAGTTCGTTCTTCTTTTTAAGAGTTATTATTTTCTATATGTGCGGAAAAAAAAATAGGAAACAGAGAAATTTACTTACCTTTGTAAAAAAAAATTTTTTCTTAAATTTTTTTGATTGAGTTACAAATGAGAGCGTGACAGAGTAAAACGAATTCTATTGCGAATAATTTTCTTCGTTAAAGTAATTTTTTTTTTTTACTTTACGCGTGTATCATTTTCAAAGCCAATACTAAAACGAAGCATTTGTTTAATGAGTATCCTTGGTGATAATAAATGAACGTAGGAAAAACGTCAGTTGAAGATCAAGGCGTGGAAAAATTGTCGCCATTTTGTGTATGCCAAGTTATATTCAGTATATAGAAAGAAGTGTTTGAAGATTATTTTTCTTTGATCCATCTACGTGTATACAATTATTGTAATTCAGGTATTTTTCATTATTTTTTAATCTTGTTTGCATGATTTACGAATCACGTCGAAAGTATAGTGATATAATTTCAATTTAATTCACTATGAATATGTGGAAATAATGCATCTCTACTATTCTTATTATATAATTAAGAAGATTCATCTGCATTCTTTGTAAACGTTGAATAAAATTGTTGCTTTTTATTAAAATTTAGTTATACTCTAAATGATGTCAGATTTGACACTATGTAATTTGCTAAATTTAAAAAAAAACATCTGGAAAAATTGCTGAAAATAATTTTATCGGAGTAATTAAAGTGAGAGATTTTTTTTTTTTTAGTGGGAAGATTAAAATTTTTAGGAGTGCGTTAAAATTTTTTTAAATTACTCGTGTAAAGATATGCGTTAGATGTAACATATGAGTGGCATATTTGTATCATATGAATAAATACATTTTTCTCAAATTAGTTTTATTACTTTTTTGTGAATGATGACGTTTTGCATTAATTAATTTTTTTTTTCATATGTTTTAAAAAAGCATTGCAAGAAAATGGCAAAATGCAGAAAAACGGAAAATTGAATTAATAGATAGAAAAGACAAAAAAAAAAATTTAATTACGATATACAAGCAGAGAATTTTTATGTAAAATTGTAATTAGTTGTAAAAATATATTACAAATATGTTAGGTATTTGAGATTCGGGTTAAAATAATTTAAAACGACAATCGTTTTTAATTAATAATTAAAGGTGCGCTATGAATCGTTAAAAATTTAGTGTTATTTTATTTATATTTTCTGTAATATTTGATTAAATGTTAAAACATTAACGGAAATAGAAGGATAGCTTAGTGAAGAAATTATTAGATAGGTCAGTTAGTTTTAGAGGACGTACTATTTAACCATTCTGCGATATTTCAATTTTTTAAAAAGTGAATTTACTTTGTAAAGTAATTTCTCTATAGAATTATTCTTTTTTTTTTTTATTTTAAAATTTTAATATTTTACTGAAAGTGATAAACTTATTTCGTTAAAAATTCAGGAGAGATTGATTGCTACGCGTCTAACTTGACAAGCAACCATTTTGTAAAGCAATATTTTGTCAGCCATTTTGATTTGACAAAACAAGCGAAAAGACTTTGTCATCATCAAAATGATGTGACTCTATAACTATTTATTAGTATTTTAGTATTATTAGTGTCCAAATTAGTTTTACGTACTAATTTTTTTTCTTTTATTCACATAAAATAGAAAATATTTCGGATTTTTTCTTTCTTCTTCTTTTAATGAATGAACGTTTGCATTTTTTTTTCCTTTACCGATTTTGTTAGTTGACTTTTGACATTTTTAGTTTTATGTAGATTTTTTTTTTAAAAACTGTGCCAGTGAAAAGTGAAGATTTATTAAAATTTGACACACCTCGCAGAAAATTAATACCAAATCGTAATTAAGAAATCAAGATCCATGGAAGTCTTCATATCCTACTAAACTTTAAATATATTCTTTTGTATAAAATTCCAATATTGTAAATACATTTGAAATAAAGAAATTTTTTTATTTATTTCTTTTGTTTTATATACATGTGATATTTTCGACATATAATTCAAAAATATTTAATCTACAAAAACCAAAACTTGCATAAACCTAATTTAGTTTTAAGTTTATAATAATTTTTTTTTTCTTTCAAAATAAAATTTTAAGTTTTTATATTTTTATTACAGGAGTGTCAAATTGCTCTACAAAGTGATTCACAATGTTGAAAAATATCGACGTGGTGAATAAAAAGAGAGATGACAAAAAAGATGGTAATTCAGAAAGGGCAGAGACATCATCTTCATCAAAAAAGAAATCATCTTCCGATAAGACTAAAGTCAAAGGCGATGTATTTTCAAGATTAAGTTCAATTCATTTGTCGGATATTAAACTACCACCGGAACCAGCGCCAAGAATTAAACACAAAGAGAAGAAACATAGGGATAGAAAAGAGAAACGTGATAAAAAACATTCTCATAAACATAGTGAGAAAAAAAATGACAAATTAAAAAGTAGTGGCGCGACAAAATCTAAAAATGGAAATATCAATAATAGCTCAGATGATTATTTGCTGACGATCGAAACTGGCGAGAGTTTCATGAATAAAAATATTGATTTTTCCAAAACCAACATCAATTTTGATTCACAAAAATTATTGGAAAATGATAATGACGAATATGAAAAACGATTTTCAGATGTTAAGAGGTACATTCCATTTTTAGAAATGATGATCGATAGACATCGTCAAATGAACGATCATAAATCTTTAAAGAAAATGGAGAGTCTGCATGAAGTTTTAACACAATCAAAAAAGAAGTACGTTCTTTATTTTTATTTTTAGAATTTTCTTTTTATTATTTATTTAACATTTTTTTTTTTTTTTAATTATAGATTGAAAATGGAAACTTTACGAAGATGTGAAGATGTCTTGGAGAAATTGTATCATAAAGTAGGAGAGGTAAATATTAGGATTAATTAATTTAATGTTTATTTTTCTATTCTAATTTGTGAATTATTTCCAATTTTTGTATTTTAAATTAAATTTAGCATTTTTTTTTTAAATTTCAGTCTTTGAGAAAAGAAACAAGTGCCGAAACATTAATGGATTATAATTCATCGTAAGTATTTCTCGTTAATCGAATTTTAATAAATTTGTATAATTATTTTTTTTTTTACAAAAAATTAAAATTTTTGCTAATAGGTTAAATTAAAATTAATATTTCCCTATGGGTAATTTTTTAAAAAATAGTTTTTATCTTCCAGTTCTTTGAAGAAGACAAGATTTCATCAAATTGGAAATTTGGACGCCTCTTATGATGACGGCGGTATGAGTCCAATGTCAAGTCCCTCAACAAGTCCAACGCCACCGTACAGTCCAGATGATAATTGTCTCGTAATTGACGACGACAATGATATTGATAATGACATCATCATTAAACGTTTAGAAAAACAAGCTCACAGTCCTGAGGAAGGAGAAATAGTCGATGGATCAGACAGTAATGATGAAAATTCAAATGACACTCCTGCTCTAACAATTACTCTAGATAATTCACCGGAAAAGAGAACAAGACGCGATAGTGACATGAGTATCGATGACGATGACGGCAATAACGAAAGTTGGAAAGCCTTTGTCGATAAGCATACTTTACAAAAACCAACATCACCAAAATGGAAACCAGTCAATCCTTCACGTCAACCAATTGTTGTGACGGGTCACGATGTTAGTACAGCCGCTCAAATAGTTGGAAACAATATTTCAAAGAAAGGTGTCACTCAACGTGCTATTACACCACCACCAAAAAAATTGGACGAAAGTGAATTAAATCAAGTATTCAACGAGGACAGCTTTGACAGTGATCGCCTTAATATACCATTGTCACCTGATTCAAATTCTCGACTAGATTCACCACTAAACGTTCCCGAGGAGGGTCTTCGATCACCAGATCCTGAACTCTTCATGGACAAATCAAATTCACCGCTACGCATAGCTGAACCACCTCCAGTACCAGTACCACCACCTGAACCAATAGTTAATCCACCGCGAGTCAACGACATACCTCTCATATCAATGGCCGATCTTGAAGATTTGATACTTAATCAAAGTAAAATTCTCAAAGAAGGATTGCCAATTGAAAATAAAGACGATAAAGAGAAGGAAATTCCAAAAAGTCCCGAACCAGTGACTCCAATTCGTAGGAAGCAAACCGGAAATGTAAAAATAGCTCCAATGACATTGAAACTAGATGCCTTTATTTCCGGTGGTAAGGAACGAACACCATCTCCTGAATTACTTATCGATCCAAGAATTCGTGCCAGAATGCAAAAAGAAAAGAACGTCGATCCAAGATTGGCAAAAGATAAACAACAACCACCACGAACACCAGCACCCACCGATATGTATTCTCTTCATGATTTCAACGTCAATCCAAATTCACCATCGCCTCCACTTCCACCACCAACAGCTCCACCAGCTTGTACTTATCCATCAGCCACAAATTCCAATCAATGGAATTATAACGCAAATTCCATGCCAAATCAATATGGAATGCCGCACGAATCAACATCACACAATGATTCCTGGGAGAGAAATCAATCTAATTCCACAATGAGTCCCAATATGAATTCACCAATGAATATTAATTCTGGAATGAATATGAATTCCGGAATGAATATAAATCCAAATATGAATTCTGGAATGAATATAAATCCAAATATGAATTCTGGAATGAATATGAATCCAAATATGAATATGAATCCTGTGATGAGTCCAAATATGAATATGAATTCGAATCCAAATATTCGTGGTCCAAATATGAATATTTCACCAAATTCGGGCTATGGAAATAATATTCATCCTGGCAATAATTCATATCAAAATTACGATTATCCACAACAACAACAACAACCACCACCACAACAGCAACAGTATCAGGAAAATTTTGGCAACAATACAATGCCCTATGGACATCAAAATCCACCAAATTGGAATCGTGCCGATGATCCAATGATGAATCAACGAATGCCACCTGCTCGTGACTTGAGAGATATTCGTGACATCAATGTTCATATGGATAATAATCGTCCTGATTGGGAATGGGAGAATCGTCAAAATGATTGGGATCGTGACAGACAGAATGATTGGGACAGAGGAGGTGGAGGAGGACAAAGAATGAATGAATGGGAACGTGACAGACAAAATGATTGGCCAAGACAACAAAACGATTGGGATCGAGGTCGACAAACTGATTGGGATCGTCAAAATGATTGGCCTGGCGATAGGCAAAATGATTGGGATCGTCAAAATGATTGCAATAGACAAAACGATTGGGATCGTCAAATTGATTGGGATAATCGTAGTCGTTTTAAGAAAAATCAACGAAATCGCAGTGAAATTAGTCAACTCAAGGAAATTATAACCAGGGATCCTAGATTGATTGCCAAGGATCAGGAACAGGAAAAAGAGAAAGAAAAGGAAGAAGATAAAGGAAAAGAGAAAGTTAAAGAAGAAGATAAGGAAAAGGAGATTGATACAGCAAAGGATGTAGAAAAGGACAAGGATATAGAACAGGACAAGGAGAAAGAAAAGGACAAGGAAATGGACAAGGAGAAGGAGAAGAAAAAGGAGAAAGAAAAGCAAAAAGTACAAGAGAAAGAAAAAATAAAGGAAAAGGAGAAAGTAAAAGAAAAAGACAAATTGAAGGAGAAAATAAAAGAGAGACGTTCATCTGACAGTCGTGATGGAGTTAAAACTTCAGCACAAAAATCAAATTTAAAAGGTGCCAGTAAATTTGACATATTGAAAAATAAAGAGAAAATGAAACTCAAAGAAGGTTTACATAAATTAGGATTAAATAAGAAAAAATTGTCCGATAAAGAGAAGAAAATTAGTTTAGAAAGTTTATATGGTGTTGTGGATACAAAAGCAGCTGCTGGTCAGAAAATATTGCAAAAATTCAAAATTCCCAAATTAAAGAAACCAGATTCAACAATTTCAACTGACTCAAAATCTGATGATCAAAAAAATACTCCAAAAATTGATGATATTAAGAAAAAAATTGATATTAAAGCTAAAGATCGTCGTGAAAGAAGTTTATCAAAGGATAAAATTCTTCGCAAAGATAAGCCAAATAAGGACAACATTGAGAAAGAGAAAAATAAAGAAATCAAGGAGAAAAATAAGGACATGGATAAAGAGAAAAATAATGAAACTGTCAAAGGAAAGAAGAAGACAAAAAAACAAGAAGAAATTCCCGAAAACAAGGATAATACTTCTCATAATAGTACTGTAGTTGTTAGTGATTTGAAAAATTTCATCAACATTATTTTAACGCAAGACGGTGGAAAGGAATTTTTGAAAAAAGCAACTCTATTGGATCACTTTAAAGATATATTCGAGGAAGATAAAGATTTAATGACAATGAAAGAAATGATTCAATTGGATTCCGATAATTCTGAATCAGAAAATCTTGATATCAAGAAAAAAAGAAAATCCTTACCAAAGCGACGTGTCATTGTTTCTGATTCTGAAAATTCTGATGATGAATCTCTCGCTGATAGAATAGAACAATTGGATACGACAAAAGAAGAAAAGAAAATTGATGATTCCGAGGAGACGAAGAAAAGAACTCGTAAACCAAGAAAGAAAGCCGTTCTTGTAAAAGTTGAAGAAGAATCGAAAAAATCAATTGAAGAAATCGAAACGGAGAAGGAATTAAATGAAGAAGTGTCGAAAAAATCAAAAGAAGATAAAAAAGAAATCATTAAAAGAGAACTTCCCAAAAGAGGTGTAAATAAAAAGGAAGTTGAAAAAGAAGATATATCCAACGAGAATTTATCGAAAGAAGAACTTACCAAAAAGGAAGAAACTACTAACGATTCAATAAATGATGTCTCAAAAGAAGATAATAAAGAAGAAGATGCAAAAGAATCAATAGTTCCAAAAGCGAGGGCAAAACCAAGAAGAAAAAATTCTCTGGAAAGATTGCAGGAAGATTTGAAAGATTACATCAGCTCTGGAATTATAACAGCTGGCCAAAGGACTTGTAGAATGGCTAAAGAGACAAACTCTGCTGTTATTGTTACCAGTCCTTCTACCAGTAATACAATAGACAGTTCTCAATCTCCTGATTCAAAATTAAAACCAGGACCTAAATTTACTAAAAAATCACCTACCAAAGAGGGATCAAATGAAGATGGTCACTTATCATCAAAAGATGAAAATATTAAAACTACTCCCATAAAGAAGAAGAAGAAATTATCAGGTCCTAAATGTAAACGCTCTCGTGTTGAAATGATGGAACCAACTGTTCTCCTTCGTCGTGCTGATACATCAATGTTGGATGAACAACGACAAGATTCTTCCTCTGATGAAAGTAATTTAGATGTTTCAGAAATGATTTCCACTCCAGGTAGTCCAAGTGATTCGAAAAGTGCCGATAAACTTCCAAGAACGAGAGCAGCGAGACGAAAGATTTTATCATCAAATAAAGAAGATGAGACACTTACCGATACCGAAAGTCTCACTTCGGATATTTCAATGTCAAGTAGTACTACGTCGAAAAAGCCAGAAGTCACAAAAACTGGTGATGATGATACGGAAAATTTGGAAAATTCCCAAATTGATATTGTCGTTCCAAAAAAAGTTACACGAAGAAAGAAGAGATGTGGTTGGCGTTTGGGAATTGTTTCAAAAGCAAAACGAAGAAAAGCTCGAGCACAATACGTAAAACCAAATCTCATCATCGATGCTGATCATTTGACAGATGACTTTAGACGACCCTCAATTGAAGTTATTACAGATCACGAGACAAGAAAACGTATACACGGTCCCGATGAAATTAAAATCAAAACTGAACCCGATAATGATGAAGATACAATTTCAATAGCTGATTCTCAGGATTCGGAAATAATTATAAAACACGAGATTAAATCTGAAGAAATTGAAGATATTGTCAAGGAAGAACAAGGTATGGAAATTGATACAAATGATTCGGACATAAGTCTATCGCAAGATTTAATTCTAGAGGCAGAAATGAAAATCAACACCAAACTTGTTAATTATGTTTCTTATGGTCAAGAAAAAATCAAATGTTTACATTGTCGATTCAATGGAAAGAGTATTGTTCATCATTATGCAATAATGCATCCCGAGAAGGAAGTCTCAGTCTCCAGATTGAATCCCACAGATGCCAAGTCTGTAATTCAAGAAGCAAAGGAAATGAATTTCGAAAATGATGATCAAGAAAATCAAAATGAATTCACTTTTACGTGTAGATTTTGTCCATTCAAAAGCGAGGGAAGAAAAGAAGATTGTATGGAATCAAGTTATGAGCATTGTACATCACACACTGGCGAATATCGTTTTACATGTAAACTTTGTTCCTATATGTCAATAACAAGAACTACAATGAAAATTCATCACTATAAAAAATATAAACCCCAGGGATTAGCTCTAAGTGAGACAATGGTGGAAAAAAAAGTTCCAAACGAAAACAGAGTATACGGTTATATTTGTTCCATTTGTAAATTTGTTCAACTTAACAAAAGTAATGTCGTAAAACATATACAACAATGGCATAAAAATGATTCCAATGTTGATATTATCAAGATCAATATGTCTGTCGATAAAATTGCAGAGGGAAGAGAAAATACTAATTTGGAAAAATCCAAAACAATCAACAGTGATCCCATACCAGAAACATCGCAGGAAAGTGAAGTCGACAAAGAAACAAGAAAAAATAATTTAAGTGCTTTTGTTTGTCCTCCAGAATTGGAAAACAATAAAGAAATTGAACTCGAAAGAAAGAAGAAAATGCAAGAAATTGTCGAGAATATTGGTATCAAGGTCAATAACAAGGAAGTGAAAAAGGGACTCTCGATTATTGATAAGCTCAAAGATAAAATGGAAACAACTGTTAATTCAGAAAATGATGACAGTGAAACAAGAACCGTGACTAAATCACCAAATTCAACAATAACAAACATCACAACTGTTGAAGACGCGACTCTTCATTGTACTGAGGAATTTTCCAATGCTGATATTCTTGAAACTCGAGATGATAACGAGACAAAAGAAAATGACGAGAACGAAGATGATGATAATGAAGATGATGAAGTTTCAAAACCAAAAGATCCATTAGATGTTGAAAATGATACTCAAGATGAAGTGAGCGACAGTGAACAACCTGCGTTACGATTTGACACTGAATCAAGTTCCGATAATGAAGAGGCAACAACCGATGTAAATGATTTGCTAAAAGAAACAACTGACATCAAAAATCAATCAAATGATTCAATGATGACAACAATACAAAGACTCGCTGCACAAATTCAAGGTTCTAAATCAACGAGTCCTGATACTGAAGTTCCTCCACTTGTTGAAAGTAGTTCACCAATGAAGGATATTCCAAAAGCTCCAAATGTAATTCCAATTTCAGCTCTCAAGAAAAAGCCAACATTGAGTTCATTTTTTGGTAATTATCAAGTTAATAAAATTGCAATGAGTTCGGAGAACAAAGGCGATGATTCTTCATTGCCTAAACTATTTTTGAGACCCAGACGTATTAGCGGTGATATGCTTTCTGTTCCTGAAACCGAATCAACTGAACCTCCTGTTGCTGGTAAATTATTCTTTTATTTATAATCTAAAATTGTTTACTTTTCAAAATGCCAAAAAAAATTTCAAAAATACTTTTTTTTAAACAGGTACGAGTACACAGAATGCAGACAGTGAATCATCTTCGAGCAATCCGGGTATTTCCACCACAGACAGTGATTCGTTCCTGAAAATTGAAAATGTTGTGAGTTTGGCTAATCCCACAGAAGCTGGAAACGACAATACAGTGGTAAGTGACTGATTTTAATTTTCGTTAGTTGTAATTAATAATCTCGATGGGTAATTTTTAGGAAATTATTTTCAGTTTTTAAGACAAAATCAAAGATTTTCTTTCAAAATTGTCAAAAGTAAAAAAAAAAGAAAAATAAGCCCACAATTTTATGAATTGAATCATTTCTATATATGAAAAAAATCCAATTGTTTCAGGTCAGAGACATAATAAAGGCAGTAGAAAGCTCTCATATTAAAATCTCACCTCTTTCTCTCTTGAAAAAGAATGGTCCAATTATCTTGAAGAGAGTAAATAAACCACCGCCTTTAACACATACATTATCGAATCAAACAATAAAAGCCGTAAATCCAAAATCAAATGAAACCGTCAAATTGATTCCAATCAATATAAGTTCAAATTCTTCGACAACACCGAGCAATTATTTGCCTATTATGAGTCCATCGAGCTTTAAAACTTATATGGACGGTAAAAAAGTTTCAATTTGTAATACAACATCAACTTCAATTCTCACAAAACCTGGTAATTTAACAACAGTTTCCATAGCCAAACCCAATACAACATCAAAACCTGCAACCATAACTCCCGTCACAATTGGAAGTAATCTCACTCCAATTAAAGCCACAACCTATGCTCCCATCACAAATCCAAATTTTCCCATTCCAATTTGTAAAACTGGTACTCTAACACCAATTGCACCAGTTAGTAAAGCAACGACTATTGTCAGTGCTTCGACATCATCATCATCATCATCACCTTCGGCATCGTCATCGCCAACACAAAATCGTAAAATAGTCAAAGTTGTCAGCAATGCGACATTATTGAAACAAAATGAATTTGGACCTCAGGTTGCTGTTAAATTAAAAAATGCAACCGCTTATAATGAAATGTTAAAACCTGAAAAATTACGTCATATTTATAAATGTATGGGTCGTGATTGTGCCTATACAACTGATAATCCAGATCATTTTCGAAGGCATTTTGAGAGACATGCAATTACTTGCGATATTTCCAGTAATAGTATGGTGCCATATGATTTCAAAAAATGTGCCTACTGCTATTCAGCTCTTGGAAATTGGTATCAAATGGAATTACACTACGAGGAAAAACATGCATTTTGCATGTATCAATGCAGTTATTGCTTTTATCGAGCAATTTCTCAATCTTACGTTGAAATACATCAGGTGGGGTTCAATATAGATTTTTTGGTGCATGGGTTGATTTTAAAAATTTTTTTCACAGTTTAATTTAAGTAACTAACTCCTATAGATTGAAAGAAACAAATACTATAATTTAAAAAAAAATATTTAATCAATTTTATTTTTTTTTAAAGGCAAGTGCACATCCCACCAAACCATTGGCTGTTCTTCAAGGTGCAACGAATTGTGATCTACGACCACAAGCTGATTTTAATCGGAACGAACGTGTCAAACCCTTCGTGTGTCAAAATGGTAATTTTTATCTCAAATAATTTAAATATTATAATCTTTTTAATTACAAAATTATTTCTTGTTTCAGACTGTAATAAATATTTTTATGTTCCGGAAGCGTTCTTTGTTCATCTTAAAATGAAACATTCCAGTATTTCTGTATTCAAGTGCCATTTATGTAAAATTGTCAGTTACTCGCCAGAACAGCTTATTTTGGTAAGTTATTAATTTTTGTTTTATCAATTTAAATGCATAAAGCACAATAAATAATATTCAATTAATTTTTCAGCATTATAAAACTCATGGAATCTTCAAGTATCAATGTCTTCATTGTACTCATGGCTCGGATTCCATAACTGATATTCACAGTCATCTGAGTGGTCGACATTGCAATCAGAAGCCAGTTCTCCTTGAAAGAACTTTACCTCCGCAGGTATGTTTTTAAAATATTTTACTCAATTTAAAAATTAAATTATAATTTGTAATAATTTTACAGCCTACCAAATTGAAAAGTGCTATTGATCAACTACTGCTACGAAATCCAGACGAGCATTATTCACTATGTTCGGAATTAATTACTTTCATTAATTTACCTGACGAATCAGTGGACACTGATGCTAAGGTTAAAAAAGGAACAGATTCAATTGTGCAGTTAAATTCTGCAAAAGCAGATGTTAGTAATTATGTGATATCTGTGTCTTCTCCACGACCCAATAGTCCACCAACTATTAAAATAGTCGCCACCGAGAGTCTTCAGAAAAATGTTGATAAAACAGCGGTGAATAAAATTTTGGATGTTGACCCCTTACGAATTGGAAACAATGAAGATGGCGATGAATTTCTAAGTACAAATCTTCTCGATGATCATGATTTTCTGACAAATACATCATTCTCCAAGAAAACGACAGTTAATGATGACGACAGTGATATTGAAATAATAGAAGATTGTGGTGTACCTCAAAATAATGAAAAGCAAAAAAACAAAGAATCAGAAATAACAATAAAAGATCTTTTAAATAGTGCCGATAATTCTGATTTATCAAACGATTCTTTAGGTCCAAGTAAAAATGATAAATTCCTCGCTCTAGATGATATTAAACACACTGGATTAGCAGGCGAAGAATTATACAAATGTGGAGCAATAAATTGCAAATATTCAGCACCAAATTCAAAGACATTACGAAATCATATTAAAGAATGTTGTGTTATGAATGTTCCATACAGCTGTAATAATTCAATAAACTTCCAGTGTATGCATTGCGATAAGACCTTCCAAAAGATTGGCTTTTTCATGGAACATTTAGAAATACATGGATTAAAGCGATTTGCATGCGGCATTTGTGGTGAAAGATATGCAATGCAAAATCAAGCACAGACACACATGAAAATGAAACATAAATTTGCATCAAGACTTCTTCCAGCCGATCCAAAAAATCCAACAGCCGATGGTCTTTTTTACGTTCAACCAATGATTAAAACAAAAAAGAAGCTATCAAAATTAACGGAAAAAGAAATACCAAAAATGATTGATCCCGAAAAAACGTGTTTCTCACCAAATGAAATTGATCTTCTCCCACGTCAGGCAATTTATCAACGAGAAGTACAATGTGCTGTGTGTCCTTTCTCCACAAAAGTTCGCTCGAATATCTTTAGACATTTACAACTACACGCCAAGGATGAAACTGTACCTGAATCAGGACCCGTTAATCCTGTACCGTGTTTAGATAAACGAGAGAAAATGTTCGATAAAATGGTTAATCTCGCGAGTAGTTCTCATCAAAATGGACGCATGGGAATCAAAACAAAAGAGACTGTAATTCCAAACGATGAAGAAACACTGCCAAAATATGTTCCAGAAAATAAACGCTACGTATGTGGTATATCTGAATGTTCATATCTAACTGTCAATGAAGATATGTTACGTTATCATTTAAAAGCATTACATTCAGATGAACCATTTTTCAAATGTACACATTGTAAAGAACAAGAATTAGAATCACAGAATATATCATTTGAAAAAATGGGAATACATTTGAAAATGCATGATTCAAAATTATATAAATGCTCCTATTGTAACTATTTTCATTATCAACGACATGTGGTGGAACGTCATCTCGGTGATAAACATTCAGATAAACGACCATTTGTAAAAGTTGTTCGTGAATTTGAAACAAATGAAAATAATCAATCGCCACCCGAAGAAAATGAAGAAGATACACCAGATTCAGATGGTAATCATTGGAAATGTAATTGTTGTGATTTTCGTTGTGTTTATAAATCAGATATGCATGCACACGCCGCTAATGAACATGAGGAAAAATGTCAATTTAAATGTACCGTCTGTCCATATAAAACAAATGCTAGAATTCTCTTGGATCAACATTTAATATCAAAACATGCCAATGAACCTGAAGCTGATTTTCAAATGATTTATCAAAAAATTAAGGGTTTAAAGAAAGTTATCGAGCAAACTGAACAAGGAACTTCTGAGGAGCCTTTTGATACGACACCACTTTGGCGAAGAGATATGCCAAGAGTTAAACATATTCGTGGTATTCTTATTGAAGAGGATCCAGCATCTATGATTTCTAGTTCACCTGTCACTCCCGAGAAATCGGCGAAAAGAAAGAATGACTCGTTTGATTCGCCGACTAAGTCAGCAAAAATAAAATGCTTCAAACCAGTGACATTTGACGAGATAAATGAAGAAATTGGTAAATATGGTCCTTATGGAAATCCTGAGAAAGATTCATATGTGTGTACAATTTGCAAAAATGGACGTGAATTCAGAACAAGATATAAACACGATATGAGAGATCATCTTTATCGTGAATTAAGATATGTCAGGTAAGAATTGTCAATAATTAAAATCTAAAATTATTTTTTCTTAATTTATTTTTAACATTTTAATTATTTTCAGATGGCATTGTATAAGTTGTGGATTTGTGTCAGTTAACAAGACTTCGCTAACGAGACATTGTACCAAAAGTCACGAGGGTCAAGTTCCAAATTTCGAATCTCTACCACTAAATCAAGATTATGAGGACTGGGTCTCAACTTTATTGAAACGTCAAACGGAGAAAATTAAAAAATACCTCGACTCCTTGTCTGGAAATTCAAATGAATCGGGAAAATCTAAATCACCAATTAAACAACCACAAAGTTCCTCATTAATTAATTTGGATTCCGAGGACGATGTCAGTGATGATGAGAATCCAAGTGATGATGAAACTCCCGCAGCCGTTGAAGATGGTAAGATATTAAAAAAAAATTTAAATATGAATTTCTTTAAACCAAAAAAAAAAGATTTACATAATTTTGGAGAGTAAAAAAAAATAATTATTTAAAACAAATAGGAACTGAGGAGAAAAATCCATTGGAAACTGATGTTGAAATTTCTGAAAATTCAAGTGATTCAATCAAAGCATGTAAGACATGATCAAAAAAAGTTTCATCATGCACACATTCATTAGAATTAATTTTTAGAATTTTGTTTCACAAATCGCAAGAAAAATATTTCATTAACATTTAATTGTGGCACAATTTTATTTTGTGAGCTTTTAACATTCCTAACTAATTTTATTAATTAATCATCATTTAACTAACAGTTGATTCATTAATATATAACAATAATAATTAATGTTAACTACCCCCTTAAAGTAGTGTCATTAAATTCTCGTACCTTTTGTCATTTTTTAATTTTTAATTTTAACCTTCTTGACACTGATTTTCTCAAAAAAATTGGTAATCAACAAGGAAAATATCTATCAAAATTATCCAAGGGTTAAATTAGTGTCGGGTATTATTATTAATATACTATTTACATTTTTAGTTTATTTAATATTTGTGTCAAAATATTTTTATTGTATAATTTTTATAGTATTAAAATATATTTCTTCTTTTTTTCAGGTGATAAGGCTGGTTTTTCTTTAGTATGCAAGCATTGTCATCAGAAATTCCCCAGCAAACGTGGATTCAAAATGCATGTGACGAAACAACATTTGAAAAAATACAAATTCATATGTACTTATTGTGATAGAAGTTCAAATTTAGAATCAATAATTGAACAACATATTCGCGCTAAGCACGCTGGTCGCTATGTAAAAGTTATTCCCAATACATTTGCCAATGATGTTGAAATAAATGATGAATTTTGGGAAAGAGAATATGGCGTTCCACCGGGTAAAGAACGACGTGGTCAAAAACGTAAAGCAAATTTTGACGAATCTTCTGGTTCTGATAAATCAAAAGAAGTCACATCGTTTGTCTGTCGTATCTGTCATTTTGTCGCATTAACATTGGCTGGTTATATTTCACATAAGAAATCACATAAAATGATTTATAAATGCGCCTATTGTTCTTATCATGCCGTTGTTAAGAATGACGTGAGAAAACATTCTAAAACTGAACATCCACATTTAACGGCCAACATTGAAGAAATTGCAGTGAGTAATGACAATTCAAGTACATCGAAAACTGATACAACACAAATTGTCGAAAATCCAATAGTTCAAGCAAGTAAAATAAAAAAATTCGTTTATTGGTGTGAATATTGTAATGTTCGTTGTAAATCATTATTTTCAATGAAAAAACATTGGACTCGTCTTCATAAAGATCCAAAGCCACATGAAAATAATAAATGGAAAGTTGGACCATTTAAATTTACCATCGAAGAAGAACAACCACCACAAAAGAAGGAATCTATTCCTGGCTTAACGAGTACAAATACTACGGCTACATCAAATGAAACATGGGTTTGTGGATGGTGTAATGATTATTCAAACGGCAAAGAAAATATGGAACTTCATCATCGTAATTTTCATTCTCATCTTACTATCAAATGTTCATTGGTGGATCCTCTCGAGGTTTGTAAATTTTAAGTTATTTGAAAAGAAAAAAAAATTTTTTTGTTTCAATTCATTGAATTAAACATTGAAATTATCGATGGTTTAAATTAGATTTTTATTTTTTCCAGGTTTCAAAAGAATTCAAGTGTCCCGAATGTGAATTCAAAACAAAAACTCATGATTTAATGTTAAAACACGTTGGTAGGCATATCAAAAAATTCCAATGTAAATATTGCGATAAAAATTTCACAGAATCATTTCAAGCGACACAACATTGCCTATCAATGCATCCGGAAAATGAGCCAAAAGTTGAGGGGAGAAAAAATTATGATGCACTTATTCAAGAAATGATGCAATTAGCTGAGAGTGGTATTTCAAGATCGAATAAAAATAATTCCGACTATGTTGGAATTGCAAAGAAATCAACAGCAAAGCCTGTCGTTCGTGTTCGACCATTCTCAAAAAAATTCAAATCAGTTGCAAGAAAATCGACGACACCATTACCGCGTTATCCTTTCGGTATTAAATATCAAATTGAAGCAATCTCTCACTATGGAATAAAAACAGATCCAATTGATTTGGCAACAGTTAATACTTATATGGTCGTTGGTGGTCATCGAATGAAAGTCAATTGTACAACCCTTTCACAATTTATGAACATAAATCCAAAATTAGTCATTGAAGATATCAAACGAGGATTAAAATAAAGTTAAGTAGGATTTTTGATTTTTTTTTTTTTGCAGACTGATTCGCAAATTCTCAATGAATTGTGAATTACAATTGAACGGTTATTTTTCTCGAAATCGGAGAATTTTTAGTTATTATTATTTAAGATTGTTTATTATTTTTCTTAAAATTTTCTGTTTCTTTTTCTTAATTTATGTGAGAAAAAGAAATTGGACATTTTTCAGACAAAACATAAATACAGTTATATATTTTTGGAATGAGATTATCCGCTTATTGTAAAAAAAATGTAGTTTCGAGTTTTCAAGAATCTCGTTACAATTAATTTTATGTATTTTTTTTTCCTTTAATATTTAAATTATGTTTATCCCTAACTTAATTAGGTACGTTTTTTTTTTTTTTTGTAAATTATCAATATATTTTTATGATTCTCATTTAGACTTTCTGTTATTTACAAAACTTATAACTGTTTACTGGAGAGTATTTGATAAAAAGAAAAAGAGGGGAAAATTATGTAAATTGCAAATAATGTTTCTGAATTTGACAAATAATGTTAAAAAGTGAATTTTTAATTTCACATTGCATTGTGTAATTTGTAGTTTTTATAAAAACTTGAAACTTGAATCTTGTGTTAAAAGATTTAAAAATATACTATTTTCGTTTTAAACTAGTTTCTATGTAACTAAATAAAATTTAGTTTTTTCTCTTAATAAAGAAACAAAATTTCTTTTAATTTGTAATAGTATGAATTGTTTCAGGTTTTTATTATAACTGCAATAACTTGGATGTGTTTCCTTGTGATTTGTTTCCTCTTATAAGTTGATAAAAATTGTATACTAACATTATTTACCACTTTTTTTTAAAAAAAATTCTCGAGAAAGCATCAAGACTGAAAAGCATTGGTAACAACATTACAAAGGAAAAATATGTGAATTTAAATATCTGTACATATTGTATTATAATACTACCTTAAATAAATATTTTTGATTTTTTTAAACTGATGTATGATTTTATTAAATTAGAATAATAAAAATAATTAAAATTCTTATCAATAAATAATTATAATTACTATTACTAATATATGTATAAATTTAAGACAGATAATTATTTATAGGAGGAAATGCATTATTTTGGCCTAATTTTCAAAAATTCAAATACCCGTTCGAATTTTCAAAGTCAAATTTGGAATTAAATTTTCAAATTTACGCGGGGATTAAGGCGCATTTAAAAAAAATCACACGAGCGCCCTCAATCGATCAAACGGGAAATTACAATAATCGGAAATGTTTTCATTCTGGCGCCAAAATGTAGTGCCAACAAGTAACATATAACAAAGTCAAGTGTTAATGTTTATTTTCTATTTAAGTGTTTTTTTTATTAATTAAAAATCAGTTATTTTGACATAAAAATTATTATAACCATGAAGGATCTTACTCATTATTTTGCTGATCCATTAAAATCACCGGATACACAATCCACAGTATCTAAAGAGGTTAATGATGTAAAATTATCAGAAAAATCAACGAAATCTAATTCTACTACGAAAAAACGTGGAAGAAAAAAAAAGAAATCAACATCTCCTAATTGCAATGAGTCAAAAAAAAATAAATGTGAGTTAGATATAGAAATTAGTAAACCTACAGCTAAAGCTATAAATGGTGGTGGTATTGGTATGGATAACAATGTACATAACACTCCAACAGCAACTTGTGTAAAGGATAAAAAAGAAAAAATTATTAGTGAAGGTTCTACAGATTTGAACTCTGAAAAAAATGTAAATAATCTTTCTCCAGACAATTTAGAAAGAAAAAAAAATAATGCCACAGAATCCCAACAGAATGGACATGAAACAAATGGTTTTGTACAAAACAATGAAAATGGTTGTATTATTAAGAATGATAAAAATGAAGAAAACAATGGAATGTCACATGTGGAAAAAAATGAAAATTCATCGGAACAGATTTTAGAAACAGTGGTAAGATTATTGTTATTTTAATCTATTGTAATTATTTTTGAAATTAAATTAAGAATTATTTTTATTGTATAGAAACCGGAAGATTCTAAAATTCAAAAAGAGAAAAAGAAAAGACGTAAAGAAAATGTAAAAGCCCTTGCTGATAAGAAAGGATTTACTAAACGAAAAGAAATGGAAGATAAAGAAACCGAAGAAATGGAAAAAACTTTACAATCACGTAAAAATGTATTTACTGATGTTCCAAAGAGAGATGAAAATCTACCTGAAATTGTTCACAAACCTCCAGCATATAGTTTATTAAATTATTTCAGGTAATTAAAAATTTCACTCTGTTTTTTTTTTTTTTTTTTTTGATATTAGAAATAAAAAAAACCTTTAATTTTTCGCTATTTTCAGTAAATCAACACCAGAGCAGAGATTAAAAGAAGAAGCAGCAAAATGTAAAATATCCGTTAAAGCCGATGTACATTCTCCCAAAGAAGATATCTCAGATACACCACCAAATTCTACACCAATATCGCGTCCAAAAAATTCCCAAAAAAAGAAAAAAAAAGCTGAAATAAAGAAAGCACTCTCTCAAATGGATGAAATACAATTTATAAGATCTGAAAGTATAAGCCCACCGCCTGTGCTACAAGAGAAGAAAAAAATCAATAAACCAAAATGGAAAATACAGTTTCAAAATGATAATTTTGCAGGTAAATTAATTTTTATAATCAAAAATTTGTCAATTTTTCTTTTTTTTATTTCACCAATGATGCAAAAAAAGCGCAAGAGTCTCCTGAATATTTTCTTTCAGTCGATGGCAATGATTCTTTAAACACTTTGATCGCTGATAAAATAATTATAATAAAATTGAAAAGAATTTCCATTCTTAAAAAAATAAATTTCACATTTTATTTACAGATTCTGGAAATGACAGTGAGACTTCATCTCCAAAACGAAAATTAAAAATACAAAATGAAAATAAAAAATCAGATGAAATTAATGATAAAACATCAACAGTTTTAAAAGCAATTGAAAATGCAACAAAAGTAGAAAATTCTGATACAGAAATTACACCAACAAGAAGATCTCTAAGATGTAAAGCACGTAAAAAAATAAAAGATACATTGAATATTGATGATTGTAACGAATTGGACAAAGTCGATAAATTGAAAAATTTGGACTCTAAAATTAATGATAATAATGAATCATTTGATGGTGATATAATAATTCTTAAGGAAGTTGAAACAAAACGATCGGCACCAGAAAAAATTGCACCACTTTTTATTAAAAAACGAAAATTAGATCCAGCTGTTCTTGAAGCTCGTCGAATATTTTTACAATCAGATATGATAGAAAATGAAAATCGTCCAACAAAACGAAAACCAAGTCCCATTCGTAATCCTACATTACCATTTCCAATAATTACACACATTACTCAGCTGGATTCTGAAAATAATCATTTTGAAACTAATGAAATTAAATTACCAATGAAATCAATTTCAAATTATTTACTTTCACTGGATGTAAGTAAATTTAATAATATGACAAAGATCAATTGTTTGCCTTTGGAACGATGTTTAACGACTTTTGACACAACCAATTTGAATATTGAAGAATCATTGAATGAAATTGAAACACGTTGTAATGATGCAAGGAAAATGTGGAAAAATATATCGTTAACGGGAAAAGGTGAAAATTTAAAAAAATCTCCAAAAGTACGTACATCAAAACGTCGATCATCAAGTAAAAAAATTGTGATTGAAGAAGAGGAAAATGTCGATAATGTTTGGATTCATAAATATAAACCAAGAAGCATTGAAGAAATCGTTGGCAATGAGGAACCAGCAGGAAAATTGAAAAATTGGTTAGAAAAATGGAAAATACCATCGAGAAGAAATATTGATAATAGCGATGATGATGATTTTTATTCGTCTGATTGTTCGAGTACATGCTCTAGTGCTGATTATAATCAAGTTGCAATTTTAATTGGTCCTTACGGCTGTGGAAAAACTGCGAGTGTTTATGCAGCCGCTGAAGAATTAGGTTACAGGTACTTTCAAAATTTTTATTTACTTTAAAAAATTTTTAATTACAAAAAAAATTAATTTAATTTTTTTTTTCTCCAGTATTTTGGAAATAAATGCCTCATCTCGACGAACAGGTAAGAAAATTCTCAAGGAATTGGAGGAAGCGACAAAATCGCATAGAATTAAAAAATCAGATATGAAGCAAACATTATTAAAATCAAAAGTTGAGGAGAAAAAAATTCCTCAAAATTCATTGATACTGATGGAGGATGTGAATATTATTTTCGAAGAAGATGAGGGTTTTATTTCGGCCGCTTGTCATTTGGCTTCGAATACAAAACGTCCAATAGTTATGACTTGCAGTGAGAAATGTTCTCATTTAAATAAATTAGCACCCCAACAAATTCAAATTAAATTCCAAAGTACTTCCGGTGATCGTGCCTCGGCTTTATTGGAATTGATTTCCCTGGCTGAAACTGGACGAAAACTCTCCCTCTCTTGTGTTGAGGTAAATAATCCTTTTCTTTTTTTGTAAATTTTCATTTTCTTGAAATTAAATTTCTGTTTTTCTTATTAGAATCTTTTGGCGAGTGGCGATTTGAGAAAAGCTTTACTTCAACTCCAGTATTTATTGTCAACTGGAGATTCACATGTTTTACCACCTTTAGTCGATACTCATAATCGTAATGGTATTTCTCTTTGGCAAAAAGTCCCTCAGTGTATATATAAATCGGCAATTAAGGAAAGTAAACGACGAAAGAAAATATCATCACAGGAAACTGCCAAGGATGTGGATATTTTGAATCAAATAGCCAATGATCTTGAGAATGTATCATTAATATCAACATTAATTGAACTCGATGATATTTCACTTAATTATCAAAATTTAAAATCAGTTATGAATTTATCAATAACTGAGGATATGAGATCTTATTCACATACAAAGAGTATAAGTTCAAATATTGCCGATTGGTTGACTAGTGAAATAATGCAAAAAAAAGAAGATACCGAACAAAATTCAACGAAAATTTTATCATCAATGCTAAAACGAAGAAAAGCTGTTAATGGCATAAATTCCGTATTATCGACAATAACCTCATTTAATGATCAAAGAATTTTATCAGAAGATTATTTACCCAGTATTCGTACAATTTGTAGAGCTGAGGAATTACGAAATTCTTCAAATAATAAAAGGGGAAATAGATTTTTTCACTATCTCAATGGAACAAAATTACCATCAAATTCCACGAATATTCTGACAGCTTCTTGTAAAATTTTTCAGGAGAAATCAGAATAATTTTTTTTAAAACGATCTCTTGTGTAATATATCCTTTTTTTAAGATAAGTATTTTTATAAAAATAACGCATTCTATAAAGTGCCTCTGTAAACATTTTTTTTTAAGTTTTACATAGCATGTCACGAGTCATATACACTCTACATTTTTGAAATTTTTGTAAATTTTAGATTTATAAAATGTACAGATTGTAAAGAATTAAAAATTAGATTTAAATTAAAAATTGCAAAATTATTCATAAAGACAAAAAAAAAAAATGTAAATTGATCTTTAGACTAATAGAAATTTTTTTACTAAATTTATTTACTATTTTATCTTCAAAATAAATAATGAAAAGTAATTATTGAATAAAAAATCAGATGTAAAATCCTTTACACTTTTATTTAGATAGCTGGAAATAGTAAAATACAAAATTATTATATCAATACTCAGATTTTTATATGATGCAATTTGCGATTCAATTCTTCGAACTTGAGAATTTTGCGAATAAAGAAATCACCATAACGATGTGCAACTTTAGTATCAGCAATGTGGATCATATTATGATCAATATAAAAGTCCAACTATAATGAAAAAAGAAAAATTAGTAACTATTTTTAATTTTCATTTATAACTTTTGATTATTATATTACCTCAGAACCGGATTGGAATCTTCCATCTAATCCAGATGCGCCTTTGGTCCAAACAATATTTTTCATTTTATGCTTAAAACAAAGTAATTGAATTGTTAAAGTATTGACTTCCTTTTCAATTTCCCAATTTTCATCAGCTCTCGAACTACAAATAAATGTCGCGAGTTTTGTCAATGGCAATGTTGTATAAAGTTTCAAATAAGAACGAATTGTTGGCAATATTTTTTGTTGAACAACTTCATCCATAAATACTTGTGTTTGATGTTTAATAGCTTCTTTGCCGTAATCTTCTTTTTTTCCAGTTGTTGGTGGAAGTAGTGATAAGAATTTTGGACAAGCAAAAGTGAAACTAGTCTCAAATTCTTTTAAATCACCACATTGCATTTTATACATTTTATCATGATAATTCTTTTCACGAAGTGCTTGTGTTAATCCTTCATCAATGCATTGAGGATGAAGAACAAGACAAATTGCCAATAATACCAACATACGATCAGTTTGCTTGTTGATTTGATCATTTTGATAACTTGGTGATGAGAACAATTGTTTAGTTCGTTGAATATAAAGCAAAATACTCGAGAAAGTTCGAATTGCATCAGCGTATCTAAAAATTGTAAAAAATATATTTAGAAAAAAAAACAATGAATTGTTTTATGTATTTTTAAATATTATTAACAAACCTGCGCATCATCATGTAAGCAAATCCTACATAATAAGCAGTTGAAATTTGACATCCAGGAACATGAGAATAAGCATTTTTCTTGTATAATTCAACATTTTCAAGAACTTTAATTGCTTGATAATAATCACCAAGAAGTGAATGAAGTCTCAATAGGCCAACAATTGAGAAATATCCCAACATTTTATATAAAGAATGTCGGCCAAATCCTCCAGCAACTGAATCAGGATCACCTCCACTTGCATAGACTTCAAGTTGACTTTTAATTTTTGATTTGTCAACTAAATAATGTAGAACATTTAAAATACAAAGAACGTCCCAAACTTTATTTTGTGAATTTAAAATTGACATTTCCTCAGCATCAGAATCTTTGTTTGAAGTAAGATTTGCACGATATTGCGTGAATGATTGAAATTGATAAACAAATTCATCAATTAATTCCCAAAGCCATTGATCTGGTAATTCCAATTGAACGGGATTCTCTGAATTAAGAATATAATTAAATAAATCACAATAATTGTAAAATGATCCAAATCGTTGATCGAGTGTTGGTCCCGTTAAATTGGCATAAATTTGACGATAATATAATTCTTTATAAAGAATCAAAAAAACTGGATCATTGTCAACTATGTGTGCAACAGCATTTTCATCAGGCCATGATTCTTGTTTGAAATACTGTTCAGTTAGTTTTGGAAATGAATTCTCATAAAGATTTTGTACCTCAAAGATCATGCTCTCATTAATACAATTTCTAAAATATATCAAAAATTTCCTAACGGCGTCAGGAACTGGCAGTGAAGCTCTATAATTTCTATTATATGATTCGACATCATCTTGTTGAGCATATTCTTCTCCTCCGTCATACTGTAATATATTTAAAATAATTAGTAAACAAATTATAATGAATGGATATTAATATTTAAATTGAAATAACATTACCTGGTCATTAAAATCGTCGTACATGATGATAATATGTGTTTAATAATAAAATTAAAAACGACAGAAGGTTATGACATTCAATGAACCACGCGGCGAGAGGTTAGAACTTCCCAGTTACAGTGTTGCCACTTGTCCAGTTCAAAAAATTGACAAACTAAAATTGTTTCAATACAACCAATGACAGCTGGTTTTTTGGACAAATAACTCCGTTTGAAAACGAGTATTGAAATTTGAAATTATTTAAATGATTTAAATTAATTATTTATAATTATTAAAATTAAAATCAGTTTATTAATTTATACCTAATTCTAAAACAATTAGAAAATTTATGTTTAAAACTATATATCCAAGGATTTATAAATATTGATAAGTGATGTGTGCATGTATAGATCGTATATGTATATTTGAGGTTATGTTTATGAAAGTGCGAAGTGTCAATAATTGTGTAATCTGTGATATATTTAATGTTTTTACATAAATAATTTAACTTCTAACAATAAAAATAGTGAAGGAATTATTATATGTTATTAGAAAGTATATTGTCACAGAATCAATTTACTAAAATAACGAACTATTGTTAATTCTGTTAATTTTGAGTTTATTTTTTTAATCATGAGTGGTGGTATAGCACCTAGTAAATCAACAGTGTATATTTCAAATTTACCATTTTCATTAACAAATAATGATGTTCATAAATTACTGGAGAGTTATGGAAAAATTGTTAAGTAAGTTTATATATAAAAATTAATATTGTACTCACGTTCAAATATAATTTTATTTATTATTGTTTTTCAGAGTAACCGTAGTCAAAGATAAATTAACAAGAAGGAGTAAAGGTGTGGCTTTCGTTTTGTTTTTAAAATCAGAAGAAGCTGCCTCATGTGCCAAAAATTTAAATAACACCAAGGTAATTTATATATATATTAAACATTGTATACATATTTTAATTAATATTTTCTTTTTCTTTTCAGATTGGAGGTCGTACTGTAAAAAGTTCAATAGCAAAAGATAATGGTCGAAGTACAGAATTTATAAGACGCAAAGATTATCCTGACAAATCACGTTGTTATGAATGTGGAGAAGAAGGTCATTTATCTTATCAATGTGAATGTAATACACTAGGTTCTCGGACTCCACCGCCAAAAAAAGTGCGAAAGAGAAATCCAAAATCAAAAGATAATGATGAGAGCAACATTAATTATTATGATAGCGACAGTGATGAAGAAGCTCGAGAACCAAGAGGCGGTGGAGATAAAGATGAAAATGTTACAGAAGAAACAACTGACGATGAGACATGGAGTTCGTCTATCAGAATAGAAGTAAGAAAATTTTATTGTCCTTTTTTTCTTGTATTTCAATAATCTTTAAAAAAAAAATTTCATATTTTAGCAAGAAAAACAAGAACTTGAAAGGTATAGACTTAAAGTTGTAACTGGACATTACAATGAATCACAAGAGTCGATCAAAAAGAAACGTTTCAAGAAAAGTAGCTATTTTAGTGATGAAGAAGAAACATTTGAAGATTAATTAATAATTTTAATTTATATATTAATTTCCAAAAATGGTAAGTTTATTTTTTAATATTCAAATACTTGAATAATATTTTTTTAAAGATAAATTTAAAAGAAATGAAGTCTAAAAAATCTACAAAAATGTATATAAATATAAGAAATATTTATTATTTCATAGGAAACATGAAAGTAACTTATTTAATAATTATAACATTTTAAATGTAATCAATGTTTTAAGACAATTTGATTTTTTCAATTAGTACGGTGATTAATAAATTCACTCGATTCTGGACATAAAGTGAATAAATGACCTTTCTTTTGGCATTTCATGCAATTTTTCCCAAAAGCTGCACATTTTCTCTCAACATCAACATGAGATTGTCCACAATTTTTACAAAATGTTATCATTCGAAATGGACATTTCCAATAAAAATGAAATAATCCATCGCACCTAGAGCATTGCATTCCAAAAGCAGGACATTGATTTTCCGCATGATTTATTCCACATTGAAGACAATCAATTATATATAGATGTTTGCAAGTCTTTGCAAAATGATTAAGATCATTGCATTTATAACATCGTTGTTGATTTGCAGGACACACACCGTGTGATAAATGATATTGACCACAACAATTATTATTATGACGTAAGTCTGAATTTCTACTTTCTAATTTATGAAGAAAATTTTCTCTCTTCTCTCGATTTTCCTGATTTTCATGGACATTTACCAAAAAAATGATTTCATTCATATTTAAATGTTTAAGATGAAATGAATTTCGAATACAAATAATTTCCGTTATGATCTCTAGAAAATTATTCTGTTTTAGATCATAAATAATTTTTTCTTTTACTGCAATGTCCGATGTCTCACATCCAAAATTCTTAGCTTCAATCTAAAACGTAACGTTTTAAATATTTTTAGACTTATTACAATAATTTATATTTTAAGGGAAATTTAGAGGAAAAAAAAAATTCTTATACCTACTTTTAAACGGTTTATGTATTCTTTAATACTTTCCGTCTTTATATTTCTTGGAAATCGATGTAGATAGAAAAAAATATCCAATTTATTCAATAGAAGATCAAAATTTTGTTCATCAAGACTATTGTGGAATACAAAATATTCTGCAATTATATCTAAACCATAAGGTCCAATTACTTTTTTAAGTATAAGCCCTAAAATTTCAGAAGACTCCACTTTTATTGTTTCATTTTTAATTATATTAAAAAATTTCTCTTTCCAAATTGTCCATTTATTCCAATCACAATGTCTTGGTAAAGGATCAACATTGTAAGTGACTAAATTTTTTTCTCTACTCTCACAACAACCTGTAAAAATTAAAAAAAAAACAAATTTTCCAACTGTTAAAATTTGTTTGCACACGCATGCATTGCCATTAATTTAATAATAAATATTTTGCCAATATTTCATGAATAATTATGATAACATATGAAACTGTAGGTAATTATTAACATATTAATTATATAAATATTCATATTTTTGAGGTTATGTTTACCCATTTTTTTTTTTTTGTTGAAAATTTGATAAACACAAAGAAAATACTTTTATTCTTTTTACGTAATTAATGTACAATTATCAAAATTAACACTTTTAATGTGTTATTTATAAATAATTAATACTTTATACACAATTATTTACATTGTTTACATAAGTCTACCGGTTCAACCGGCTTCAATTAATGGCACAAATTTTGCAATTTCAGTTCAGGTTAGTTTGATCAAATTAGAGCTTTTTTTTTGGTATAATAATAAAATAATTATTTTTTATTACAAATTGAATATTTTATTAAAGATTAACTATACAAATTTGTAGAAAAATACAAAACAACTATAATAACACATGTATTTATATTAAAGAAAATATTTATATCAAAAAATATTTTCAAGTACAAATCGTAAAAAAATACAAAACATTTTTTTTTATCTGTAGGACAACATTGATCGTTAATCAATAAATTTATTTGATGTAACAAATTGAATTTGTTAATAAGTCTTATAATTCAGTATTTTAAGTTTATGTAAAAAGAAATATACATAATATATTTTTAGTTTGAAATGGCATTATTTTACTTTCTTATTATTACTATACGACGAGGTCTTTCAGTTTGTGAGCGAATTGTTTGAAGACATTTCCAATGAAAATGATTATTTTTATTGCACCTAGAGCATTTAAGACGAAAGGCATCGCAGTTTTTTTCAAGATGACTTATTCCACAATAGCTACAATCCATGATGTAACGTTTATTGCATACTCTTGCAAAATGATTTAAATCGTTGCAAATAAAACATCTTTTCCCTACAGCAACACAATCTTGAATTCGATTATGCTGTAGTCCACAACAATTTTGATTATACTGTGAAACACTGTTGCTTAATTTTTCTTTTAAATAATTTTTCTTTGCTTCTATCGTTTCTCTATTATCGTATACGTCTATTAAAAATGTTACTTCTTCAATATTTAAACATTTCATATCTTTTATATCATTTCTCATAGAAACGTGTCGAATGATCATTTGCAGAAATTTAATATTTTTTAAATCATAAATTAAATGTTCTTTAACTGCTTGTGCTGGACGTTGACTGCCCATTTGTATTGCAAAGTCCTGTTTAGAGAAAAATAATTATTGTATTTAAAAATCATATTTAGAATAATAATAGATTAAAATCTTACCATTAATCTTTGAACGTAGTCTTTTATTTTTTCTTCTTGATTTCTCTTAATACAATTCAAGTGAAAAAATAAATCCAATTTTCTTAAGAGAACATAATAATTGTGCTTTTCGTTATTATCAATACTGAAATTGTTAATAATCTCCTGACCATAATAACCAATGGACTCTTGGAGTTTGAGTCCTAAACGATTTGGCAATTCCGTATTTAATTTATCAGCAATAATAATTTGAAGATTTTCTTTCCAAGCAAGCCATTGTTCCAAAGAAGAATCATTTGGTAAAGGTGGAATATTATAAGATTCTTCACTACTTAACCCACAACCTATTTATTTGGCAAATATTAATTTTTATAAAAATTATCTCATAAAATAAAACTTACTCATTATTAGAAATTGTAATTACGTACCCATTTCTGCAATTAATTATCATTAGTGATAACTAAAAAAAGTAAAAAACAAAACAACTACACTATAAACATAACCTTTTCAAGATATACTCAAAGAAATGTAAAGGTCAGATCACACCCACGCGAATTGTCATCGTAAAACCGTGTTTTTTTATTTTCCATATACTCATTATCATATTTTGTTTTAATTTAATAGATTTATTTTTATTTTTAATAAGATTTTATTCCCTTAAATATTAATAAATTATTTTAAGTCTTTAAATTATTATTTATATTATATAATTCAAATTTCATTATTTTCATGTTGGTAGAAGTGCGAAAGATTAATTTGGTTTTCAGGGTTGGCATTACTTTTCACTGTATCAACGACAATAGAGAAGAAAGTGTGTAGCTCGTTTGGAAAACTTTATATCTTTTAATAACGTGTAGATCTTAATTTTGTTTATTAGTATTTTGCAGTAATTAAGTTTTATTTTATCTAAATAATTAGTATTTCATAAAAGTTTGTTAAAAAATATAAGTATTTTTTGGATAAAATCGTCCATGTCATATCGTCATTGAATAACGTTTTTGGCAATATTAAATTGCATAGAATCTTTTATATATTTCAACATTTTTACATAAACAAGATTAGTTTTGCATAAATAATTAATATTTCGCAAAATAATAATGAAAAATCAAAAAAGAAATTTGCAATTTTGACATGAGCTCATAACCTCAATATCATGGAAGCCATCTAGCGTTGTTACAATGAACTACTCTGAAGTCAGTTCTTATTATTTACGTTAGATGGCGTTTTGCTTACTTTTTGAAAATTTTTGTACGCAAGTAGAATGTGGGTTGTAAAATCTTTTTATAATTAATAACGTAAAAGAAATCGATTTAAAGTACTAGATACCAGTGAAAAGCTCGAGTCAATTTTGAATTTTCATGTTTAATAAATCGGAGTGTTGTATGTAATTTGCGAAGTGTTTTATTGAAATGATTTTCAACTGTCAATTCAGGTAAATTTTTAAACGATATTATAAGTTAATTAATTCTTAGTTTTATAATAAAAATTTCATAAAACTAATAAATCGATTTTATTAGTTAATGTGTTTATAAATGTATTTAATTTACATATATGTTTATTGAATATATTATAGGTTATAGTTTTACATGTGTGTTATTGTTACTTTAACTTTAAATATTTACATTTCATAGAACAAGTGAAGCTTCGTATCGCAAATTTCAATTTTAATTACATTCCCAATATAGATATCAGTGTATTAATTGGTTTTTTTTTTAAATTAATGTTTTCTATTTATATTCATGGAATTTTGAGACCAGGTAGAAATTTTGTGTAAAAAGGGTTGCATATTCACAGGGGTAAACAGAGTACTGCATTATCATCATTTTATAATTATTATAATTATATTTATAATATAATCATCATTTAATAATTATAATTATAAATTAATAAGATATATTTCTTATCATGAAACTTTTTACATATATTTTTTTTATGCAGTGATAGAAATTATTTGTTTTTTTTCAGCATCTAATATAATGCTTTAGAAAAATAATTAATTGCATTATTAAATTTTAATATAATTTTTAATTTTTCAGTTCATACTCAAAAAGGAAGCAAAATAAGAAGAGGAAGGATATGGATGAAGAAAAGCGGTCCCAGCATACTTCCGGTTTTTTTATGACCTTTTTTTACGGAAGTATAACTCCCGGTCTCCGCAGAAGTGCATTGAAGAAGGAGGGATCTCCGGGAGTGACCCCGAAGTGGCAATGCAGCCATCGCTCCGACGTGGGATTCATCGAATGGTCAGTCGATTATTATTTAACCCTTTTTCTGTTTCAAAAAAATTTTATTTAGCAATTTCCAATTTAAATAAATTAATTTTTTTTTAGATATAAAAAAAAAATTAGCAATTTGAAACAGAGAAGAAATTCTAATAATATATTTGATATTTTTTATAATAATTTGGTTTCTCTAAAACATAAATAGGCAGTTACTTTTTATGATTGCATATTTTGCAAAATAGAATTTTTAATTACAAATTCTAAAAGGAATGAGGGTAATATAATTTTTGAATTTCACGGATATTAAAATAATTTTACCTGTTGAATGATATGGTTTCTTATCAGTAATATTAAACAATCCAGCATTTTTTCACATAAAGCCACTATTATTCTCGGTCATTGGACTCTATAGAACAGTGTTGGATCCAAAGGGAGAGCCACGGGTGTTTCCCCCCCTTCTTATACCAATCTCAAACACCTAAATTTACTGAGACTTTAAACTGATAAAAATTATTATATCACAATCCAAAACATGAACTACATTATTTTAAATGCTTCGAAACATTTAAAATAATACAAATATACATACATAAAAATGTATGTTAAAAATTTTGTTCTCCTACCTGAGAAACATGACACAGCAACGACCACAGAAACCACCCACGATGTTGAAAATTTTATTTTCATTTTTGTCTCAAACAATCAATACTTAATACTTTAAATATTGATTAAATTTTAACTTTATCAAATTTATATTCGATTATAAATTTATAATAATAATTTTTTTAAACATAAATATTTTTATCACTTAAAAAAATTATCAATAAATATTTTCCATTTCTAAAAAGAAATGAGATCTAAATTTTTAATCATCACACATTGTTTTCGAAACAACATATGTGTTTTCTAGAGTTAAACATATGATTTATTATGATCCATATAGTATATATATACACTAGTTTTGAAAATCCGCCCACTACATTGTCTATATTTACTGTAAAACTAGATGGATAAACTATTATTTTTCAATTTATTAGTTTTTCCATTTATTTTTGCACTATTTGCATTTATTAAAAACGTGTTTTTTTTTTTTTGGTTTTTATTGTCGTAACTTAATTGGAGTTAAATTTATATTATTGAGTAATAAATTTATCATTTATATCTTTCTTTTTTTTTTTTTGGTAAATCTGGTTATTTGTCGAACTTTACAAAGGTTATCATTATTTTTGCACACTCAATAAAAAGAAATGATTCACAAAGATGATAAACTCTATAATATATATAAAAGTGGAGGAAAAAAAAAATCTTTAGGAAAATATTACGAAATATTTAATTTTACATTATAGTGTATATATATATGTAAGTTGTTTGGGAACTATTTGGCGAAAGCCGGCGCGCTTTATTAATGCGCAACTAGTTCGCGCAGGTCCCCGTAAAAAGTCTCTGGTTCGAGTTCAGTTCTCTCTCAGTTAGTATCAAGTAGGTGCGCTTCCTATAGGGATTTAATAGATTCTTTGATGATACTCGGTTTGATTCGTCATTAAATTTTTTTACACTACTTGCATTACTTACCTGAAATTTTATTAGAATTTTAGGTTCATTTTTTGAAAATTTTCGAACATTTGACAATTTTGTGAAAAAATCCTGTGGTTATAGGTGATATATTGTTATAGTCTGTGTTCTTTTTTTTTTTTTTTACCTAAAGTTTAATAACTATAATTTGTGAAAAATGAATAGATCTGGAGTTTTAACGATCTTTCTTGTTCTGCTTTTTACACGAGGTTTGTATATTTTTTGAGCAATGAAAATTTTTTAAATCAATTTACAAGGGGAATATTTTTTATCCTACACTGAAAAAAAAAATATTTAGTTGATTCAAATACTCGATTACTTGACAATATTATCAAATAAATATTTATTTATTTGAAATTATTATTTAAGCCAATTAAATCGTATTTGTTTCAAATACAGAAATTATTGGTTCAAATACAATTTATTTAATTCAAATAAAAATTATTTAATTCAAGTAAATATTTATTTGATAAGAGTATTTAAATCAAATAAATTTTTTTTTCAATGTAAAAATAATTTTTCTAAAGGGAATTTTTAAAAATAAAATTTTAATTGTGGAAAGAAATTTGATTTATTTTTCATGAATGTAAAATAAGGTAAAATTTTACTTGTCATTTTAAGGGTAAATTAAAATATTTTTTTTTACTATTTGTAATAAGAAAGATGGGTTATAGGTTTTTGAGAAATTTTGATTTTTGTAATAAAAAATAATTTTGTTCTTCATTTACATATGAAATATATGACTTCAAGTCTGGAGTATGAGTCGATTTAATTAAACAGCAAACATACTTCCAAATTTAGGCCTTATCTTTTAAATTCACAGAATTTTTTTTTTTTTTCATAAATTTATGAAAAAAAATTAATCCTTAAAGAGAGAAAGTTTTTTGGTAGTAAAGATTTTTTTCCTCATATGTATTATTTATTGATCGTGAATTAATTTTACTTTCTTATTCAAAAATATATTTCTTACATAATCTTACGTCCCTGTTTAGTGATTTTAATAATTATTAATCATATTTATTGACAAATATTTGTGATGCTAAATTAGCTAGGCAATCATCTTTTTATATATTCCTATATATCAAAGAAAGAAACGCTCTTCAAAATTTTTTATTTCTCTATAATTATGTTTTAATCATTTTCATATAACGTTTTGAAAATCTGAGAAAACGGTTTTCTATTATAATTCATATAAGGTGTTATTTTGTTATAATTGTAAATCATTTATATGGATTTGAATCTTCATTTCTCATTTAGAACTCAGTTAGAATTAAGTTGTTAATACAATATAAATTAATACCGTCTTATTGAACATAAACTTTGATAAAATTGTGTGTAATTGTTGCATTTGTGCGCAATGAAAGAGCAGCAATTGCTTTTCGCGCTTGAGGCGACATTTGAAAACCGGATCTGGTCTTTTAGCTCACGCAATATATACAAGCATTCCTATCGATGTTTGCATTTTAGTGCATCACTGATATCGCTTTAGATCGTTTATTGATAATATAAATTAAATATTTTATAAATTGTCTAAATACATTTTCATATATTCCTTTCAAAACTATATATTAATAAAATATTCTTTATTAAATGACAGGTCTAAAAAATCTATAAAAGAAACTTTAATCAAAATCGATTAGCGTAAAATTAATTTATTGCTTCACATATATAAACGAAAACTGATATGAAGGTCGTAAAATTTTATAGGTTCAGAGAAATACTTTTGACTTGAAAGCATGCGAATATATATCAAAGAAATTTATTTATTTTTTTGAAGTAAAAAAGATTTTTTTTTTATTTAAAAAATTCATACGAGTAAAATTATATTATTATTACAATCATTTTATCGAACAATTGTTGTTATTAATATTAAAATAGTCACGCATAGAATGGATAAAGAGATCCGCGTGTGACTAATAATTACCTCATATGTAATTTTAAAGTATATATACACTTGTGAATGAATAACATAATACATACTTTTGTATGTAAATACCTGACATATAGAAAAGACATTAAAATGTTAATTCCATTAATCAGATTGTTATTATTTGCAATTAACTTTCATAACGAATGTAATTTTTTTTCTTAGTTTTGAGATTTTAAAAAAGAAAATAGTTCTATTTTATTTTTGTTTTTGTATGAGAAAAGTGTCTTAAATACCTGTTAAGAATATTGAAAATAAAAAAAAATTTCTACTGTGAAAATAATACATCTTCTTTTAACTAATTTCAATAGAAATCTGTTAATCGCGCAAAAATGTAAAGAATACGAGATAAAGAGAATTTTGCTTGACAAAAGAAGGCCTGGAATACCAGGTAGCCATAAGCAAGTATGTATGCGTTGCCACACATCTTTGAAAAACGTGAATGGACTGAAAATAAGATAAACGAAAAAGTAGTAATGGTTTTTGTTCGAGAAAAAATCTTGTGCGAAGACCAGGTGAGCATTTTCAGGTAGAATTACAACTGATTGTAAGGTCCAAAAGCAGATGGACCATCGAAAAAGAACTGATGCTGCTGCTGCTGCTGACCAGCATTAACAATTATTTGGTTAGCCGCATGTTTCATCTCCACTTAAATTTCTTCAAAACTTTTATTGTTACCATTTTTTGGAGGCTTTAGAAATGTTAAAAGAAAACGGAACTTGAGTCATAAAATCTTCAATAAAAATCTTAGATTCTGAAAATTCTTCTTATAAATTCCTATATTATATGGATTTTATTATTATTTCAGTATTGAGACACCTTGATTGTGAATTAGGTCTTTCTATTAAATGTATTACACTTAGTTAATCTTCATTACTAATAGTCTAGTAATTGATCTTTATTAAAAAAAAAAAAAAAAAGTATAGGAGTACCCGCATGAGAACATTATTTTCTTTTACTTAATTTATTCCTTCTAGCTCCAAAAGTTAACATATTTTCTCGATTTCCTTCACTTTTTTAATATTCAAATTTAGATAACAACTGGCGCTATAAATCAATCATTTAATTAAAAAAACATTACATTTCTTAGCATTCTAAAAGTTATTTTATGATTTCGTGAAATTATAGAATAATCAGTAATATAAAATTTCTAAACTGTTTGATAATTTTAAAATGCCTAGTTTTCATTTCTTGGTATTTTGCAAATGATTATTCGTTCCTTGGATTAAAATAATCATTTACTATATATTTTCTATAAATCTAAATTAATTTGATTCAGTGAGTGTATTTTTTGAAATTAAATAAATTTTTTGTGTACTAGAAATTAGATTTAAAAAAAAAGTAAAATAAATATTTAAATAGCTATTTTGATTCTTTCACTGTATTTCTGTTTTTGATTTAGTGAGAGGAAGATTTTCGAACGAACAAGCAATACCTATCCCTATGCGAATGCTAATAGACTCACGTTTATTCCCAGCTGAACGTTCAAATTCTGACGATCCGAATTTGTATTTAGGACAGCTTGCCTGCGTGAGACTAGCATAAAGAATGACATCATATATTCACTTTCCGTGTGTCCTATTCTATCAGACCACCCTTGCTTCCTGTCTCCAAAATCTATTTTATTTATTATTTTTTTTTTTTTTAGATAAAATTTATTGCACATTGGGAAAATTGTATGCCCTTAATTTCAAAGAAGTAAAATAAAATAAAATATAAAATACTTTTAAATAATTTTAAAATTCGGAATTGGTCAATATCTAGTAATTCGCAACTATTAATAAAACGCCCACCGCAGACATTGGTATATATAAGTACTGTATTTATCTCAATCGTGTTAGATATTTTTAGTTTAACTAAATGTTAAATTATCGATGCGACAAACAGACACTTAAAAATTTTTTAATTTAAAAATTGTCACTAATAATAATTATTTTATTTCTGTATTAGTACCGTAAAACGGGGTTATTTCGCTCATTGCGGGTAAATTCGCTCACCCACTTTTATGCTTTATTTCAGCTTTAAAATTAAGTTTAATACCTTTATTACCAGGTAAAAATGTTAAATTTGTTAATAGAAATACTAAATTTTAGTTTAAATCAAATTTAAAGCAAAAAAATGGGTGAGCGACTTTACTCGCACTGAGCGAAATAACCCCGTTTTACGGTAACTATTGTTTAAATTTATAAAAACTAAATTAAAAAAAAAAAAAAAAAATTAAAATTGAATCAACGTTTCATTCGAAAAATTCGTGCTAAATGAAGCCTTTAGTTCGCAGCACATGTATTTATGTTTCTTGCATTCCTCTGCTTTCTTGTTTGGCTTCTAGGCATAAAGCTCTTTCTCTCTTTCTCAAACCCCGAGAATAAGAGGAAATATTTCCAAGTCTCACATAACCAGGGTTGTTGAAAGTTGATATGCACGTATAGTATATAGTAAAACCAAAGACTGTCAACGAGGATTATACATACATAGTATATATGCCATTCACATTCCTATTGATATATTCTTTTTCTTCTTATTCTTTTCCGCTTATTTCATTCATTCATTCATTCCGTTAAGTACTTTACTGTTTAGAAGAAGAAAATAGTAATAATATACATACTTTTACAGAACATTTTATTTAAATATGAAAATTTTGTGTCCGCAGAAAATAATAAAAATCATAAAGAATGGTGACGCTAAAATATTTTTTAATATTTTTTTTTCTTCAAGTATTTTAGCGTTACCATTACGGTTTTGCTAAAACAAAAGTACAGAAAGAGAGAATGTCGCGCATTTCGCTATGGTGATAAATTCAAAACCACAGATGGTGGTGAGAATGACGTCATCGTGGATATTGTGGGGGCATTAGACGCATTTCAATTCCAACGCAACAACCCCGTTGAAACAGAACTTTGCTAATAAAATTTACGGTTTCCGTTCAAACTACCCTGTTTATCTAGGTCGATGCCATTGTCGTTCGTCTCGTTGTTACTAAACGCTTGGCTTCACTTCCGCGACTGAATCGCATCCGAAAGTTGAGTCGTAATTTAAGGTGACAAAAAAAAACCACACACACGCTTCTCTAACAATCAATATTGTTCACTTATATCTAGTTTATATCATGATTATAATTTTCACAATTCAAAAGATAAGATAACGACTATACTCATAACTATAAAATATTTTCTGTTTGAATAATTTTAGTAGCAAGACAAAAAATTTATAATTTTTTATTGTAAATTTATTTTTTTAAAATAAATTTCTTTAATGGCGCATACTTTACATTGACGAGCTTAT